TTAGTGAAACTATATAAAATTTCACGTAAGCAAGTTTTATTTTCATATGAGATTGTATATTCTTGCTTATATATGTGAGAATATGAGTTTTAAATTGATACTAATTTCTTTTGCGTGGGTACTTTATATGTAGTCTTAGTGCACTACACAGTAAAAAAACATTTTCTATTCATGTTAAACTTGATTCTTGGTGAAAATTTTGTGTTAAGTTTTTCCACTCATATGTTAATTTAACATACGTTTGTTATCTCAATATATGAATCGATATTCAACATGTGTAAGTGTTAAAATAATACATTTTATACTTCAGTCTTGATAACGTATTAATTTTGTGTTCATTTTTGACATGACATTTGTGTTACTTTTCAACATATATATCTTGTGTCAAATTAACACAACAATTTGTGTATTTGGACCGTTTGGGATATGTGAAATATATTGAATTCAACATCGAATTTTTTACTATGCAGTGTGTCCACTAATTTAAAGCAGTGTGGGCGATCGAATTGTTACATATCAATCGAATTCGCTATTAATCGATAGAAATTTATAGATACGATCACCTAGTAAACACCAATCAACAATGTAAATCCACTCAACAACATAAATGCGATATAACGCGTGTGTCGAGTAACATTACTGAGCGAGAAATTGTAATACTGATGTTACATATTACTGTAGGTGTTCACCGGTTACATAAACCTCGGTCTATTCGATTACACGGTGGACTCGGACACGCCAGTATCCAGGCACCAGCCAACCGACTTCACTGTGAAGTTTAAACGAAAGGCGGCTGGCTAAGTTTGCGACATTCCGTGTCGAGGAGAGGGGGAAGATTTGCAAGCGGAGATGGACAATCGGTCGAGAGTCCGTCGTTCCGTCCGTAAAAAACAATATCGCAGCTACGCGCGTATCAGGAACGCGTGTGCGACGAAGAATCGCCAGGCGGATAGGAACCAACGAGAGCAAGCGCGACGAGGAGAGAGAGAGAGAGGTCGAGCGACTTCGGAAGCGGTCGAGGCCATCTGTTACGCTCGGTTCCCACGCTTCCGTTGCCACCGTCGCGCCTTATAGCCCCGGCATTTTATTCCAGTCGGATGGCACGGGGGCACACATGCACACCAAATTCCTCGAATTATGCGGGTGCGGAGAGAAAAACCGAGTCTCGCCTCTCCGGCTCGCATCTTAGAGGCTGTTGAGTAGCTGCGTCGACCGTTTCTGCGCGTAAGTCCTGGTCTACAACAAGACTTTAAGCTCTAAGTTTTAAGAAATTGACCGATCACAGCCGAATTATAGAAGAAAGATCAATTATGACTGGTCAGTTTTTTCAATCTTACGTCTTAAATTCTCATCGTAGACCCCGCTTAATCATGCGCCCCCCGTCTCTGCGATGTTGGCGACGATCTCGTGACAACTCGTCTCGTGTGTGCGTTTCCTCGCCGGGAATCGTGCACGTCCTATCGAAGGTGCCCCGTTTCCGTTGTTACGTTTTGCGAACGGGTTAATCGTTCCACCATGGTATCCACGCATCACCGTTATCGCGTTAATCACAGCGACGTAAGGCATTCCACCCGACGAAGTAAAGACGTTAATTGCGACCGTCGTGATCGGTCTGTAATCGTAAACGCGCTATGGGATATCCTAATCGTGCGCGGCATTGCGAACGGAAATCTGACGTCGACGACTGTCAGCTGGAATGAAAGAAGCGTCGTTACCCCGTGGTTAATGGCGTTCGCTCTGCGTCGGCAAGTTCATTAAAAAGGCCGAGTAAATAAGGGGAGGAGAGAGAACAGGTCTGTTCGTTTTATCTGAACTAGCCGCGCCAGTTCGAGAAATTTGCGCGCATTGAAGCGCACAGGATCTCGCCCGTACGCTTCGGTGTAAATTACATCCGCTAGCGCAGGAAGTTCGGCTGAAGAGAACGGATCGAAAGAGAGAAACGTCTAACCTCGTCGGTAATAATAGGCGACTTGTCCATGGTGTCGTTGATCGGGCTGGGCGGCGACGTGGGGCTGACACTGGGGCTTACGTGGAAGCCCTTAGACTCCTTGGCGGGCCTCTGGGGCGACACTCTCGCCGGGAAACTCAGGGTCTTGGTCCACTGCGACAGACCGCGCACCATCTTCGTCGGGGGCACTAACGTCACTCGCGCGACCGAGGTGACTCGCGTCCACCGTCGCTGCTGGTACCATTCACGAGTTCTTCGGCGACGAGAGGCTCCGCCGAGGCTTCTCCGCGAGCTGCGCACGAATCTTCTTACCTTCCCCGAGTTGAGTTAACGACCGTTTGTCTTCGAATCGCAGCGATTCTCGAGGTACCGCGCGCGCCGGAGACGCTTACTCTCTCTCTCTCTCTCTTGAGGCCGACGTCGAGCCGCCTTCAGCCGACACACATGCGCGAGAGAGCTTCTCTCTCGGAGAAGCACCTCGGAAATTCTCGTACGCGACCTTTGAGAGAACGCTCGACCTCCGGCACACCACGCAATACGGAGCTCACCGACGGACTGACACGCAGGCTGTGACTAGTTCGGCGGCTTCTCTGGACCGAGCGTGTCGATGGGGACAACGACGGTAGTGGTGGTCGACGGTGGAGGAGGTAGACGAGGGAGAGGGAGGACGATCGGTCGCGAGCCGGAGGAGTCGCCGGAGCGGCGGCCGAGAGACCGTTGTGCCGAAGGATGGTGCGCAACGAGGAGAGAACGAATATCGTTTTCTCGGATCTTTCCTCTCTCGGTCTGCAGAAGGCGATCGAGCTATAACCCCTCCCGGGTCTGTCGTTTTTTCCTCCCGTTTCTCTCTCTCTCTCTTTCTCTCTCGGGAAACTTCTTTTGCCCCCCAGAAAGAACGAGGATTCAAAATGATGAAGATGACGGCGAAACAAGCGTTACGTTTCGCAAAATTGGACTTCAGTGTCGGACTCGAAGAGTATTTAAAATCCGCAGCCGGTTCCGCCGATGTCGATGAACTTTGACTTGACGTAATCGGACGTGACTAATGCGTTTACTTTTCAGAGACGGAGATAGACACACAGAGTCGGAGGTGGGGAAAGGAAAGGAGAGAAACAGGAGGAATCGAGGGAGTTTTTAGGATGGAAAAAAGCCGCTCGACACGACTTAACATCGGTCATCATCGGCTAACTTTATGATATTGCTTCCGCAAGAGTAAGCTCTCGTTTCGTAAGCGATAACCGAGGGAGAAGCACTGTCGGAGAAGCGGAAGAGGGTGGGAGAGACAGGTCGTGAATGAAGGAGATATATACGTATAAAAACAGGAATGCACAGAAGGTAAGCGAGTTAGAGAGATCCCACACGTATTCGAGAATAAACCTTTAAAGGTACTCGCTCTCAGTTTTCTTCGTACGTACATAGTCTGTCTGATAAGAGCGTGACCAACATAATTTTAAATAAAATGTTGGTCACTATTTTTATAAAAGAACAAAAGAAATAAAAGAAAAAAAAGAAAAAATCACATACGAGTATATAATATTCAATACTATAACGCTTTTATATTAATTAGTAAATCGTCCAATTACACACTACCCTTGTCGGTTATTGCCTGACCTCTTCGAGACATACTTTCTACCAATGTTGCAGCATATTCTCGAGGTAAAGATCGCCATATCGAGCGAATCTGTCGAGATAGTTGTTTCACCATATACACCTTTTCTCCACGTAGCTTCATCTTCATTAACCTCCGGACATTTGCAATAGGATTCGCATCCAATGACTGTGATGGCCAGTCTAATGTTTCGATGTTATTTTCTTCTTTCCATCGGCAGCAAAGATGACTCCGATGTTTTAGATCGTTGTCCTCTTAAAAGATCCAGTCTTGACTTTTGCTTCGAGACCACTTTTCAGCAGATGGTATCAATGCTCTCTGATAAATTTCAACCATCTCTTTGGCATCCAAATTCTCTGTAAATAGAGATGAAGTTTCAAATCCTTGATTTGAAAGTAGCTCCAGGCATGCATGTTTACGGGGTGTTTCACGGTCCGCTGAAGAAACTTGCTCATGGGGATAGATCAAGATCGTATATAGATATCATCGATAAGATCGATGCTAGTATTTCATGCCCAAAAAGAGGATTCACCGGAAAAAAAATAACATTCTTCCGATCTATCTTCGCGATTAATATTTCATGCGCTCGAGCAAGAAGTGCGATTCTTTTTGCGACATGTTTTTCTGAGAGAAGCGGTTTCTCCATTGTGCTTCGGTACTTCGGATTAGAAACTCGTACATGAGTTCGAATACTCTCAAGTGATAAAATAATACCCCCGACGTAGCGGTAATAAAGGATTTGTAGAAAATAATTTTATAATCTACTCATCCTCTTCGATGTTTTCCGTGCCTTATCGCGACCTGGCAAGTCATCATCGGTATTTATTGTTTCGTACCGCTTTATCCACTTGCTCACGAATGCTTTTGATTTTTTTCATTTTTTGCAACTGCTTCCCGCGACGATTTCGATCCTTCCGGACGCGTGCGAAGGAAGAACGGCTCCGAGCCTCCTATATGCGTATGCGACAAAATCATCGTTAAAGGCGTCGTTTTCCAGCGAAAGTCGAACAATGACTGGGACCTTCTGTACAACGCGTCGTAGGGGAAGAACTTTTCTACCCGTTCGTTCAAAAACTCCCGGTGTGACGATTTTCAAACAGAACTTCGTCCGGTCGAAGCCGCAGAAATACTCGTTTTCAATTGATTAACGTGAAATTTCCCGATGTTACGCAATCTCACGACGAGTCGCCGGAGAGGAGAGAAACTAAGCCGGCGCGCACGACGGCGCAAAACCGTAGGAAAGGAAGCGGTCGTGTATCAGTAGGGCTCCCTTTCGGAGACAAAGAACTGTCGTCGGGAACAGGAAAGAGAGAGAGAGAGAGAGAGAGAGAGACTCGTGTGTTGCCAACTGCGGGTTTATGGAGTAGCGAAGGGGAAAAAGGACGCATACGGTCGCCGGGCTTATATGCCGCGGCATGCACCGTGCGTTCAACTGTGCGCGCGGACCGGATCTAGCCAGCTGCGGCCTTCTTCGACCTTCCCCCCACCGATGATCGGTGAGAGAAGTCCGCTCCTCGCGGCCGGCTGTGTGTGCCACGTTATTCCAAATCTTCGCGTCCCGGCAGAGACGTGTTGCCCACCGGGGCCGAAATCGCGCTACGGCCGGACAAATGTGTTCGATCGCGCGATCGGGAGCCATACTATGAGTGAGCGTTCCACCATGTCGTCGAGCCGCTTCAATTTCGGAATGCAAGAGACGTATCATCGTACCAGAGAGAAATCTGAGAGCGGCGGTCCAGCTGTTTTTCGAAATAAAAATTATCCCCCGAAAAATGAAACGGTCGCTCTCTCAGATTTCTCTCTGTCGTCGCGCACATTTCTGGTTTTTCGTCTCCTTCTTGAGGATGTTCGCTGATTATTGCTCTGAACCTCTAGCAGTCCACCGCTCTGCCAGCTGTCGAAGCATTGTATTTTCTTTCTTGAAGAACTACATCGTAGAACTTTGTAAGACCGAACAATTGGACGACTCGCAGGATCTTCTTATATTCCTCATCGATCGTCCAGGCGGCGCATTTGACGCGGTGGCGATGATCTTGATGATACATATAGACGACTTCGAGGATTGTAACAGTTAGACGGGGGTAACGAAGAAATTGCGATCGGCTTCTTGAGCGCAGGTGATGCAAAAGGTTGTCGCTTGTGCGAGCGGACGATCTTCGAGATTCGTCGGTCGAATCCGCGCCAGTATCGTAGCCAGATGGAGCGGGGCAGTCCCGAGGGGGACAAAGAAGCACTTTTCGAAGCGCTGCGATACGAGAAGCACCTGGCAAGACGATGGAAGGGATCGAGCATGCGGAGAATAGGAACGAAAAGCCCGGGGAATAATATTGGGAAGCGTGCAGCTGTCACAGCAGCTGCAAACCTCCTCCTCTCTCTCTCTCTCTCTCCGTCCGCTGACCGGCAGCTTTCCTGGCTCCTCTCGCGCCTTCTGCTTCGCGTTGCGTCGCCTAATCTGTGCCTGGGCGAAACACCGAAATCCACATCCGAAATTTCGCGGATTTTTATCTGCGCCGTGGTAAATTTATACACGCGGAACGGACGCCATATCCTGGACACGGGCGACGCAACCGACGGATCATCCTGAATGAAACATTCATCGAAACGTATTCGTCGTGCAACGACGAATATATTCTCAGAACGTCCGATAAGCGGCGTGTCTCGTCCGATATCGCATCAGGGCCTAACGTTTACGTTAGCCGTGCTCGTGAGGCAATCACTATCGTCGGAGAAAAGATATCCTTGATCCTCTTCTTGAGGCGAGGAAGCCTGCGTTGTTCGGGCCCGCGCGCTCGTGGCTGTATCAGCTGCCTCTTGTGTAAAATTAAACTTCCTGCCCTCTCCTGGTACCCACATCTGCTCTCTTGCGATACATCTCTAGTGAGTACGCATGTTTGATACACCTCTGGATGTATATGCGATAAAGCGGATAAAGGAATACTGCTTTCATTGATTCCCCCACTCCGGATTCACAATTGTTACCTTCTGCACGTAAAGGCCTTAGCTGTGGCCTTAGAATGGCTGACTTGTAATTTTAAGGCCCGGGGAGCAAACTTCGATCAAGCTGAGCGACGATTAATTCTTAGGAGATCATCAACTGAAGTTTCGGTTGCAGAAGAAATTGAGAAAGGAGAAATTAGAAATTGCAATTGAAATCCTGTGAATTAATCGTATAGCTTGGTTGGGCCCAATGCCCGTTTCTACTATCTTAATTTAAATCTAATCGACGATTAACTCAACGAAATTGACTGATCGCATTGGTCAATTCGGCTAATTTTGTCCGTTTCTAACAATGGTGGACAATGTTCTAACAATTTTTTTTCTAAACATCTTTCAGAAAATTCGACATATTTGCAGTATAGAATGTTGGTATAGTAAAATTTCCACGAAATATATTGAAAAATTCGAACATACTTGCGCTTCTATCATTTTCAGCTTCCAACATCGTAATTTTTGATTGTTTTGTTAAGTTTTTTTAATTTTAAGTTCAACAAACGGCGAAATGTTGCTGAAAGATTGCCCTGTAAGAAATCATTAAAATCCAAAAACCGATTTCTTGGTCATTTCAAAGGTCCATTAAGACCCTTTAAGACACAAACAATCATCTCGAACCGATAAGTCAGCCATTTTGCCGAGGTCTTCGTTTACGAAGTTACAAATCATCCGATGTCTATTTCATGTTAACGATCAACTTAGAATGGTTAACATCGATTGAGGGTTGCTTGTGCCAAGAATAACCGGTAATTGTCTATCGAAGATCGCTGATATCGCGTCGTAGAATCGTCGAAAATAAACAGTTGTCCTGTATCTGCATACGCACCTCCGCGATCATTAATCATCATCGCTTGTGTAATCAACCTTAGCATACGAGTCGGAGTAGGAGCGCAATGGAAGACTCGTGTCGCAAACGTCTAAGTGAAAGGAGATTTTTGCGGCGCTTCGAACATTAAATAAGCTCGAACGATGACGTATTTTTCACAGGGTGACAATTCGACGATCCGTGTCGGTCCCGCTTATTTCAGTTTGGGGATCGTAAGCTGCGCCCCTTCTTATCATTCGGATTACATCTCGAGCCTTTAATTATCAACGAAATAACCGGGGGGAACCGGCCAAGAGGAGCAGCTGAGGCAAATCTCGCGGACGCGCAGGTGTCGGTCGCTTCCAGAATGTGCCAGCCAGAGCAACAACTCTTAACCGCGGCGCGTTGCTGCCCAATTCGATCGACAGAGCGGCGGCGATCCGTTACGCTCGCTCTTCGACGGAGAGTACACCTACGTGCACGAGTGTGCGTACGCGTGTGCGCGTACAACGTGACACGCGGATAAGAGAAAGTTGAGGCCTCACGAAATCGACTTTGCGAAAATGCCGGCGAGCGATGCCTCTGTTATTATTATGCAGGCAGGCACGAACGGATGCCGAGCGCGATTTTAATTCCTCTAATTGTTCCTCGAACGAAAAGAGCACATAATGCTCTCGGCGCACGTACCTTATACATTCATTCCGTGTACTCTCCCAGTAAGCAGGAAACGTTAAATCGATCCTTTTAAATATCGATTTTATGGTAGATTTTATGGATGTGAATAAACATTTTGACATAATATTTTTATAAGTTAAAAAAAGAGTTTCCAAACTGCTATTTCGTGATATGACATTTTTAAATATTTTTAAATATTGAGATTATAATGTATAAATATTATTTTTGGGCTCACTGTATTATGTTTGGGTCGAATATTGTTAGTAATGACATATACAACATTAAGAAGTATATATTGAATGCATTACACGTTATAAAGCATTATTGCAACGATATTATGTGTTAGTGATTTCTTGTTTACTAAGCTTCTCAGTAAGCAAGGAACATTAAATCAATCTTTGCGAACACTGATTTCACGCGGATTTTACAAAGATTTTGACATAATATTTTGCAAACATCTTTATAACTGCTACTTGATATAATATTCCAAAATATTAAAATTATACTGTAAAAATATTATTCTCAAAGTTTGGGTGAAATATTATTGGCAATGACGTTGTATATATAACATTAAGAACTACATATTTGAAAACGTTACATATTACAGAACATCATTGTAACAATATTGTGTTAATAATTAATATTTGTTTAATGCCGTGTATCACGTCAATGTAATGTTATAAATATGTAACATTCTCACACACATACACACACGTGCAGTTTTGTTTTCAAACAAACCGCATCGATCTCTCTGGAACTTACCGTTCCAGGCATCCGGCTGACATTATAAATCGACGTTGATGTGCCGAGCCGTCCGCGTCGAAAATCAGAAGCAGGTCGCCGACACGAGGGAAGATCAAGTCTCCTCTTTGACGATGAACGCTTCGTAATCACCGAATCGTCATCGTAAACTGTCAAATTCGGCACTTTGAACCGAGTCCGAAGCCTCGCGATCGCTCTCAATCGCTCACTCTCGAGATGAGAAACGCGCGTTTACCTCGAACTTGCCTTTACATTTCAAATTTACCCGTGAAATTCGTCTTCACCTGAAATCCAACTTGTATACGATGTCTCGAAGTTCTCGTCGCTGAACGCGACGGAAAATGTTTCGCAAAGTCGCGCCGCGAACTTCGCCCGAGGCTGCGACTCGGCGGCGGAAATTAATTCGGCGGTACGCGGATTCTCCGATCGGGACGGGCGTTTTTCCGCGAAAACACCCGGGAAGCGGATATTTCCGGGAGGATTCACGAACGGAGGAGGAGGAGGAGGAAAGGCGACATCGCGCCTCGCCGATACTCCCCGGCGGCCGGGAGTTCGTCGAACTTAGAATCTATACCGTGAATACGAACGCGCGAGAGAACGAGAACCGTCCGCCCTCGCGTGCAACGCCGAACACAAACGCGAAACGCGCGTTTAATCAAACAGAGAGAGAGAAAGAGAAAAAAGAAAGAGAGAGAGAGAGAGAAAGAGAAACTTGCTCGCGACCGTAAGCTACGACTGTGTAACATTGACTGTGCGTAGTGCAGGACGCACCGGATGAGAACGTGCGAACGTACGAGAGAAAGAACACGACCCCACTACCCGGTGCCTAGGCGAAACTAAAGTCCCGCGGGATATTACGTTATAGCGGCGGTGTGTACGGCTGTGTAGCTGCTCGCGAAGGTAGGCAGGTGGCGGGTAGACAGGTGAATGTGTTGGCGGAACGCAGGAAGTGCCAGAGACAGAGGAGGCGAATACAAAAGCCCCCGATGAGCCGACGACGACGAAGTTGACGAGAGGAAGAGGAAAGAGAGAGAGAGGAAGGGAGATAGAGAACCCTCTCCCCCCATTCCCCTCCTCTTTCCCCCTATTGGAGCGTCGGCGATAGAATTTAAGATAGTTGGTCTTATAGTTAGAAAAGAAAAAGAAACTGCCCTTTCAATTTGCGCTCGGGAAGAAACCGAAGGAATCCGTGGAAAGATTGAAAAAGTTCGGGGGTTTTTTGCCGATTTTTTCACTCATCCGCGGGAGGAAATTGAAAGATACCGCGGGAAAATGAGAGAGGAACCGGATTTTTCCGAGTCTTTAAAACTACAGTCGGTCCTAACTTTTGACTATTTTGTTCTAAAGATATAGTCATTGGAAATGTCATGGAAAACTTACAATAAGTAAAACACCCCCTTAAATAAAGTTATGGGAGAGTATTTTCTTTTTTTCCCGTAAATAATAAACTATTGAAGGAGGGCCTTAATATCGTCGCAGGAAATCCGGCATGACGGACTTACCTTAAGAGTTAACTACCTCAATAGTTTCCTCTCCGAGAGCTGCTCGGATTTATTTTCTCTCCCAAGGAAGGCGATTACGCGCTTATCACGAGCTTATCGCGAGTTTTCCGCGGTTTAGCCGGAAGACAAGAGACGCCGTACATACGAGAGCGGCCCGAGAAGGAGGAAGAACGCAGCGGAAACCGAAACGTACCCACGTTCCGGTCATGTTCGACCCGCGCGTCTTACGAGGCCCCCCGTTCCTTCGTGTATCGCGGGTGATTCCTCCACTAAGTAACAACGCTGCGTTATTATGCCGCTTGCGATTCGCCGCGACAGGAATAGCTCTCGCGCACGCCTCCTTTTGCTTCTCTCCTCCCTTCCTCCCGCCCACGTACGTGCGTCGCGTTGGTATCGAGCATATTCCTGGTAAATAAGAAACATTCAATTGACAATTTCAGGTGTTCATTTAATAGGCGTTTCCACGGTGTGTTTTTAAGTAATATCGTTGTAAATACGTTCAATGTATTATTCGGTATGACGTTTTTCTCGGATATCGTACGAAAGTATTTTCAAAGCGCTTCTGCAAACATTTTTCACGACGTGACGGACGACAAAAACGTACGTATTTGGCGATGATATTGAACGTTACTCGGACAATATTGTATTAGTAATTTTTTACTCACTAGACAAATCGTGTAGTACGCCTTTCGCAAGCGGCAATTGCGCATAAGACTCTCTGTTCTCTTCGCCGATACGACGATCGCGATGGTGAAGGTATTGTCTGTGAAATCGAGGCGGCGAAGGAGCGAAAAGTGCAAGAATGTGAGCTTCAGATTGCCTATTCCGTCTGTATCTTTGGTGATCCGAGAGAAACGAAAAGCTCGGTTAAAATTGTATGCGTGTATATGTAAGTTGCAAAATGTGCATGAGAGTGCGTATCAACTAAAGAAATGCCGTTAAAAATGTAACTTGAAACGTTAGATTTTGGATTCAAGTTTACTTACTTTTTGCGACGCTACGCGAATATGTAAGTTAAGTAAATACAGGGTGCGGCGAAAGGTATGCCCTCATTTTGGTGAGCAATCAATAAAATACTATTAAATGTAGAGGATTGGAAATTTTTTTATTACCTTTGGTACTTCAAACAGTTTTTTTACATTAACGTTTAAAAACGATATCTGCAAGATGGCGGCCTCCAGTAGCAATGCACTGATGTAGCCGATTTTGGAAGCTTCGGGCTGCGTTTTGGCACATCTGAATCGGAATGGCGTTCACCTCTTCGATGATTCTCCTTTTCAGTTCTTGTAGGGTATGGGGACGATGCTTGAAGACTTTTTCTTTCAGATACCCCCACAAGAAAAAGTCACAAATGCTCAAATCGGGCGATCTTGCTGGCCACCCCAAATCACCCCTCAGAGAGACGAGTCGAGTAGGGAACATTTGCCTCAGTTTCGCCATAGAAATGCGGGCTGTATGCGCTGTTGCTCCATCTTGTTGAAACCAAATCTCCCCCAGATTTGTCTGTTCACTCAACTCCTGCAATTTAGGCTCAAAAAAGTTTTCCAGCATGAAAACATAACGTTGAGCTGTAACTGTAACAGTATGGCCATTTTCCTCAAAAAAATAAGGCCCAATGATCCCAAATTTGGATATGGCACACCAAACAGTGACTTTTCGTGAGTGCAGAGGTCTCTCATGGAATTGCCTTGGGTTGGTGTCAGCCCAGTACCGAAAGTTCTGCTTGTTAACATCACCAGAGAGGTGGAAATGGGCCTCGTCAGTGCTCCAGAAAGTTGACGTTGCAGGGATTCGGTTGAGCATTTCTTGACAAAGATTGACACGGTTTACAAAATCATCGTGTTTCAGTTCTTGCACAAGCATGATCTTGTACGGGTGGAAAAACAATTCTTCGTGCAAAATTCTCCGGACAGAACGATCCGACAAACCCAGTGCAACTGCATGCCTCCGAGCAGAGCGCCTAGGCGAACGTTCCACTGATACCCTCACTAACTGCACGTTCTCTGGTGTTGTTGCAGTTCTGGGTCTTCCAACTGCATGAGTTCTTACTGTGGATCCGGTTTCTTCCAATGAAGAAACCCAACGTTTGATTGTTTTTCCATCAGGTACGGAAACATGGCGCGGAATATGGAATCGCAAGCGCATTGCTCTCTGCGTCGCAATGACTGAACGGCCATTTTCCAAAAAAGAGCGCACAGCGAATCCACGATGTTCTCCAGTCCAAATCATGATGTTAACTGAAAACGGTTGAGAACAACCTTCCTAATGAGACCCTGCCGAACAACCTACTCACGCCATCTGGTGAGCAACGGATTTTTCAAACTCGGGCAAACCTTTCGCCGCACCCTGTACATAAGCGATTTATCAAACGTTCAAACCTGTGCTGAGATCTTTATCGGGTATGAACGAAATATGATATTCAAATGACACTTATGCTTGTATTAACACGTTGACTGCCAACTACGAGATATCTCGTAGGTTGTTTACTTGCCCAGGACGCCAACTACGAGTTATCTCGTCGCTTCATTGATTTAATCAAATTGGCTTCTTAGACCAGAACCGTGAAAAGTTCCGTGGCAGTCAACGTGTTAAAGAATGAACATTTCCCTTTTAGCTTCGAATACCGATAGATTATTGCGCGATTTCTTTTCGTAGAATTATTCAAAGCTGAGGCAAGAAAGGTCACTTCAGCTTTAATCGGTAGTAAAGTGAAGAAGTTAGTAGGCGACAATTTATATGATGATTTATGAAATAAACAGAAAACTTGAGTTTTCCCCTTTGTAATACAATTGTAATATTTCTGATAAAAAAAAATTTAACTTTTCGATGTAGATTCGATTACCCAGTGAAAAGTGAACATCGAAGAATTGACGTCAAATCGACTCGATATCATTTCCATTATCCCGACGTCAATTCGATGGTTTATATTTCTTGCTAGGTAAAACGTGGAATTGCAAATTAGATGACTACCGCTTTTCAGCTAACTCCATATAGCTAAACTAAAGAAAAAAGACAACAAAATTATAAAGCCGACATGTGTGATTGAAATTTGGAGCGATCTTCGAGCGAAAATGAAAGAGAAAATTTGTTTAAGCGCTTTTGAACTTTGTCTATTATGGAGATCTTCCGGGTGCTCGTTTTCAATGAACATTTTTCTAATCTTTTTTTCTAACATGCGTCGTTCTCCGAAGTGTAAAACTACTCTCGTTTGCTTGCACACCTCCAGTAAGCAAGAAATCATTAAGGCTTACTACGTCTATTGTAGATTCGATCTTACGTCTGACTTATCGTTGAGTCGTATTACGCGCTCGGCTCCTCATTGAAAACAGTGGCGGCTTGTAGCGGAGATTTTGGAACTAATTAAAATAACAGGTCTAATTTCTAGACCCGATAAAATCGAGTCGTTAACATATTGCCTAGTGTCATCTAACGTGCTTCTTCGGAACTACTTGTGCTCTTCTTCATGCACCAGAGCACAGTTGAAAAGAACCTATAATAACGTAATTTGAGCCACAACTTCGTGCGTGTTATTTTGTATAAACATCAAATAGATATTTAACGTACAAGCTTTGTGGAATAACTGATATGCATTTATTATGTATCGGACGTTTCACTAATTGTACTTACGAGTGTTTTATGAGCGTATTTATGAGTGATGTGAAACATTGACGCGATTGTACCAATAGGTGGTTATTCTCAATTGTTGTTATTTGCAGTGATACGTGAATTTTTGCTCATCGATTGCAATGTCTAGTACGATAAGTGGCAAGAACTTGTTACGTCCGAATGGGCTGCGGTGTAAAAATCTACACGAGTATTTAAAATCACGTCCGCCTGATACATTGAATAAACTCTATCACAAACCGCCTATATGCTTGGCTGTGTACCGTGAATTACCGATAATCGCCAAGCATTACGTTATGAGACTGCTTTTTGTCGAACAGCCGGTGCCACAAGCAGTTATAGCTTCATGGTGCTCGAAACTCTATTTCGAAGAACATCAGAAAGTGGTGCAAATTTTAAATGAGTTGTATGTGTGGAAGGAAGCGTCTATACCAGGCGGTCTACCAGGCTGGATTTTGAACAATACCTTCAAGAAAAACTTGAAAATTGTATTACTGGGAGGTGGTAGACCATGGACTATGTCGAATCAGTTGGAAACTGATAGTAAGCCAAGAGACGTTGCTTTCCTGGATTCATATGCGTTAGAGAGATGGGAGTGTGTCTTGCATTATATGGTTGGTTCCCAACAGCAAGAAGGTAAAATGTTTGTTCCTCTGAGCTTCTCTGGAAATACACAAGCATACTGCGTAGGTTGAAGGTCTGATTTTGTCGTTGGATTGGCTGCAATAGCTTGCACTTGTTCTCTTTTCTTTCTTTCACCTTCTTAACTGCATGACTATTTTTTTATGTTCCATGAATGTACACTAGTTCAGTGAAAGAGAACAGATAAAATATTCGTATTGTATTATATACAAACGATTGGGAAAATTCTGATGTATTTTTTTCTCCTACAGTCATTAGCAATTGTAAGATACATATATGTTTAATGTTTGATCTCAACATACTTAGTGTATTTGCCACAGGTATATCTGCTGATGCTGTTCGGATCTTGTTGCATGCCGGTTTGATGAAGAGAGATGAAACCGACGGGAGCCCAGTTATAACGCAAGCTGGTTTCCAATTCTTACTTTTAGATACAGCTTCGCAGGTAATCTTATCAATCCTTATCGGGTCTACTCTCTCTCTCAATAAATATAAAATATTGCTTGATATTTACATAACGATGTTGCATATGCAATAATTTTTGTTACAAATGCTTTTTATAGGTATGGTACTTTATTTTGCAATATCTTGACACAATCGAGGCACGTGGCCTTGATTTAGTAGAATGCCTTACTTTTTTGTTTCAATTAAATTTCTCCACCCTTGGTAAAGATTATAGTACTGAAGGTATGTCCGAAGGTCTCTTGACATTTTTACAACACTTAAGAGAATTTGGACTTGTGTACCAACGAAAGCGCAAAGCGGGAAGGTAAACATATATTTGTTCATGTAAAAATATATATAATAATATTATATAAATAAATAATATTACGCCATTTATATATATAAATATGTAAATAAATATGCCAATATTTATGATTTAACTGATTTAATGTTTATTTTTATCAGGTTTTACCCTACGCGATTAGCATTAAATATAGCCACTGGTGAAACTAAACCGTTAACCAGGGATACAGACAAGGAAGGATATATAGTTGTAGAAACAAATTATCGTGTATATGCTTATACAAATTCGAATTTACAAGTTGCTTTACTTGGACTTTTCTGCGAAATGTTGTATAGGTACAGGCATGGCAGATATTTTACACAAAAATTAGTAGAAAATATCCAAAAGCTCGAAGTCCCTCAAGTTGATTTCGCATACCATTTGTGATTGCAGATTTCCTAATTTGGTTGTGTCCATATTAACCAGAGATTCTGTAAGACAAGCATTAAAAAGTGGGATAACCGCTACTCAAATAGTAGGGTATGACTATAATATCCAATTTGTCATATAAACAAATAATATATACTGTTTTGTACATATATTATACATCTTTCTCTTATGTATCAACAGTTACCTACAGCAACATGCACATGGTAAAATGATAGAAGCAGGACCACCTGTGTTACCTCCTACTATTGTAGATCAAATTATGCTATGGGAAAACGAAAGAAACCGATTTTTGTTCAGCGAAGGAGTTCTATACAGCCAATTTCTTTCGCAAACTGACTTCGAAGTCCTTAGAGATCACGCACTTACAACTGGAGTATTAATTTGGCAAAACGAAAGGTATTTGTTAGAAATCTTTTATCGGATTATATATTTTATATAAAACGTTGAATATAAAAACAAAATATGTTGAGAGACTAAACAGCTGATGTCCGTGGTTAATGACAAGATTTTTTCCCCATTTTGCAGGAAAAGGACCATAGTGGTTACCAAAGTAGGCCACGATGACATAAAAAAGTTTTGGAAGCGATATTCGAAGGGTTCAACCTAATGTTCGAGCGGAAGAGTCGTTGCGGCGAGGAAGAAACATTTTACGAACGCTACGTTTCTTAAATAGCGATACTGCAAATCGTTTCGAAAAATAAAGTGCCTAGAAAAACTGGAGAAGGAATCCTCGAAATGGACTGGCAAGAGAAATTTTTTTCTAACTGCAGTGCCAAAAAGACTTGTTTCTTTTTTTTTATTATTTCTATCATGTGAATTACAATATAATTCTCATAAATCGATACAATTTTATTTCCCCCGAAGTACGCCGTTATTGCGTCGAGAGCGTAAAACAATGTCGATCGATGGCGTTGCTACTATTCGCGACTTACTTTCAGGACATTTCAATATGAATAAAAAAAAATGGTATTTTCATCCAGATACAAATGCAGAACGCGAAATATATATTCGTTGTTAATGCATCTCTGTATGTATCCGATAGAGCAGCGTATGGGACGAAGGATAGAGTTTCAAACAGTCGTTAAAACTTAACATGAAACAACATCCCAGACATTCGGCAAAGAGAGAACTTGTTGTCAGCGCTGTGGCGCAGCTTTTGGTTTCGGCATTTTCGATAATAAGCCTTGAATCTCCTCCTTCTCGTCAAACCTATTCCACAAATCATACAAATTTATTATATATCGTGCTATTTCCTGAATCTTCTCCATGTCTGCATTTAATTCTGCAAACCACGATTTGTGATCTTTCTGTAATATTACACAGGCTATTTGCAGACAGCCTGAAAGAGGAAATTACAATTACATTGTCTTCAAAGTTTCCTATTGTAATACTAGATTATTGAAAAAATAGGGGGAACATGAGATCAATGAGCTTACCGATTGCTATTTGATAAGGCGGATATAATAAGCACACGTCAGTCCTTAAACTATCATTAATAATACGCCATGCAAGAGTAAGTAATTGATCATCCGGTCCCACATCTTGAATTAATGTTAATAAGGGACGGTACGGTTGGTATACTATTAAACAACAATCCAAATGTTCCAATAGGTAAAATTCACATTCCAAAATATGATTTGTGCGATATGGGAATTCTTGCGAATACGCGTAATTAAATTTATTTTTAACTGAAAACCAGAAAAAGTGAGTGATTATATGCCACGATAGTATCGATTATTAACGCACCTTGAAAATAGTTGTTGCACATATTCGTTATACTTACCTACAGTTTGGCATATTGTTATCAGTCTAGTATTAGAAATTACCCCAAATTCTTCCACTTTCGATGCTAAGAAAACTGAAGTAGGAGCTAACAATAAAGGATCTATGCACTTCAAACTGTTGCGAGCATAAAATCGCTTGAAGTAAACTGTCGCGGTAGCTATCACTTGTTGCCTTAACTTCAATTGTTCTCCCAAAACTTGTATCACTGCGGTATCAGAAATAAGTATCATAAGTCCATTATTTTAAAGTTCAAAAATTACCGTTTATTAAGACTGATTGTTGTATGTAGAGAGTTGTAAATAATAATGTTGTAATATGTGTCATTCCAGTCACAGATAGTAATAATTGATATAATTATAGGCTAATTATATATAGTACATAACTATAGAACAGAGAATGATTATTGACTTAAGTTCATATTCTGAAGTCACTTTTTAAGGCATATTTAACAATAAAAATTCAGAATATGAACCATAAAGAATAAAAATTTATCACAATTATTTCCAGCTAATAAACACTGGCATAAGTTTGCAATGTTTGCAAATTTTACAAAGGAAGTAAATATTATTTGAACTTACAATTAGAGAAGAAAATGAACAGTTTCTGATATTCTTCTTCGGTTAATATTGATAGATCATGCTGTCGTTCTCTAACCAAATCTTGTTTATCCAGTAACCATTGTTGACTATTAAATACAAGAATTTAATATGTTAGATACATTCATCTACGTCACAATAAAAGTTTATCGCAATATAACTCACAAAGAAGTTAACTTACTGATGGGAGCTTTGCCAAAAATTACCGGCCATTTTATAAATAAATTATTCAGTCGAAAATTTTGATGCGTCGGCTAATGTTAACCGTAGAGAATCTTGCTTCTTGTTACGTTGAATGTAATAATTATTTTCACATCTAAATTGATCTCGCGCTTTTTTAAACATATGTAAACTGACGAATCAAGTGTCGTTTCATATACAAAATAGAATAATTGAAGACAAAGTTGTTGATATATTTCATGAATAAATATGTATCTACACAAAATAACTATTCAAATCGTAATACATTAACCAACATGACGCTTTGCCTTCGGAAGTGTTTAGAAACGTTACGGAGAAGAGTAAATAACTAATAGATAGGCATCTCACTCTCTCTCTTTTAATCTTAGTTCCGAGAGTCCCAGAAGGAGGATCTCGAAGACCATTCCACATGTGGTTTGTTCTTTTTAACTGAACTAGCTGCATTAGTTTAAGAAATATATGCACACTGAAGCCCGTATCAGACCACAGATTAGGATTAAGGTTGAATTAAAATTTGGCCATTCAGAACAAAATTCACTAAACTTGAGTTTAGTGAACTTTGCTCTGATTGGAAACTCATCGCACGATGATCGTACAGCCCGTATCAGACTATAGATTGGGAATCGAGATTGAATTTGGCCAATCAGTACAAAGTTAACTGAATTCAAGTTTAGTGAAATTTAGTGAATTTTGCACTGATTGGTCAAATTTCAATTCAATCTCAATCGCCAATCCGTAGTTTAATACGGGCATAATACTAGCCTGAAGTATGAGAATCTCTTGCGTACACTTCATACGCTTTAATGTGTATATAAATTTCTTGAACTACTGCAGCTAGTTCAGCTAAAAAGAACAGACTAATGAGCACCTCACGTAGCAATAAATCCGCATTAGACTACGGATTAGGATTGAGATTAGATTGATATTTGACCAATCAGAACAAAGTTCATTAACTTGAGTTTAGTGCTTGATCGATGAATCGATTTCAAATTCTATTTTCGATCCAAGAATCGATTACGTCGGCAGGATCTGCCGACAAACACGAGCTTGATCATGGTTGCGTGTGCAGGCTCTGCCAGCGGGACAAGCTGAGTGCGGAGGCACAGCTTGAAGCCAGTTTTGAGAACATACTGCCAACGCTGCAGGGTAAAAAATGTCACGGTGAAGCTTTCGAAAAACGATTATACTTTGCGGGATATTTCAGATTTATTTTTATTTCGAAATGTTTTGACACAGACAAAGACGAAATATCTCATAAAGTACTTTTCTTCATCTTAATTTACTTTTCCTACATCTTATATCGCATGACCCTTCGTACTACTTAACTTCGTCTCTAAAATGCTTATTCTGCACTTATCTATATAATATGAATCGTAAATAAGTAATATAATATCGGGATCGTAGCGTTTGAAAGACGTCTTGCTTATAGACATCTTTAGAACATTCTAAAAACGTCTTACGTGCCGACTTAGATATTATATTGTCTGGTAAGGTATATCGCGAGACACGAAATTGCCAACATAATTCAGGTGCGGGTGAAGCACGTGGATAACTATCGCGTGTCGCGATGGTCGATGTTTCGCAAAGTATAATTATTTCGATGTATCATTTTCACAACGACTGTAAGGAATAGGAAGGAAAAAAAATAAGAACAGAAGATGCGCACGACCCTCTCTCGTCTCGCACAGCTCGCTTTGACAACCAGCGGTTATCGCGACATTACGCGACGATGTAATGTCGTGTAAATGTCTTATTAACCGGAACACACATTTTACCTGGACAAAGAAGCGAACAGTCCGAATCTTGATATAAAAACGATCGACGTGCAAACAAGTCGAAGGAAATGCAATATGTTCCACGACGATTATCGGCCGAATCGCAACACGTTCACGAAGATATCGTTGCCGTAAAAACATCTTTCCTTCTCATCGTCGGCTTTCCTCGAGACAACGTGTATACCGTGTGACTCCTTAGAAATGATTGCGCGGGTGAAATTTGAGAAGGGATGTTTTCGTAATAACGTATGCAGGCGGTTCATCTGAAGCTGATCCGAGCATGATCGGAGGTTGCGAGTTTCATGGGAGGACGCGTCTCTAAAAATGAAAATGTCTGCCGCTCAAGGAAGGCGTATTATTTTTATTTTCGAACTTTACCAAAGTTGACTCGAGAGAAGATTGCTCATAGAATTGTACTTCTTTCGTCTCTGCACTGATAGAAAATTATAGTTAACCAGAAAATGGACAACCAAACACGTTTTGGTTGGAACAAAAAAACAGAATTTTTGGTTATAAGAATCATAGTAACAACATAATAATAAATTAGGTTGAAAATCCATTTCCTCATTAATTCAACTATAATTTTCTACTAGTGCGTTTTGTGCACGCCATTACTTCTCACACAAGTAGGTGCAACATTATAAGTGCGTGCTCCGGATGTACTTACACAATTATCATTACGCAATTGTTACTGATTTTCAGTTGATACGATTGTGGGAGACATAAGCAGAAACTGCGAATGTCTAATCGTGCCGCTAATTACATTTGCTGATTGCATCAAATTATTCGACGTAGTTCTCGATAATGAAAACATGAGATTTATGAGCCACAAGGGAGAAAGAGAGAGAGAGAGAGAGAGTTCTCGTTCGATTTTTACTGCGATGCATTGAAATTCATATTGTCTCATTGCTTTTCAGAATGATTGTTGTCTCTCATCGATTATTATTGGCATATTTTCATTTTCTGAAAGATTATGCATGATTACGCTGTTAGGGAGAAAGATGACGATAAGCTACACTCGCAGATAAAAATGCGTGATGATTACATCTCATCACAATGTGATGTCACACTGTAACTTGAATTTCATGCTATTTCAAAGATCATTACGTGATTAACATGACATGAATACAAGATGTACACAAGTGACGTACAAATATGTCGAGTTATGTTATTATATTGCTACTTAGATGAGATTTTTTCTGATCATCATGACATGAACAACATCTGAGCAGCATATGCGCATGCGTTTGCATGCGTTTTTGAAATCGTATCACGTCAATATATAAACGCGTGCTGAGCACAACATGACGTCATTTTTCTACCTGGATTGGTAATGACGAAACGAACTGTCGACTTGAATACTTTTCGACGAGAAATACTTGATACAAAACGACTCGCAAAAGTTCGTCAGATATTTAGTCATGTCTCCGTTAGTTAATAGCAGGATAGGGTAAGTTAATTTAATTTTAGGTAAGTTAATTTTTCTTTTTAACCAAGTTAAGTAAAAAGTTAATAGTCGATAAAATTAATTTTAGTTAAAAGTTACTTAAATCAAAACTAAATTAAAAGTTAAATTAGTATTAAATCAACCTATTAAAATTGAAAGTTAATTATGCAAAGCCATGTATATGAATGCATATACTTTTTCACATATAATTAATTTTTTAATCGTAGAAAAAATTTATGTTAATTAAAGAAAATGTAATCTGTGTATAAGACAATACTGACGGTTTTGTGCTGAGGATTCGATATAAGAGAAAGAAACACTACCCAAGCAACATAGATTGGTTAGCTGACTAACGTTGATCAAACGTTAGGCAACGGTTAATCAACTAATTTGTACTGCTGAGTAGTGCTCAAAGAAACAACAAATTTCGCTGGCATTATTTTTAATTTTTTTTATTCTATAGTATGTAAGCAGTCCGCAATGATTTTATAATATTGATGAATCATATTAGTTTAAGTTAAAAGTTAATTCATTTAAAATTAGTTAAGTTAAAAGTTATTAATTTTATCACGTTTTAACTTTTAATTTTTAACTGAGTAATTGGTTATTATCCAATCCTAATTAATAACCCGGGAAAAAAAAAATCATATATGAAACTTTCCTATATATGACTATATATAATTATATATGTCCACAATAAAAAAATACTGTTGTTTACAAATGATATGCAAATACAATCGAAATAAATGCTTCTGGCTACTTGTATTTCTGACAGCACATGATGTCAGTGCATGATGTCAGCATTTAATTAAATGACGAAGCATCATTGTTTTTCGTATAAATATATATGATTATATATGTAACTACATGAGCAAAATTCATATATAATTTTATATAATTGTATATAATCATATATAATCATTTTCTTCCGGGAATTGATATCACAGTAATATCATAGGAAGGAAGCAGCACCAAACCATCTACTGTTGTTATCGATTACTTTTCGCTACCTTCCAGATAATTATTCGATTCTGTCTATGTAAGATGACTCATCATTTGAGCCAATGAAAGGGTCGACGAATTTTTGCAAGTCTCTGATATCTATACTACAAACCCAAGTGTATTATTTTTATATGCATAAACCTCTAAAAATTATCCATTTGACTGAAGCTTTTTTTATATGTTTCTTGTTTTAAATTACATCTAAATTTAAGAAATTCAACGTGATTTAAAACTGCAAGAAAGTGTAAGAACAGCCAGTTAAAATATTTGAATTGCACATTTGGATTTGCAATGTATATATATGTACGCGCGAATTTATTAATATTCCTGTTTTTCTTTCATGCATATCTTACATAATGCATGAAATGTCTAGCGACGATTAAAACGAAAATGCGACGTATATTTGCAGTTCTGATTTATTCATCAATGAATCTGTACACGTTGACATTAATGATGCCCAAGTTATTGCATCTCGTCAAGCCACTTAACAAATCATGGCCAAATGAATATCTCTTCAATGTCAATTATAGTTTTGATAGAGACGAATAATAATCCAATACTTGGATTAAAAATATACCTGTGTATTTCAGATATGTTTTTATATTTATGACGCTTTGCATTGCATTCACTCGTATTACTGTTTATCAATAGAGATAGAAAAATGTGACAAAATTTCGTAGAAAAGTAAACTTCCATTTCTTATGAATCACAGAAATTGTTCCCCTTTTATATATAATATGCAAGGATACAAAATGTCGAAGATCGACATAGCTTGAGCATGTTATTTTACAAATGTTATGTGCCTTGCATATTAACGGCTAGATATACGTGCTAAAATCGAGTAATTACGCCTCGATAAGAAGAATTTTTAATTTAAGACCGGCCATTCTTTATAATGTTTCGCAATTATGTAGTCAACTTCAATTTTGAGATGGTGCAAACTGGATGGTGCTTCTGTTTCTTATTTCATCGCTTTTTTATCGTTTGGTTAACTCACGATGGAAGCGATTATGTTGGATTATCCCATATACGGTAAAATTAGCGAGCGTTTAACGTGGCTTCGCCTCGTAAATATAAAAGTGATTCCATTCCGTAAAAATAGCAAGTGGAACTAAATCGAAATAAAAAAAAGAACCGCATCTATGAAAATAAAGATATTTTTACGAGAAATCGTTACTACAAATTTAGTTTCCGTTTCTTGCGACATGCATATTTTACGGACTCATTGAAGCGGAACGATTTCATTAATAATACTATCCAATACCATTTTTGCAACACGGATGTGAATATACATTTCCGATGTATTTTTGCCTGCTGAACACGAATTCATTGTCCAAATTTGGTTATCACGTCACAATTTTGAGAAAAATGACATCAAAGTGACTAAAAACGACGGTTTTCTTGACGTAAGATCGACAGCAAATTTTCTTCTAAATTTTGTTAATATCACACGAAAGTGTCGATTTTTAGCTTTAGAATTCATTTTGTTTCATTTCGGTATGATTTTTCGTTTTCGACATATAGAAATGTGAAAATTGCTCTTTTTTCTTGTAATACATGAGAGAGAAAAGGCATATCATTCTATCTTAATACCGCATTATGTGAAAATTAAATACTTTTCTACTTACATAACACAATCATATTAAATCGAAAAGCAATATAAAATCGGCAAAATATAATATAGCATGAAGATTATGATCTTAAAAAAAGAATCTCCTAAAGATAATCTTCCTATGTTATTGCATTTTGTCGATTTCATTTTGTTTTTTCATCACGCATATTGCCTCGGCATATTTTCATTTATTTGGCATTATAATTCAAGATGGCTAACGTAAGTGCACAGATATCTTTGAACAATAATATCATTCGTACGAAGATACTAGTGTTATATATCAAGTAGATATAAATAAAACGGTCGATATTTATACTTTTAAAGGTATAAAAAATCGGTCGTTTTATTTACTACGACCTGACATATCGATTACGCTAACGACAACGATAAAAAGACCCCAAACATCCGTGGAAGCCGAAATTGCTGATCAAGGACGAAGGTTCTATCAGGGATTTCATTATGAAGCGACAATACTTAACGTAGGGGGATTCGATAAGGGAGCAGCGAGTGTAACAGCAAAAAGCTTACATTCACGATCTATAATCTATTTATACGTATCTAAACACGTCTGAAAAGAAAGTATACATACAAATACATAACGCCTGTAATTTTCGGCTCGGAAAGCGACTTAAGGGCCTCTCAGCTAACTCGACACAGATCGCATTGATATATAGCGGAACCTGAGGTTGCTGGTCTGGTGGTAACGTTGCCGCGCGAAATGAGTCTGAACGGCGGGGACGGCGGAGACGACACCACGGTGGGGACGCACGTGTCGTCCCTTTTGTCATTGTGATATAACGTCGGAGCCAATTCGAACCTTTGTGCCTCGTGTACTTTACCGGCATACCGCGCGTGCGTGACCACAGCGTGCCCTCGCGACACCACGAGCGAGAGTAACATGGCGACTCTTCTGCATCGTTAGTCGATTTGCGACCATCGGCGCGCGTAGATCAATGATAAAGGAGCTGCTACGACAGACCGGGCATTCTTATTGTTCCGTAGGTACATTATCACGAACTCTTACGATACACCGCACAGTACACCGTCGTCCAGCTCAGCGGTGTATCTTCTCCCCGTCTCTCCGTCACGATCCGAAGTTACGTTCCGCGCCTCCTCGATATCGGATGCTGTTCGTTTCCGTCACCGTCGAAAGTTACCGTGTCTTTTCCTCCCGGTAAGCCGATCCCGCCGTTTCAGTAGAAATCGAGGACGATGCGACGGGGTATCGAACGTTGAGTTTCTCGTGCCGCACAGAGTGCTCGCGTTTCAACCGCTGAGCGCGCGCGCTTGTCTTCGCGCGAGTGACAGATTTGGCGAAAGGAAGAAGAGAAAGTGGACGAGAGGGAAGTTTTGTCGCGTTTTCCGGACAAAAAATTACGACGACTTCTTGCGAATCGTCGGAGGGCCGTCGATACCCGGACAGTGTGATATCCGAAATCGGGATGTAAGGCGTCTTCAAGATATCTTTAAAACATCTCTGAGGTGTCTTACTTATAGATATCTTTGAAATATTTTAAAGGTGCTTAAAGGTGTCTTAAAGATGTCTTAAAGATGTCTCGTGTCCCAATTTGAGACATTGTCTAGATAGATTCCCAAGCATTTCCGAGCTGGGAATCGATTCTTAAATCACTCGTAACTATTCGTATACGTAATTTGCAAGTGATATCCGATGAGCGTGCTGTTTCTGCGGGAGAGCAAACGTTACGTTAGCTCATTAGATATCACTCGCAAATTACATATATAAATAGTTACGAATGATTCAAGAATCGAGCTGTCTCTCTTCTAACGTTTCCGTTCTTCTTTTTTTCTTTTTTCAAGAGAAACCGTGAAGTTTTTTCTTTCTATCACGCGATAGTCATTGTCGAGACGATGCGAATGACGTGTGTGACGCAAAAATACTGGAGGTCGCGCAAGGTCGGGAATGAAAAAACCAATCGAGACATTTTGTTATGCCGTATTTACCATTATTCGTCATGATGAAACTATGGCATACATGAATAATAATATATTTTGAATGGCAGCGATAATCAGGCAATTTGCAAATTTGGCGAAAATGCAATTTTAATGAATTTTATGAATTGAGGGAAGGGAAGGGGAGAGAGAGAGAGAGAGAGAGAGAGAGAGAGAGAGAGAGAGAGANTATCCGCGTGAACAAAGAGAATTACGTACGTCCATCCTTCGGCGATATGTCGACGTAAAAAATACGTACAGAGAAACGAGTCCGAGTCATTGAACTGCGCGGTGGACGGCACGTGTGCGATATACATGTTACGTGCGAAACGAAAACGGAATTCTCGAGGATTTAATAACCGTATGAATTCTCAGGATTTCTCCTCGAGGCAACCAGCAAGATCGAATATCGTAAAACTCGGATTTATGGACGTCTCACTCGTCCACGTTGGCGTAGAAATTCGGTTCTGACGCCAAGTATATAAACTCCAACATTCGCCGTGAATCGATAAGCGTTTGCGAGGCTCTCTCCGCAAAGAGTGCCTCACGACGTTTCATGACTAATTGTTAAAGAGCCAATCGTCGCTCATCTCGACATTATTCACGGGGAAGAAGTCGCTCGCATTTCCATCCGAAGAATTCGGCGGTCACTTCGGTGTTTAAGACGGGACATCCGGTAGTTTCGAGATATCCTGTTACTTCCTGTGTCACGCGTTTCACTCTAAATATAGAAAGCGCAAAAAGAAGGCCGGCGCGGAAGATACTTGACGTATCTTGCCCATTATTATTCGTTTTGATTAGTCGCGGAGGTAAAAAAAAATGCAACGCGTCGTCATTTGTAACGTGAAATCGAGCGTTCACGGTCGGATCACCCTTATTGGGTAACGTCCTTGTTAACACGTAATAATATGTAAAATGTCTCGATGTGTTAAAACGATGTCGGTGCACACGTGTCCAATGTCTATACAGGTCGGCACGTGTACGCGTGTGTGTCGTGCGGAAGCGTTCGTCCGCGATCTCTAATAGAGTGCGCGGGGCAGAATGACGTAAGACGGCCTTCCACGTGCCCGCCCGCATCGTGGTCCGCACGTGTACCACTATACAACCTCAACGCTTTAATCGAGTTTTTCCCGCGAACGCCAGAATTATCACCGCGTTCCATCAGCGTCGTTTCACCACACGATCGGCAGAAAACGCAAATAGACGGGGACTTGAAGGTGCGGCGGGAGTGGCTTTGTTAAGTATCGGGACGTGCCAAAAATGAATGATGGTGACGATGACGACGTTTCCGCGGCCGAAAATGAAATCGTTAAAAATGCGACGAAACATCGCCTAACTTACAGTCGCCCAGTTGACGGAGAAAGTAATCCTGGTCGGACGGATAAAAATATGTCGTGATGTTTAAATGTAAATGCGCTAAGTTTGTTTTATAATTGCGTATCGACTATCTCAAATCGGCCGGTCGTTATAATCGATTTCTGACTAATTCTTTCTGTCTGCTTCATCTTTTACGACGATTGTCTTTTATCCCTTGGATATTAAATACTTTATAGACATTTAATACCCAGTGAGCAGATAAATAATAAATTAAGATTTATTATTTAGTGTTATTTAATTTATTAATGAATTAAGATTTTTTTAAATAGAAAAATTTCATCCAGAAGCATACGTTCGAAGTTATTTAGAAAATTAAAGTTCCAGTGGCTGCGAAGGGTTGAGCTTTGGGCGAGAAGAGATATTAAAGTTTGAAACTCGACGAGTCTCGGCGATATTTTGACGAGGAGGACATTATTAAAAGTTGGCCCGAAAGTTGGCCGAAGAATCCTCGAGTTGAAGGACACGCGATCGATTCAGGATTTGGGACTCTGTATAGCGTGACGGCTAATGATCGAGCGCGCGAACGATATGTGAAAACGTTCACAAACGCTCTATAAAGCTTCGTAACGCCGTGAGAGACACACCCCATGTGAATATTAACAAAAAAAGGACTGTAAATAATGAAGGGTTGGAGGCGCGTGTGCGCCACGTGTGTGACGCGGATGCTCTTTACCTGCTCAAGTTTCCACGCACTAATGTCAAGGACTCTTCTCGCATTTATTTACCATGCATCGTACGGCTGCGCGTCATGCTCGCACGTGGTGGAGAAGATTCGAGGTCAAAACAATCTCAAATATATACGCGCCGCGTGTCGGGTGGGAGTTGAGGCTTCAGTATTATTTCGGTGCAGGCACGTGCAGTGACGTTAACGGTAATCAGGTCATCGCCTGCATCGATCGTGTCGCCGGACGGTAAGAGAGCGGCGTAGGAAGAATATCCACGTGCGGAATTCTATGAATTGGACATGTATATATGTGTGCGTGCGTGTACATATACGCACTGTAGTATCTAAGATTGATCTGGTGTACAATCCCGCGCGTGTAGTTTAGCTCACACCTCGAATCGGACGGAAGGATCGCGATTGTTTCATGCGATGCGCGAATTCTGGCGTTTCCGCCAAGAAATACCAGGATAGAATTCTCGTTCTTCGCTTTATCGAGCAATATCGAGTAGTATCTGAATCCAGGGTTTTGTCGTAGATCTTAAGATTACGTGAATAATTTATGTATTGTCTACGTATTGTCTCTACGTGATGCTTACACGAACTTTTTCTATATAGACAATGTGAACTACGTGAAATATCTAATGAAAAATAAATCGTAACTTATTATATATGTTTATATATCATCATATCATATGTCATAATCATATATAACTATATCATTACTTCATAAATAATTATATATTTTTATGGATTCATGAATTGATATATATATATATATATATATATATGACGCGTTATATAATTATATATATATATATTATTATATCTAATTATATATAAGAGACAATTTTTTTCCGGTTAAATATGATCCACTTTACGCAGATTTGAAATATATGTGCAGTATTATTAAAATGTACATATATGTTGTTAGTAAATTTAATTATTTAGTTTTATTTGTGAGCTTTTAACATAAACAGAATATAAGAATAAAACATGAAATGTATGAAGAAGATGAGCCAGTCCATAACGATTCATAGATTACTTATTGTCTGCGTAGATGACATCTCAGATGGCACAATGTCCAAAATCGAGATATAAAACATCTTTAAGATATCTTAAAGACATTTGTAAGTAAGGTGTCTTTAAAAAGTTTTAAAGATGTCTTATATTCCGATTTTGGATATTGTGCTGTCTGAAATGTTATAATCTACAAGTTCACGCGTAGACGCAAATTATAATATTTTATGCGTAAACATCCTGGTTGAATCGCATTGAGAAAGTACGTCAAAATTTATGTTTCAGACATATTATATATTCTTATTGAGAAAAAAGATGCCACCTACTGTTTGCCTTGCGGAGTTCCCGTCGGCAGGAAGCACCGTTAACGCTTACGTTTGCCGACGACAAAGAGCACAAAACAGAGCAAACTTCAAGCGACAAACGTTGGCTATGGAACAAACTCTGCGAAGCGAAATCATCGGTGAAATCCCACTGGCATCTCGCACGAATCGTTCGCCGAAATTAGGATGCATCAGTACGGTTCCCGATTGTTACGCGATAGATAAAAGCGGATGGTTCCCGACCCACACAGATGAGCACTACAGGAAGCTTGTTGCTGCAAGAAAAGGTACAGTGATTGTCAGTGAAGCTATCTTGAACTTTTTCAAGAGCCGGCCGGTGAAATGTCATGAACTTTGCGGCAAACGTGAAGGCGTCTTTTTTTTTATTCAAATACAGCCCTTGAAGATAGCAATTTATGTCACAGATAAAATTCTTTTTTTACGTTGCGCGTGCGATAAAGTTTTCCGCGTGTGTTTATTTAAAAATTACTTCAAAGACAGATAAGGTAAATGTCCTAATTAGTGATAATCGCATCGCATCTGTTCTTCTTAATTACTCAAGTAATAAAGTTCTATATTTAACTTAAAAAATCTGTTTTCACTTTAAATTTTACATATTATCTGTTATAATAAATTTCGAATAAAATTTAAAAGCCATAGTAAATGCTAATATATTATAATTATAAGCGTACTGCTAACGGTAACGGCTCGAACAGTTACTCGCCGACATCTTAAAAGCTGGCCGTTAATATAAGGCGTTTATAGTATTTCTTTGTAGATATTTTTTTTTAATCTCGAGTGATTGAAATCATATGGTCAAAGTCGAAAAAAGTTTGAGGAATATTTTGCAAAAAAGAAACGATATTTTACGTATTTTTTTGCAATTAATATATATTTTTTATATCATTTATATTATCGTTTATATCATTTTATATCATATTTATTTAGGCAGTCAATAGACGAATAAATATTCCAGTACTGATTATATATATATATATATATATATACATATATATATATATATAATTGACTACCTAAATAAATATGATATAAAATGATATAAACGTGTTTATGTCTAAAGAGAAAATGAGTTGCAAATTTTATTTACAACTCATTTTCTCCCACACAGCACACTTTATCCGAGGGACGTCCTGTGGACGTCCTTAGGACATAGAAACGTCCTCAAGACATCTTTAGAATCGTCTGTGCTGTATGAGAAGTTAAAGAATAATGTCAAGATTTAAACTTACTTTTTCAAAATTTGACAAATAATACAAATATGAATTCATAGTCTCTAAACTGTAATATTTTCAGTAGTAATTCAGTAATAGAGACGTTCATGATTCTGTACTAATTTGTGACATTCAAATGATTTTATTGCATTTTTGCCTTTCAGTAATATAGGCGTACACATATCACACCAATTGGGGCAAAATTAAAGTTACACGTCACTAAATGACATTTCCGTCAACTTTTGAGAATATATAGACATATTATAAATTAATTAAAGTTTTATCATAAATAAAAAGAATACAATTAGAATATTAAATATTTAAACTTTCGAACAAAAGAAATGTTATGCACTTATTACGTGTATTATAATAATTCATTAATTTATTTTTGCGATGAAATTATTTTAAATGTTTTACTAATTGAGACATTCACCTTGCTCGTCAGTGAATTCATATTCGAATTTCAACAATTTGTCCGCTGCAAATGTTTCGTGATTTTGGTCCAGCTTGTCAATCGTTTGATTACGTTTTAACGATAGTATTTTTTTCTCTCGAACTCCGCAGATCTGTTGAGTATCGTTATTCGTACGATAACTCTTGTACGGCGCAATCGTATCCTTCAGAGACGTGTGAATGCGTTGCGAGCAGAAACGCGGAGGTTTCTTCGTTCAGTATTAAACAATCCGGAAAATCAGCATTGTCAAGATAGATTGCAAATGCGGCAACTTGACGGTGATATTGTCTCATCATCCACGGACAAGGTTGTCTCGCTGACATCGGTGCTACTTGACTCTGATCCGACCGGAAATTCATCCGATTCCTCTCACAGAGTTACCTCTACCTACGATAATCACGATTATAATGAGAATCGTGCATTCGTGTGCAAAGAATAGGGTTACTAACCGATTCTTTTGTGTATTTTTACCTTAGTCCATCCACACATCTGTCGTATATAAACATTTTATTCTGTATACATATATACACACATGTGTATATACCTAAATGTATATAAGGGATAAAATTTTTATATATATATATGTATATATAGGAAATAAACTCTTTTCTCAACAAATACAACAAGCAACTCTCAGGCCAATAAGAGCCCATCTTAAGTATTATAAAGTTTGAAATAATCCAAGCCAAGCCAGCATGTCGTAATCGGAAGCAGCAATGATTTATGATCCCTGTAATATTTGTGGACTAATGTAAGTGGAAATCTCTACAACATCATCTCTGTTCTAATTTCAAAATGACGTACTTTTAAAAGCGCAAAAAAAAAAGAACAGAAGAAGAACCTTGATTCATTATGTGATATTCCTCCACTAATTTGACGCACGGTATTTAACTTGACGTCTAAGATATGCAAAATTATGAGAATCTTAATTGGATGATTCAACATAATTAATGTTTCGCGTGTTTATCTATTAGAACACATGGCGTGAGAGAAATGTGATGACGATGGTGATAATGTGTGTATGCGTGCGTGCGTGTGTGTACAGAAATAATATATTTATAAAACGAATTTGATAGATCTTTCACACACAGTTAAGAAATTATTATTTATTGTACATAATATCATGGTGTATTTTGAAATATTTACACTTAATCGACAGATCGAAAGCAATGTTAATACTGCATTTAATCTATATCTTAGTTTTACAATTGTGTGATAATTATAGTACGTACATTTCAGGGATATAATTAATAAATTTCATATACTGACGAAACAATCATGTGATAAATATTCTTTTAACACGAATGCATTATTCAATCAAACTCTATGTAGAAACAACTAATAGTATTGGTGCCTAAAAATGCATGTATTACGTACGCGCCTAAGCGCTACTCTCTGGTCACTGAAGCAATACAAATAAATAAATATAAATAAATAAATAAATATATATATATTTATTTATTTATTTATTTATTTATGATAGAGAAACGCGGCGATTATAGATGATATTTAGATGATATTTAGATTAGTTATAATGGTTAGATTTAATCATAATATTTCCTGTAGGTTTAAGGATATTTTATTGGTCATATAATCACGGAAAGTGTTTTGGGAATTTAATCTTACATATGCGAATAAATCTATTGCAAAAAAGCGTTTACAAATACCTTGAGATATAATATTAAGATATAATTAAGATATGTCGACTTTAACCGAGTACATAGTAGTTGAGCACAAAAGTTTTAAAACTGTTGTAATTGATGATAAGCATATTGACAAAAAGAAAGAAACGTGTATTATCAGTTTTTTGTATATTTTTATTTTAATACTATGCAACCTAATACCATGCAACATTAATAACCATAATATATATAATAAAAAAAATGTTTTTTTAATATATAATAAAAAAGTTTTTTTAATATATAATAAAAAAAATGTTTTTTTAATATATAATAAAAAAATTAAATATAATTTAACGACTATAATATTTTATGGTTATCATGAAACTAATCATTATATTATATATTTTATTTAGATTCTCATTTAACAATGATATTCTTTGATCTAAAATTGCTACACTAAAAACTGTACAAGATCTAATTTACATCAAATTCAAGACTTTGATATTCACAAAAATTGAAAATTTCTATAAATATATATTTTTTATTTTTACTTCTCTCGAGTAATGTGCTTTAATTGCTGTTAATGCGCTTCCGGTGATTGAGATAAGAGTACTACCAATACCCAAAATTGGAGCAATGCCTGTAAAGATATATGTGTTATATATAAATAAACACACACACACACACATACACGCGCGCGCGCGCGCGCACGCATATATATATATATATATATATATATGCGTGCGTGTGTGTGTGTGTGTATATGTACATACAAGAAGATATCTTTTTATAATATTAATGACAAAATTTCCTATCGACGTATGTATATACTCACCATATAAATCAATACTAAAATTCTAGCTAGCGGATATCTCCTTAAAAACACTCCTGTTCGGACGCTTATGGCATCCAATGAAGAATAAGCTCTCTTCACTCTTCTCGTAACGCTCGTGTCAAACGGTGTTTCCATTAAAAACGTGGGTACTTGCGCCTTTGCGTCGTCTGTATCGTTCATATTATTGTACGATATGTTTCTCCGTAAATTGCCGGCAGCGTTTCTATACTCGTGCTATTACAAAGATTACCGTCAGAATTTTATATTATGTACTCAAAATATAAAAGAATATCCGAGACATATTTTACAAATGTGCTGTGGAAACATCTAATGTATGTCTGTCAATTTTAAGCCTAAAGTAATGCATTACAAAAGAAATTATAATGTATCACACATATTATTCTATGTTCTAAAATATATTCAAGCTATTATATTTACTTCAAGCTTTTCCAGTTGAAGACGTAACGCGTTTCTCTCTGTTGTCAAGCACTCTAACGCTTGCTGTTTTAGCACCAAAGTCTTTGTAAGAGACGCTAATCTCGAGTCCATTTCATTACTCGGTGTCGCCGATGCGGATAATTGCAACCTAAGCCTAGAAATCTCGGAATCTTGTTTCTGCAACTGTAAACTGAATCCGTTGCGCTCAGTAATTAATTCATCCTTCAAAGATCTTATTTCCTGAAACAATATTTTTTTATATTAACCCAGTCGTTCACGAATGTAACATTTATGAAAACGCAATAAAGAAGCGCACAGGTATACCTCAGAGTGGAGTCTCACATCTTCTTCTGCGTCTAACCTCCGACGTCTTTCGTTAGTAAGAATCTCTTGATTTTGTAGATTCGTCTCCGCTGATTTCTGTTTAATTTTTTCCAAGTTCAGATCTGCATTTATCAGCTCTTCACGTAGCATTTTCAACTGGTGACACATCTGCTGATTTTCCTCTCTAATACCATCGCGTTCCTGCCTGTAATACAACAGGTTGTAGTCTATAAAAAGAACGAGAGAATTTCATAATAATATATTAATATTAATCACTTCAATTGATTTAATTCCATAACAGTGGCTTCATCCGTAGCTGTTGATGTATCACTCTTCAATTCCGATATGAGTTTCTCCTTTTCTTGCAAAGTCCTCAACGCTCTAGCCTTATGCTGTTCCAATTCTGATCTGACCGAGTTTAACTCCTGCCTGTTCCTATCGATGATAAATTGCAAATCCATTATTTGCTTTGACTGCCCCAACTTTTCTGCTTCGAAAGCTTTCAATTTTTCATTCAACATTATGATCTCCTTCTGGTGATCTGTTTCTTGTTTCCCGAGTAATTCATTTTGTTTCATTAAGTTCATCTCCATCTCTCTCATATACTTTCGCATGGAATTGTCTTCAACTGAGTCAGTTAAACTATCCAAGTTATTCGCTTCTACGCCATTAGTTTTCATTTTGTATTCGGGCAGAGAATAGGAAATGGTTGAGCATTCTTCTGTGTCATTATGTTCTGCAACATAAATGTTAAATAGAATTTTGATTTTACAAAAAAAGGTACATGTTAAATAAATATATATAAATATATGTAGGCTTTTATATATAGATATAAACTATACCATTTTGTATATGGACATTTATTGCTCGTTTATCTATGCGTTCACAGTTTAAAGTGCATATCTCATTAGACAGACTTAAATTTGTATCTTCAGCATCTACTTGTGCATCTTTATCGTCTAAAATGTCTATAGAGATATGAGATGGAGCTGGGCTAATTCGACTGCTATGAATCGATAACTCAGAGTCCGTATCAGTAGGATGCTCCACTAACAACGAAGAGGTGGTCGATGGTGATTTCAAGGACTCTGTTGCTCTTTTTGGACTTGGCTCTGGAGTATTTAAGTATGTAAATAGAGCGTCATCTTTAGATGCTGTTACATTTAATAGATTTAATGATGTTAAATTTGAAGTAGGACCAATATAGGATATATGATTTGATGGTTCCAATAACGGTACCTTGGATGTGTCTTCATTTAATCTAGAAAAGAAAGAAAAAGAGGTAAATTTATTAAATTTCTATTTATTTATAAACTAACAGATTTCCTATGTTATGATAATGTGAATTCATAAAAAAAAAAAAATTGCCACTTATTGAAAAAATGCCAGAGAGACAATCTTACAGAACAAACTCAAGTGACGCGCATAGAAATGAGGGGAAAATAACCAAATTTTATTGAAACTCGCGTGAAGTGGTCACTAATCCAAATATTTACCGGCAATAATCTGAGATTTAAGTACACACAATTACCCTGGTTCCGGAGAAAGCCATGTAACTTCTGACAGATGACTATGTGACATCTTGTCCTTATTCAAAACGGCCGCAGTATTTTTGTCGATTTTATTTAACAAATTTTCCGCTTTATCAGCAAGATCTGACAGCCAAGCCATAATCGAGAAAAACTGAAGAGAACTTTTAATTGAAAAAGCAAATATAAAAGATTATATGATACACGTTACAATTATTCGCTGCGCACTGTGTCATGGTGAAACGCAACTGGAGCGGCCTACCTGCTGCCATCTGACGTTCGTTGCGAGGAACTAATGGTGTTGTTAACGGACCGTAAGCGGCAACTAGCGTTCTTGCTTATGACTAGCTATTTCCGGCATCTTTATCCTCTCGCGGGTTTATCTTCCGGGTCTTCGTTAAAACAATGAGGACCGTCGCGAACATCCTTCTCATCTCGCGATGAATACTCGAATATTAAACAAGTTCCCATATTAAACGTATATTACTTTATTTACATTTGAGCGACGGATACAGAGTAACTTCTATCGAATTGCAGTAATACTAATTACTACTGTTACTGAATAAAAAATAAAATGTCATAATTGCGAGATGTGCCATGATATATATATATATATATATATATATGTATATATGTGTATATATATATATATAAAATCAGTATCAGTAAGTAACGCAGTTAAAAATATCAAGAGAAATATAACATAATGTGCAACGCACATTTTCTTAACTTCGTTAAACGTAAGTTGACCGGGCCGGGGCGATAACGTATCAAGCCACACGGGGATATACCGTCGCGGGCGGGTGACCGAAAAGGGCCATCGAACTTATCTCTTTCATTTACATGCGTTTGAAGAGCGTGAGGAATAGATTCGCGGCACAATAAAAAAAAAAAAACGGAGCCAATAAATAAATATAAGCCTAAGATCTGGCGCGTCTTTACACGTCGTGTGACTTAGCATATTATTGCCTCAAAACCTTCAACTGCTTAAAATCCTTATACGATCGTAACAATTGGATAGGGAGAGGATCTAAGTATGAATGTGTACACACAGAGAGATGAGAGAGAAAATGAACTAATATACATAAAATTAAGTATTCTAACGCTACAACTGCACACCATAATCCAATTGATCTTAGCCACCACTTTCAACCGTATTCCACTGTCTCGTTTTTCTTTTTATACATTTACTCTCACGATCATTATAATTTTCCTGCGTAATATTTGATATTTCATTCGAAATATGTAAATATGTAATATAAATAATATGTAAATCGAAGAAAAAAATAAAGAAAGATTTGCTATTCGTTAAAAAATGTTTCATATACAATCAGATATAATTAGATATAATTATGCATAATTAGATGTATAATTATATATAATTAGATATACATATAAGACGTCATGTATGAAATTTGTCCATGTACAAAAATAAATAAATTATATGTGATTATATATAAACATACAAAACACAAGTATATTTTCATATATAATTATATATAATTATATATTTTTATATATGGACATATTCTATACGTAATTATGCATGAACAATTTTTTTAACGGGCACGTATGATGGAAGATCACCAATCGTCGTTGATATAATTTTTAATTTTGAATCTTGACAATTAAACTCAACGAGTTAAAATAAATATTGGTAAAGTCGGATAATTACGAGGTAAGATTTGATCTACATGCTTTTGTGGAATTGATTTTCATACGATCTCTCTTTCCCATTATCGTTGCCGAATAGTTTCATAACTTCATTCACGATACTTTAATATGTCGAGACACACACACCTGCCGTTCTCTTCCAAATAATCTAATATCTGAGATTCGATTATTACAGATTCAAACAAGGCGTTCGTTTGATACGAGACATCTTGTAGATAAATAACACGAAGTTAATATATAAATTAGAAATCAATACTAAAAGCAATACGATCCATGCTGATCCGAATAACACACAACGGTGAGTGAGTGTATTGCAATGTCTGTCTTGAAGATTTTTGAGTAACGTAAGCGTACGAACATTCGAACATCGCTTTCAAAGTCGGTATAATATGTTTAGGTGCACGGTTATAGCATTTAATACGACGCGTATATGTTGTGCTCCAATTAGTAAACCATCCTATGATCGTGAAAATCAATACTTCGCAAACGATCCTTCGCATCATAATAATCTAAAATTATCTGCGCCTGGATATTTGCAAAGACATTGCAGGTCAATCAACACTAACTGGAGCCAAAACATATGGATAAAGTTATGCTGATGATTAAACCGTACGCGATTTCTCGATAAATCATTCCTCGATATACTAACAACGTTAGAGTTAATTGTAACAAAGTGGGAGAAAAATCGAATAATATAGAACTATATATTTGTATACTCCTAGTTTTATAGCTATGAATATTCAGTTATTTTTATTTCTTTTTTTTTCGTCTTTTTATTATTACCTGCAATAAACTGTTATAATCTTAATTATTCGTTTTTCATGTTAAATTACATTCCTGTACATAATGTCCGACGATACTAGTTTGACATATAACATATACTAATGAATATGCAAAAGATAATGTGAATTATATTAATATTCAAAGAGAGTTTAAATAGATCGTCTTATTTCAAAGGAATGATTTAAAAGAGAGCATGTACAAAGGATTTATCGCTTAGCTTCGAGATCAACATGTACAGGAATATCTTTTCTACACAGCTATAATAAAAATAAATTCGTGATAATAAATAAATAACAAACATATACATATTACAGAGTGTGATGTTTAGTGGAAGACTGTATTAGGGTCGGTGTATGGGAGATTTATGTTTTAAACCTTGAGCAAGGGTCTTATAAGGATACAGTTGAAATATTGGAGAATCAGTAGCAAGAATTATAATATAATTACATATATTGCATTAATAAAAAGTATCGTGCAGATCGTCTTATCAATATAAATGATATATGATTGCGTGTAAAATAATTGTAAAATTGTTTAGAGAAGCACTTTGTGTGAGCATGAGAGTAATGATAATAAGATACGTAAGGAAATAAGATACGTAAGGAAAATACAAAAATTACAAAAAATATAAAAAGTTTTACCGACATAATAAATATAATAAATAAATGTAGAAATAGTACAAGGAGAGACCTATTCTTATACCATTTCTATATTACAAAGTATATGTGTACATATACGTGTATACATATACTATATGCTACATAGTACAGACTAGAGTTTGAATATTTTAAAAAACAAATCGACATTGCACAATGTATCAGGATATTTCGCATAATTTTTGCATATCTGTTCATCGAATATATTTCCTTGTTTTTTTTTTTATTTCAATAGAAGTCACATTTGTATCGGCAACATATCGATAAATTCGATAACAAAATGTAAAAAAATACCGTATATCAAAACAAATCAACAGAAACGTAGGCTGATCATTCAGTAAACGAACTTCTTAAGTAAAAATTAAATTGACCACTGTCAGATAACAAGGCAGATATCGCTGTACTTTTATTATACGAGCTAACTTTGTTGACAGAACTTTGTATACAATGTATAAATTCAATATAGAAATATCTGTTAGCAACGTATTATAAATACATGCCAGTCTGCGATAAAATCCGCGTGATAGGCAAGATGAGACGGAATAATATAAGGCAATAATAAGAGTACGCATATTTCATCATTATGTCCGATTATTATTCGATTTATAATAAAGAATGAATCGAATATTTTTCAGTATTCTCAACTGTATCCTTTATTGCCCTTAACTTTAAAATAAGGATTTCCGTTAATGTAAGAGAAAGAGAGGGAGAAGAGTAAGAGTGAATGAGAGAGAGAGAGAGAGAGAGAGAGAGAGAGAGAGAGAGAGAGAGAGNGAGAGAGAGAGAGAGAGAGAGTGCTGGACAGTAAACATTCATAATATTTAGATTAATTGATTTTACGAGTGTGTGTACTCCAGTCAAATAGATAATTTTTATTAAAATTGCCAAAAATGTCAAATAAAAGTAAAATCTATATTTGAATTCACGACCAAATAAAGTATTTTTCAAGTACGCCAGAGCACCTTGGAGCGCATATATCAAAACATATTTACAAAACCTAACGTAAATTTTCATCATCATCCTCTTTTCTTCTTTTTTTTTTATACAAAGCGAAATCTGTGTAAGTGGCAAATATTCAATACTAAATTATTATAAATGTAATAAAGCTCGAGGTCTGGTGCGACTATGTTAAAACTTAGCAGAAGGAGCATGAGAATGCATTACAGATAAGAGAGTTTATGTATAAAATCTTACATTTTATTAATCACCGTTTTAATCTCAATCAATCTTAGTGCATCAGAAACATTCATCTTATCCCTCTGACTGGATTGAAGACAGTCGTATTTTAATATAGTACAATTTTGTCCATCCAAATTCTTCGGGATGTATTTTACGTCGCACGAGAGAGAAAGAAAGAAAGAAAGAAAGAAAGAGAAAGAGAAAGAGAGGTTTGTGGGTTTCTCGCATTTCTCGCGCGCGTTAATTTACCGTTGAATTTAACCTCTTAAATTTATATATATAACCAAATGCTCAGCACTCCTATCTCGCAACGGGTTGAAATTTATACACGAGTACAGTCGGTGGATGAATGATTAACGTATGAGGCAGGTAGCACAGATACGTTGAGGCCCGATGCAGTCATCGTGGCAAAAGGCACCACACTGCCGACAAATTACCATAGCTCCTCGCATGTTACATTCGCATGGGGGCGGTGGGTCACCTCCGATTATCATGCCGGGCGCGCCGGGTTCCGCGCCGCCCGTCACTCTGCTATCCGCGCCTCTAGCTTTCAACGTGACAGCCTGATGAGAACCCTCCCCGGCGCTCGCCGGTCGTCCACGCACCAAGTGCACTCCGACACCCATTCCTGCGATTTGCGGAGGTAACGGGGGAGCGGACGACGCCCTCGGGGCACCATCCCCGACTCCGGTTCTTTGTACAAGTATGTATTGCCCAAGACCATTACCAGTAGTGGATCCGAGTTGTGCTATAGGAGCGTTTTCGGCAACCTGCAAGCCAGTGGGAACATCATCACTGATGCGATCTCGTCGTGAGAGCGTCTAACGGCAACTTGAACCGATGTCTCACGTTCAAGTTACTTTCGGCCGAGTAGGGAGTGTATACGAGTAACATTTCGATCTGTAATATTTATTTTTTTTTTCTAGGCTGACTGTCCGTTGTACAACAATGTGTAACACCGGTTTGCTCATCCCCGTTGTCATCGTACATATTTGTATATAGAGAAGCAAATTTCTTTTTTCTTTTTTTTCTTTTTTTTTTTCGTAGCAACGTGCGCAACATCGCGCTAACTTATAACTGTCATTGCAACCTGGCAACGAAAGCCACGTACTATCTCCACTACTGCATTGTCATGTATCCAAAACTAATGTAAAGATTTGTTTATTTAGGTACCTGTATGATACAGAAATCATCACAAGCGACCCACGAGATTAGCACTGTACACACAGAAAAGTATAAAATAGTATGGACGTGCGCTCGAGAGTGTCCGGTTACACATTTCACATAAGACGCGGGAAGAGTTAGTTTACGAGATAAAACGTCCGCGTCGGACGTACTTATTTACAGCGGCAAAGAAAGGAATCCGTGTCCGTATCGTTACAATTTCTTCTCGTGATCTACCTTCTTAACTTACTTTCTCTTTGTAACAGTCTAGTGTAGGAAGAATCGACGGCAATTTTTTCTCGCATCTCTCTCTCTCCCCCTCTCTCTCAAAAAAAGCTAACGCAAGTTACGTGTACGCGTGTTCCGAGCACAGATAGGTATAATTGGAAGCACGATTTGCCGATACGTGCTACGTACCTCCGTCGATGTGGCTTGCCGCGCTGTAGCGAAAACATGTCTCAACATAACTGTCTGCGTCTTATTTTGGACTTGCTTGTTATGCTGTATCGCTTGCTGCGCTTTCTGAGGTTTCACCGTCGTTACCGTGCGCCCGCCGGACTTGTTCGTCGTGAACGCACCGTCTCCACGAGCGAGCAAGCTAGGCGGCGGTTTCAAGTGGGCCTTCAATTGATCTCTGTTCGGCGAACTCTGGATGACCTGTAAGCAGCGGTCACGAGAATGCATACGGAGAATATTGAGACGTCCTAAGACGTCGCAAAGACGTCTTTGAGACAATTGGTCCGTTCTTTTTAGCTCAACTGGCTCCATCGCTTTTATATATATATATATAATTTAATTTATACACACATTGAAGCGTACGTACGAGATTTTCGCTTCAGCGTGCGCAGATTTGTCGACCTGCGGTGCAGCGAGTTTAGCTAAAGAGAAAAAAGAAAAGAAAAAAAAAAATAGACCAAATAAAACGTCCAAAGGACGTCTCCGAGACGTCTTTTAGACATGCGCGTTGTTATGTACAATAAAAATCAAGCACCTTTTTCATACATTTCGTGTACAATTTGTGCGTTGGATTAACATTTACCGCTTGACATATTTGATAGCTGCGTTCCAGATTGACCGCACCCGGCGGCTCTTTCGTAGAGCTCCTCGATCTACCCCCTTGATCCTTGTTATTGTTTCTGGAGCCTCTCTGGTTGCTTTGATTAGACAGACGCGAGGATCGCGACGAGACCGTCACGGACGGCCCGGCGTATTGCTGCTGCTGCTGTTGCTGCTGCGGCTGATGCACAGCGGATGCGATTGGTCGGGGTTGAGCGGAGGTAGCGGTCTGGTGCTGAATGACAATCGCATTCTGCGGCCGATTCTGCGGCTGCACTCCCAACGTGGCCGGGAGAGCGCTTTGTACTTGGCCCTGATTGGTCGCGATGATACCCTGAACATTGCTGTGGCCGGTGCTTTGCGCGTTCACCTGGCCGATGGTATCCTGCTGCGCCCGGATCATGCTGACCTGGGCGGTGCTGTTCGGCTGCAGCGCCGGGATCGCGGGCGAGCTGTTCAACGTGGACGCCGTCTCCTGCTGCTCCTGCGGAGGGAAGCCGGCCTGCACGAATCGGACCGGCTGCAGCTGCGGGAACGCGATTATCGGCGGGTCCTGCGAGCTCTGCAGGCTCTTCATCACGCAACTGGTGCCGGGTGTGTTGATGGCGAGACCGCCGTCCGCCTGAAACGCGGCGGCGCCTTGGACCACCGGCAGCTGAATGCAATTGACGGGCTCGACGCCGTTGGCGTCGGTGCCGATGAACTGTTGCGGGGGATTCGCGGACTCGGTCGCCGTGGACGTTTCGCTGCACTCGTCCTGCGTCGTCACCGTGATATTGGCGGCGACGGAGCCGTCGAGCGCGGCTGCCACCAGAGGCCAAGGTACCTGCAGCTCCTCTTGCGTCTTTGTACGCGTGAAAAGAGCGAGCGCAAGTTAGTTACAACATTGTCGCTACTGCGGAGTAAATCTCCGACACAGCGACGTCGCGTTTATATTCACCCTGTTGTTGTTGGTGTTGCCGTTATTGATGCTATTCACGGTGGGATCCACCGTCCAGCTGCATTCCAACATTTCGGAGCAGACGTAATTGTTCGCTTCCCGAAGAGCCTCGTCCTCGTTGCCGGCGTGCACGTCCGTCGCCCTGGTGTCCTCAGCCTGGCCGGAAACCACCACCTGCGGCTCGGTCACCTCTGTATTGCTTGGGGCCATTTCCATGCCCTCCAAAATCGGGTATATTATCTCCTCCGGACAGCCGGAGATCTCCTCGTACATCTCGCGCATTTCTCCCCTCACCTGAAAAGCGAGCGAATGATTACAACGGTAAACGGTTTCCGGCGATCGGCGCGCCGGGACTCGACGTCCTCACCTACCTCGAGTTCGTGGATCCGCTGCAGGGTCTCGCTGTCGATCTCCATTCCCTCCGGGATCTGCGACTCGCTGTCCGCCGGGTTCTCATGCGAAGCCTGAGTCGTCTCGGTCGTCTGATTGCTGTTGATCAAACCGGCATCCTCTATGACGATGTCCGCGGGCCTGACCTGATCCTGCGGCGACGAGGTCTCGAGGATGCTCGTGGTTTCGCAATCCGACATCTGATAGATCTGGTCGTTGGACATCTGGGAGATCTGCTCCTTCGCCATCTGCGGAATCTGATCTATAGATGTCTGCGACATGTACTCGTTGGACAGCTGGGACATCGACTCGCCGGATGTGTGAGAGGCGCGTTCTATCTGTTCGCTGGACCTGGGCGAGGAGTTGTCGTCGGGCAATAACACGGTGTCCTCTTCCGACGCTTCGGTCACGTTGCTCCCCACCGGCTGCGCGTTCTTCTCGCTGGCAGGGAAATCCGTCTCTTCCTCGTAGACATTCGAGACGCTCTCTTGTTGACAAACTTGCTGCCTCGTGACGTCCTCGTGATCGGTTTCGGTCATCGTATCTTGCTTGTCGCAGATATCCATTACTTTGTCGGCTCCTTCCGTCGCTTTGCCGTCGAGCATTTGAACGTCCTCTGTAACCTCCGCGGGATTTACGCGCGCCGAATCCTCCAGGTGTTTCTCGCCGGTCAGATTCTCCGGTAGCGCGTTGTAATCCAAAGGCATCAGGTTTTGTCGCGCCACCTCCGGGTTGGCCGGGTCGTCGGGGCTTTTTATGCCGATCTCGGTCTTGCAACCGGCGTCGCTCTTGTCTTCCGCCATTACGACGGGACAGACCGTGTGCTCCGACACCGGGATATCGATACTGGATTCCAGACGAAGTCTTAAGCTTGAACGCGTCACTGCACCGCTGGAACGTGACTCGCTGATGTAATGAAGACTCGACTTGAGTTTAGGCTCTCGTTTCTCTCCCCATATCGGCTCGAAGTGTTTCACCTTCCACGGGTCCAGCTTGTTCTTGTCTCGCTCCGCTTCCATCTTCAGACGCTGTTGATTCTCCGGGGTGAATTCTCCCTCTGCTAAACGCTTCCGCCATTCTAGGCAAGCCCTCGCAAAGAATTCATTGTTCAATCCGGAGATAGCGGCGTCCTGGGGAACATAATTAACGCAGGTATGAGTTTCGACGTAAGTCGACGGCACATACGAGGTGTACCGTGTGGACTGTCAAGGAATTACGGGAAATACCTGTCTATCTACAGCTGGCAGAAGTTGCGCGAGCTTCCGCTGATACAACGGAGGTAAGCCTTGAAAGGTATGCCTATTTAACAGAGCTCGTAAACTCGTACTCGCTAATATGCTCGCTGGAGATTCCAGATCCACGAGACCAGCCTCCAACTGCGCCGTCGCCGACAATCTCTTGGTAGATCGTCTGCGGCCCGACTTTAAGCTAAATCCAGGTAAACTAGCCAAGACTTCTCTCATTGTGGCAGCAGGTTCTTCCACTGCTACGTCCATGCAAAATATGGGTTATCAGAAATACTTGCCAGTTACCAATTAAATGCCGCTATGCTACGCAATTAAAGAGCAAACGTGTGATATCACAAAATCATTCAGTACTATCGCACAGTGATCTCTGCTTTACGGTGTACAGTATCCAGAGAAAATCACCTACGTCCTTCAATTTAACAAATAAAAGAGACAGCTAATCGTCTTAGGATACCTTATACGCAGTAATATTAATTAGTGTATATGCGCAAAGCAAGAAGGAAGCAAACTAATTGTCGTGGTACACCAATTACCAGTGTTGATGTGTTGTACGTTATTAACCGGAGACGGTGGATCATTCGGCGGAGGCGGAGGCAACGGCTTGACAACAATCCTAGGTAGTGTACGGGAATTGCCCGCCGCTATCGTCGTGTTCTTTCTACGCCGTTTGGCCTGCTGTCGTAGCGCGTGCTTGATGACTTTCTTACTGTGCACCATGCTCGAGTAACCAGAGCAGCCCGGTATAGTTTCGCACCCTTCACTTTTGCCAAGTTCCACGTCTGTGTCCATGACAGTGCCTACAGCTTTAACATCGTCCAAGGAAATATCAGGACACACGGTGTAAGCTTGCCGCGGCATGCTGTTAAATTGTATATCGGCGCTTCCGTTCGTTACATTCCATCCTACCGTAGATTCAACCGATTCATCGCAAATCTCCTGCTGTGTTCCGCTCGTCGGGATATAAACATAACATCTCTCTTTCTCCCTCCCTCCCTCCCACCCACTCTCTCTCTCTCTCACCAGTGACAACCGAACAACATACCAATGCGACCGGTTGAAATACGTTATAAAGTTTTCGTGGAACCGCTCACGTCATTTCGCTCGACGGTACGTAAATCCACAAGATTACATTGAGCGATGAAATTTTACAACTCTTTCAGTCATATGGCGAAATGCCATCCGCAAAAGTATGAAAGATTCCGCTTCTCTCGGCCATACTGTATTTACATATTTATGTCGCAGAAGTGTCGGTCGGTGTAGACGCGCAACTCGTTTGCACTTCAGAGCGTACACACTGAAGGAGCACAGCCAATCGGAGCAGCGGTAGCGTTACGCTCGATCGAGATCTGAAAGTACATACCAATCATATCCGCTGATCATTGATTATCTCCACAGGATGCAGTCTAATTGCTATAAGAAATACTTCAAAAGGTTACCGGGGGGCGATTCATTTGTGTCTCTCAATACTTTCGACGCTTTCACCCTCTATTTTGTCAAGTTTTTCATCAATGAATTTCGGAACGCATATGTACGATCCAATAGGAGGGCTTGTTTCTTGAAAATTAGACATCGTGCATGCAATCATGCGGTTGTTCATCTGGATAGGTCGTAATAATGACAAGCAAGAACTGACCGTTCATGAAATTTGGCGTGAGATAGGGTTAGGTCTCTCGCGGTAGAAGTTGATGTTCTGCACTTGTGTTTCTGTCATATAAATGGAAATATATTAAATACTCACCCGGAACGTTCATTACTACCTGTGAGTCAATCATGACGCTTACAAATAAGGTAAGGCAAATTTCATTTACCAACTGAAATCTTATATTAATTGGTAATTGTAACTCGAATACACATTTGGGGAATTTTTAAGATGGATATTGATGACAAAAATGCCAAGGGGGAAGGTTTCAAACCGTATTACATTACGAAAATCGAGGAATTGCAATTGATTGTTGCTGAGAAGAGCCAAAACCTAAGGAGACTACAGGCACAGCGAAATGAACTTAATGCCAAAGGTACTTGTTCTCATTCAATATAAATAGGTCTGTTCTTTTCCATTAAACTAGTGTATACTAATAGAACTGAAAAAGAGACAAATCTATGGTTCAGATCTATTGGTGGAAGAAATAGGAGAAGAGGATTAGTGCAAGCTAATGTAACCAATTCAGCAAAAAAAATAAATAAATAAACCTGTTATTGTATAAAATTCATGGATTCATATTCTGGATTTATTTTTATTGATAAAATAAAATAAAAATATCCCTAAAAGTAGCTCAGGAACCACCTGATTGACTGAGAAACCATTTTTATTCATAAGAGTAAATTCTGAATATGAGCCATAGAGATTGAACATGTTCTTGATTGTGTGTAAGAAAATGATTGTATAATTTTTATCTTCTTTTCTTCATAGTACGGATGCTTCGAGAGGAGTTGCAACTCTTACAAGAACAGGGCTCATATGTAGGAGAGGTGGTCAAACCGATGGACAAAAAGAAGGTCTTAGTCAAAGTACATCCTGAGGGCAAGTTTGTGGTAGATTTAGACAAGAATATTGACATCAATGATGTGACACCAAACTCGCGTGTGGCTTTGCGCAATGAAAGTTACACTTTACATAAAATATTGCCAAATAAAGTGGATCCACTTGTTTCCCTCATGATGGTAGAAAAAGTACCGGATTCTACGTACGAAATGGTTGGAGGTTTAGACAAGCAAATAAAGGAAATCAAAGAAGTTATAGAGTTACCGGTTAAACATCCGGAACTGTTTGATGCTCTTGGAATTGCGCAACCTAAGGGTGTATTATTATATGGACCACCAGGTAACAATTTGCCATGTTATTAAAGATTTAAAATCATAGGAATCATTTAATTTTTTGCCGCTGTATACTGTAAACACTTGAATAATTTTGATTCTATTATAACAATGCAAAATCTTTAGGTACCGGCAAGACTTTGCTTGCAAGAGCTGTTGCGCATCACACCGAATGTACTTTTATTCGTGTATCTGGATCTGAATTAGTACAGAAATTTATTGGGGAAGGATCACGTATGGTTCGTGAACTTTTTGTTATGGCGAGAGAACATGCACCATCTATAATATTCATGGATGAAATCGATTCCATCGGTAGTTCCCGGATTGAATCTGGATCTGGAGGCGATAGTGAAGTAACTATATATGGAAAAAGTATATTTATGATTTTATGTTTCTTAACATATAAGTTATACTTTTCCAGGTTCAACGAACCATGTTAGAATTACTTAATCAATTGGATGGCTTTGAAGCAACGAAGAATATAAAGGTTATCATGGCTACAAACAGAATTGATATCTTGGATCCTGCGTTATTACGTCCTGGACGTATTGATCGTAAAATTGAATTCCCACCACCAAATGAAGAAGCTAGATTGGACATCTTAAAGATCCATTCTAGAAAAATGAACTTGACCCGTGGAATAAACCTAAGAAAGATAGCTGAACTCATGCCTGGTGCGTCAGGAGCAGAAGTTAAGGTAACAATTCTGACTTCTATTTGTAGCTTTCTAACTACTTGCATAAAATAAATATAAATGTTAAATATGTAAATTCAATCTACTCCGAAGAGAAGCTATTTTTTTTCATCTAAAATCACTTAGGAAAAAAGAATTAAAATGTTCTGCTCGCAGGAATTCAACAATTTTTCTAACATGTTTCATTTGTACTTTTGTCACATTTTTAGAAGCTTTCCACAATTTAGTTGCATTTTGATAAAACAAAATAAGTATATATGTATATATAAATCTAAGTTTTTTATATGAATTGTAATATTATTTAGGGTGTCTGCACTGAAGCTGGAATGTACGCTCTTAGAGAACGTCGTGTTCATGTAACTCAAGAAGATTTTGAAATGGCTGTAGCAAAGGTGATGCAAAAAGATTCCGAAAAGAATATGTCGATTAAGAAACTATGGAAGTAATCGACTTAATAACTTTTTCAATATTACTCTTATTAATGATCTTTGATGTACTGTTGTTTCTCTTACATGAATAAACTATTTTAATCAGGATCGGAATATAAATGTATTTAAAACGTGGAAACGTAGGAACTTCGTATAAAATTAGAAATGTACAACACAAACTTTGTATCAATATCAAATCATTGATTAAATATATTATACATGAAAATAGTACATCCCTCGTTATTAAGTATTATTTTATTTGCCACTTATGTTTATCAAATTGTGATAACTATATAATGTTATACTTAGTTGGACATATTTAATGATAATTTTAATTCTTAAACTCATCTAAAATAAAAACAGAATTTTAATATACAGAATCCTCAATATGTACTTGCGGTTTATACACTAGTGCAAATGTATAAAAAAACAGAAATATTAAAAGATACGATTCCTTTCGTATTCTGCACATGAAAATATTAAGACGAGATTGTGGAAATTTAAAATAAAATATTCACAATGATATTTTATGATATTTCAATCAAAAATATAATTTCAATCGAAGGAAAATACTTCCTATCTATTTTTTGTCAATATTTTTATATGCACAACGATCAGAACCAATTTATATATGAAAAAAGTGAAATCATATATTGATACAGTCTGTAAATTTATTTTTTATCTTGAGTTTTTCTTCGCGAGTCCCAACTTGAAATGAGAATATTTTATTTACACAAATTATTACTTTCCCTCATACACGATTCGTCCTATGTTGTAAAGATAAGTTGCTATATTCTAACATAAACCTTTAAAGTAATTGTCGCAATTTAAGCGTAAGTCTTACAACTGAATGCTTCGTAAATATTTGCCCCAAGCATTTTGATATCATTATTTGACATAAGGTATTCAAGTAAATCCGCCGATGCGTCTCTTATTACTGGATTATCCGGAATTTGGCCGATTATAATAGGAATAATTTTGGCCATCGGCAAGGTGCTTTTATTAATATCTAAAAATTCGCTCGTCCCATTATTCACGGCTTCATTCGGATCGTCTTGACTTGATGTTTCCGAATACGATATTCCATTTTTGGTTTTGGAAGCAATGTCAAAGTATTCAGATATGCGATCTATTAATGACACGAATCCGCTTCTGATGTTTCTTTGCGTTAAATTTTGGACCTCGTCGCTCTCTAATAGATCTAACGTCTGATCAATTATATTTGAATACACGGACGTCTCGTTGTTTCCATTAGTTAGTTTTTTAGCCTGTTGCGTAGCCGATATTGCGTAACTTGTAAAATTCTTAATAGGATCGTTTAAGTTATCGGCAAATATAGATGATGTGATCGCCCAGTAAATTTGTTCTAAATCTCTTAATGTTAACTTGTTGTCCAAAGATATTGCAAATGTGACTTGTTCGACCTTACTTTTCATAAGGTTGCACAATTTCTGAACTCCGTCATGTATAAAATAAGCAGAAAGTTGCAAGTATTTCGCTCGTACATCATATTCCTCAACGTTGTTCTCTGCAATCTGATTCTGGTACATGTATCCGCTGATTACATTAATTTGAATTCTAAGAAATGTAACTAGCATCGTGTATGCATAAATTATTACAGCCGACCGTGTAACAGCTATAACTTTCAGCTCATTCCACAATGCAATCTTATTTGCAGAGCCATGTTTGAGTTGATTTATAATAGTCTGTCCGTCAAGTTCCTTGATTATAGTATTCCTTATGTTTAAGGCAAGACTCTTTGTCATTTGATCACATGTTTTCTCCAAATGCTCAAAGTGTTGTTGTTTCTTCGCCCTTTCCAATATCGCTCTTATCTCTCTTTGTTGCCATTCACGAATCCTATACTGGGTATAACGCGTTATAAGGACAATACCACCAAAAATGGCACTTCCAATTATAAATTTACGCTGGTGACGCTTAAAGAATTGCTGTATGCTTGATAACATGATGAATCCTTGATACTGATTTAATTCACATTGAAATATGTTACAAAAACTTCATACTACTACTTTATAAGTGATAATCCTTGGAATGACTTAATCATTCCAAGCTACCTAGCTCAGGCTGCGAGCTTGAAGCAATATGTTTTAACCTATTTGTAACAAAGTTGGTAGTATCGATGAATCTTTCCACACAATTCACAAGACACTTCTGAACTTTGGCCTCCAAGCGTGCTGACGGCCTGTCCATACAACTCTCCCAACAAATATCGGTTAACTCATGTACCAATACCTAAAAGTATCAACAAAAATATGAGCAAGTCAGTCTTCCTTACAAATGGATATAAAAAAGCAAAAATCTAAATATATTCGAAGTCTATGTAAGACTAATATTTCACATATTTATGGTTAGCCATTACCTTACAAGATACATATTGTCAATATTTGATAATATTGCAAGATAAAGGTGTTGCTGAGTATGACCAAAAGAGATCTGAAAGCAAGTTATACGAGCGAATGAAAATTAACCTGAAATTGTTGCTTCTTGTTTTCAGCCTCGATAAAATCTTTCAATCGATTATCAACGACGTATTGCGCATCCGAATTCTCGACAAGATTCATACTTCAAATCCACGGCCTCCTTCTTTCCACATTAATGCATGGAAACCGTCGACCTTCAATCGTTTATTGTACTCCAAGCCTCTTCAAACCGGCAAGATTACTATTTGAAGATAAGACGTGTCATTGTGACCATGATCTGGCTCAAACCATGGTGCAATAATTAGTTACGAGATACAAGCAACGAAAAAGTAGATAAGCAATATCGGTGGTCGACACCAGAGTTGGGCAATATTTCAGCGACTTTCGAAACACGTCTGACATTCAGGGCTGATCGTTGTAACTTCTAGGTAAGATTTATACGAAGTATGTTCATACGTCCACTGATTCGTCCTAAACTAGATTTAGTTAGTCAAGCTTATATGTTGGCTACCCTGTTCTATCTAACAGAGTGTACGTTCCACATAACGATCGCAACATTCACGCTCGCAACATTATAATCATCCGTTCCATTAAAGCTCGTATCAGAACTGCGGATTGAAGATTGAGATTGAATTGAAATTTGACCAATCAGTGCAAAGTTGATTAAATTTCACTAAACTTGAGTTCAGTTAACTTTGTACTGATTGGCCAAATTTAATTTAATCTCAATCTTCAATCCGTAGTTTGGTACGGGCTTAACGTGAGCGTGACGATAAATGGAACGAGTTATGACTCGCAGCTAGCGCGACGTGCAATGTGATATGTGATATCCAATGAGCGTACCGCTTTTCCAGAAGAACTGCACGCCTATTGGATATCGCTGGTTTAAATCCAGTTATAGGCTAATAATAGAAGATATTAGGAATAAATATTAAATATTAGGAACGAGAATTAGGAATTATTTTCACACGATGGAATGAAATGAACGGTTGTATGACACAATTTCTACGAGGTCTGGCTATTAAATAACGAGACTGCTTATGAAAAAGAGTTTTATTTTAAAAATTATTCTACAATCGAATGCTCCCTTTCAATGTACTCCCCTCCCCTCGCCACACACCGTTCCATTCGTTCTTTCCATTGGTCAAAGCAATGCTGGAAGTTTTCTTTTGTAAGTATATTTAGGAGCTCCGCCGATTTTTGCTTCACCTCTTCCATCGATTCGAACCGGGTTCCTTTTAAGACAGACTTGATCTTTGAAAACAGGAAAAAGTCACAAGGTGCTAAATCAGGCGAGTACGGCGCGTGTTCGTGCACTGGAGTGCCTCTAGCGGCGAAATAACGCTTGGGATCAATTTCACACAGACTTTCTTCATGGTCAATTCAAAACAAATTCGTCATGTAAAATTTTTCTGACAGTTTCTTTATCGGCGTTTACAGTCTCAGCAATCGTCCTCATGCTCATACGACGATCTCTGCGCACAATTTCATTGATTTTGGTCACTGTTTGCGGAGTTGAAACAGAGACAGGTCGACCTGGACGTTGGTCATCTTCGGTGCTCTCTCGGCCTTCAGAAAACCGTTTATTCAAAAACACGCGCACGAGATAGAGAATTCTCACCATAGACCTCTTTCAACAAGTTATAGCACTCAGTCGGAGTTTTTTTTAATTTAACGAGAAATTTCACATTGATCCGTTGCTCGTGTTTTTCGTCACACATTGTTATCGGCACGAGAAAAAAACACGTTCGTTTCTAATCTCTATAGAAAAAATACTACTATAGCGACAAAAACGAGTTTTTGTACTGGAATAGTAGACACTTCCACCTATCCAACGCTGCATTCGTTTCCCCCCTTCCCCTCTAGGACGACTTCTGCGCGCGCAGTCTCGTTATTAAATAGCCAGACCTCGTATATTTATATCTTTTATTCTTTTTCATTGTGAATTATGTTTAATCATGTTATTCCTAATTCTATCCTAATATTTAATATTTATTCCTAATATATTTCCATTATGCAGGGTCTTAAATATAAGATATCTTAAGGTTCGGTGTCACTAATGTGAATTAATCAAACCCCTCGATTAAATTCAGTTTGTCCATTGGAACTGACCAATCGCATTTATTTAACAATGATGCGATTGGACAGTTCCAACGGAAGAGCTGAATCTAATCGACTGATTTAGTAAACTTGCATTGATGACTCGGCTTATGGCCGATATTCATAGCTGGATCTTACATTTAAGACCGTCTTAATTTCATCTGCAGATGCTGTACAACTCATTTCATTGGCTGCAAAATATCTGAAGATGAACTTAAGATGGCCTCGAATATAAGGTCCGACCATGAATAACCGGCCTTTGTTTTCTAGGGACCCCAGATTAGTTGGGGCCGCCCTGTCGCGGTTGGAAAGGCGGCCGCTCGCGCGCACGTCCGTTTTCGTCATCGTCCACTCTTGAGGTTAGGGGGCGGGGAGGAGAGTACTTATCCAAATTCGTGCATCTTCTGTCACAACGGGCGAGATTAGTCCGTAAGTTTCGCTTAGCACGCGTAACTTGCGGGGAGGCCATTTGTGCGGCGCGTTGACGGGATTCAGGCCAAGGTATCGACCGTAATCGTTCTTGGTATGTCGGTAATCCGGCGGATTATCCGCGAGAACGGTTTAGCGGCGAGGTTCGAAAACGAAATTGCGAAAGGAGCGGGCCGTGCGGCGGCGGCGTGCGAAAACGCGGCGGTGCGAGGAAGAGAGAGAGAGAGAGCGAGAGCGGCCGGGCGGGCGGGCGAGGATAAATAGCGCGGGACGTCGAGCGATATCGTCGGCGGAGGGTGACTGTTGCGAATGAGCAGGGTGTGCATCTCCAAATAAGGTGTTCTCGCGCGAGAGAGCGCGAGCCTTCGTGTTTCTGGCGCTGCTGCTACGTGGTCGTCGGGCGAGTTACGTTCGGCGGCGACGCGTGTAACGTCAGTGGCGGGAATACGAAACAGCCTTGCCTCCCGATCGATCGTTCCTTCCTTCGTACGTTCCTGGTTCGTCGTTTTAACGGTGACTAACGCGCCGTTGAAAATGCGTCGCGAGCGTACGGGAGATAACACGTCGCGATAACGGGCGGTCGGGAGTGCGGCTTTCCTTCCTGTTAGATTCGCCGGTTCGTATCGCGTTCTCGCGGTATTGTTCGCGGTGGTAGTCCACGCACGAAGTCGCCTCCTCGACGTAGCGCTCCTCGGCCGCGATTTTCAAAAGTCCAAATTAGTCGTAAGGGTGTTTTAAAGCGACCGTTTCCTCCGGCCTCGCTGTGTACGCGCGTACGTGCGTGTGTGTGTGTGTGTGTCGCGCAGCGAGCGAGCGAGAGAGCGAGTGAGCGGGCGGATGACATATATCTCATATTATTTTGAATCGCTCTGAATCACGATCTCGCGCTTTCTCGCTCTGGCTCGCGTCGACGCGGGCGCGGCCCGCTCTCGCGCGACGCTCTCTCGTACTCGCGCGACCCCGTCTATTTCGGTGGATCGAAATCATTTTTCGATGCACCATGTAAGGAGCGCGGGAAGTGCGCGTTCGTCGCTCTCTCTCTCTCTCTCTTTCGCTCGCTCGCTCGCGTTGCGATAAATCGTTCAATGGCTGTTGAACGGCCGGCACACCCGCGGCCGTTCGTGCCGCGTGCACGTATCGATGCACGGATAAGTGACGGTGACCGAACGTACGAAATATTATTCTTATTTCGGTCGTGTGTATCCTTTCGGCTCGCGATACGCGGAGGGCTTGGAGAGAGAGAGAGAGAGTGGGGAATCTATTTATAAAATGGGGATGTTCCACACGCGACGCCCACGCCCGTGGGCTCCCGTAGCGGATACGTGCAACGATAATTTATTAAAATAATCATAATAAGCGACGCGTGAAGCCGTGTACACCGTTGTAGAGGTTATTTAGCGTTCTTCTCTCTCTCTCTCTCTCTCTTTCTCTCAGTCTTTTCCCCTTCTCTCTTTCTCGCGCATACACACACATACGCACACCAGTACCTTAGCCGCATTTCACTCACGTCTGTCCTGTAATTGAAAGTAGGTGCAGCAGACATGTCTTTTCGCGTGGTGCGTAGCAGCAAGTTCCGCCACGTGTACGGAACCCCGCTGAAGCGCGAGCAATGTTACGACAACATCAGAGTCTCGAAATCGTCGTGGGACTCGACGTTCTGCGCGGTGAATCCAAAATTTCTCGCCATTATCGTGGAATCGGCGGGCGGCGGTGCCTTCATCGTCTTGCCGCACAACAAGGTAAGCCGCCTCTCTCTCTTTCTCTCTCTCTCTCTCTCTCTCTTTCTCATTCTCTTCTTTTTATGCATTTACGCCCCAGTTTCGCCGGTGTCGCGTCTTTAACTTTCTCCTGATTTAACGCAACTGTCGTCGCTGTCTGCTGTGTAACAGAAGAACGATCGTATCTTCGTTTGTATCATAGCGAATTTCTTTGCGGGTACACACTAGTATATGTGCTTCTGCGGGCTCGATGGTTGATCGATCGATTGATTTTTGCGAATCGTTATAGGTAGGAAGAATACCGGCGGACTATCCTTTAGTAGGCGGACACAAGGGACCTGTATTAGATATCGCATGGTGTCCTCATAACGATAATGTCATAGCTTCCGGCTCCGAGGATTGTGTCGTCAAAGTATGGCAAATACCTGACGGGGGTATCTCCAGGACATTGACCGAATCGATAGTAGATCTGCAGCTGCACCAACGCAGAGTCGGTCTAGTGCTGTGGCATCCGTCGGCATTGAATGTGTTGCTCACGGCTGGCTCGGACAATTTCGTTATTATTTGGAACGTCGGCACGGGGGAAGCCTTGGTACGCATCGACTGTCACCCGGACGTTGTTTATTCCGCATGTTGGAACTGGGACGGATCTCGGATAGTCACTACGTGCAAAGACAAAAAGATCCGAATCCTGGATCCGAGGTCGGGTGAAATATTAGAGGAGGCTATAGCGCACGAAGGAAGTAAGGCGACCCGTGCCATTTTTCTCAGGTATGTCTCTCCCATGTTTTACATGTCTGTCAAGTATCTCACTGCTATCTTATCGCTTTCTTTTATTGTTGTATATCGCTCGAATATATTTGTATACGTGCACGATAAGGCTGTGCGGCTAAAAGAAAGACGAAGGAAAGGTCAATTAATCCCGTGAAAAGAGAGAAAAGATATATATTTGAATGTATTTTGGAAAATTGTGAAATTCTTGAATACACGATCATCGTAAAGAGAGCACGAATTTTCCAAGACGATACGTAACAGTATTTAATTTTGATCTTACCTGAATTCGAGATATTTTTAGTCGCATCAGTCTTGCCCCCCAAAGTGCAATGTGTCGCTCGTTATTTCGCCAAATTTCGAAATGTAAATATTAGGTGCTTTTAATTATTCTATATATTCGGCCGAAACATGTTTTACTTTTAACGCATATTTAACTAAAATGGCAGAACATCTTTTCATGTGATCACACTGTCTTTACATACATGTAATATAATGTTGAATGTTTGGGACCTGAATATTGAAGCAATATAACATTCTTCTTATGGTCATAATTTTTATTAAAAAAAAAAACAAAAGAGTGCATTTTTTTACACTAACGAGTGAACTTGCATGAGAGAGTGTGGATGTAGAAAGTATATAAGTGCCAAGTAAATGTCAAAACAAAGGAATGTAAATAATATTGTATCAAATTGTAACATATTGTAAATATTCGTTTATGTCATTAGGTACTTAAACTTGATTAAAATACTATTTGTATATGAGAAAAAAAATATAACATTTATCTCTAACATAATCATCAAATGGTATACATCCACCTTTTTACACAAGTACATTAATATAACAAGTACAGTACAGGTAACGTCGAATTATCTCTCGAATATAGCCATATATATATGTTCGAGCTCTTCACCCTTTCGTTTATCTTATTGCCTCTCTACCGTTTTTAATTTTTACGACGCGATAATATATATATATATATATATATATATCCGCATCAACATACACTAGTACTTAGTATTTCTCGCGCTTTAGTTATTTCCGTGAATGCTGTGTAAGAGAAGCAGAACATTTTCTTGAAGGGCTACATTTATTTTTATCATCTTGTATTTCCGGTTTGTGTAGTGCGAGATTCTGTAATTTTTAATGGAAAACTGCAAGACTGAATTTGCAACATGACGAAGATGCCGACTTAATAAATACGAATGTCGAAGATGCGTGCTCTATATTTCTCCATAGAGATGTTGCAGTAAGTATCGTACTCATCAAGTTACTCATTCAAACCCCGTAACACACTGTAAACGTTAGGTAAACATTAGAATTGTGCAAGTGTAATTACGTAAATCATAAACCGATGAACATTAACTTTGTGGCAGCGTAATATCTTTATAAGATAATTATACGGTGACAAACTGTCGTTTGCATCTGTATGTGTGAAAGAACAGAGAGAAGAAAGATATATATATTCGCCGGAGAATGCTTAAGCAGAAAGATAAATTTGTCTAAGTAAGTACTATGTTGCACTTCCGTACGAAGTAGTGATAATCTCCTGCATCGCACGAGGTGTCTTATTTATTGTGGGACAACGTTCATATACGAGAACTTTGAAGTGAGAAATGTTGTCTCCTTGTCAAGTATAAGGTGGTAACAAGGTGGATGTAGTAAAGCTTTGATGATTAATTTCTATGTGTGAGCATACGTTACATAGTGACAGATCAATAACGCTAAAAACACAAAAAATACGATGGACTATCGCATCGGATAGATACTGGGCGACTGGTGTAATCACTGCTAAAGCTGCTTGTGTTGTATTTTCAGGGGTGGCTTGGTCTTTACCACGGGTTTCAGCAAGATGTCGGAAAGACAATATTCGCTACGAGCTCCCGACATGTTGGGCGAGCCCATAGTTATGGTAGAATTAGACACGAGCAACGGAGTTATGTTCCCGTTGTACGATCCCGATACAAATTTAGTGTATTTATGCGGCAAGGGCGATTCTGTGATCCGATATTTCGAAATTACGCCCGAACCACCGTTCGTTCACTATATCAACACTTTCCAAACTCCTGACCCTCAACGAGGTATAGGAATGATGCCAAAACGGGGCTGTGACGTTAATAGCTGTGAAATAACCAGATTCTATCGATTAAACAATTCGGGCTTTTGCCAAGTGGTATCCATGACAGTGCCGAGGAAGGTGAGAGACAGTGGTTGCTTCGTACTTTAGACGGATAAATTTCGACGATAGTCGGGCCCGAATTTTTAAAGGCGCGTTAAAAGAAAAAAACAAAATGCTATCAACGAGACACGAGTTTCCACGGGCGATTGTGTGATTTCAGTCGGAGCTTTTCCAAGAGGACTTGTATCCCGATACGCCCGGCGACACGGCCGCGATATCGGCGGAAGAGTGGGAAGCCGGCACCGACGCCGAGCCTGTCTTGATATCTCTCAGGGACGGTTATCAGCCGACCGCCTCGAAAAATGAGCTCAAAGTCCAGAAGAAGTCTAATATACTGAGTAAAGGAGCCAAGGTTGCATCCAATGTGCAAAATGCGGCCCAAATCTCATCAGCGGCATGCGTACGTTTTATCTATTTTATTCGTTATTCGACGCGCTTCGTTTCCGCGTACGTGTCGAATAAAGTTGATCATATCGTTCATCGACGCGTTATCGTCATTGCAGGAGGAAATGCTGAAGGAATGCAGAGAAGAGATAAGAAAATTGAAAGCCGTGATCGTGAAGCACGAAGGGAGGATACGAGTGTTGGAATCTGCGGTCGCGCTTCAGATGAAGGAGGAGGAGAGAAAAGAGAGAAAAGAGTCGGCATCACCGGACGTCAAAGAAGCGCTCGCCTCCGACGAAGTGTGAAAACCCCTCCTCCGGGGGGCTTTCGCGTCCAAGTTCCGGTGTGACGCTGTACTTTCTAACTAGAGCGTATTTTTTACTAGAATCACTAATATCGTGTAATAAGAATGATCGTATATTTTGATATAACAAACTTGTGTAAATAGTAGGTCCTAGCGGATGACGTGTGTCTGACTCTCTTTGTCTCTCTATCTGTTTCTACCTCTCTCTCTTCCTCTTTCTATCTTGATCTATCTGTATCTCTGTCTCTTTGTAATGATATTTGCTATTTATTGTACATCCATTCTTATCGTACATTCTCTGCATTTGTATTATGTTTACATGTTTTATTATTATTATTATATTTACTGACGTTTAAAGTCATTGTACGTAATATCTATCCCCTAAAGTTAAGTTTTCGATCGACATAGCGGTACGACATACAAGACTTATGTAAAATGAACCTTTGTATGAATAATTATTCGTAACATATGCGAGTGCCTAACTTGTACAGATATTTGATGTTAAATAACAAAGAGTATTATTTTGTTTCAACGTACGACTTATATAGGTGTGATTACGAACCATCTGTTACTCAGTAGCTCGTTCTAAGAGATTCAGTTTATCCGACTTCTTTCAAAATTGTATGCTCACGCCTGTTGTAATCTGATAGGCTGTTAGGTTCTCAAGACGAGGTGATAGTTACAAGAGTGAACAAACTCACTAGTTGTGTTGACTAATGAAATTATAAATATTCTAATAAATTGTTCATTTTTGTCATTTTCACCTCGTTTTAAAACTCGTAAAAGCGAAAATTCATGAGATGCTGAAACGGCATCGAGCGTAACAACGTGACATCACATTGACGTCAGCGTAAAAAAAAAGAAGTTAAATCGCATCTAACGTCATGCATCGATGAGGTAATATTAAAGACCATCGGCCTTACGGAAGTTAGCGTGTAAGAAAATTTCGTTGTTCAATAATCTCCAGTCGATAAATTTGTTGGTAAATTTGTGTTAAATCAGCGTAGATGATAACTGTAGAAATGCAGATTCACAAAAATATTTAATATATTTAATTGTAAGTCTGTGTATATATGGATAAAATCATCGAGGGGGGAGGGGGGAGAGTTACCGTAAATAATAAAATTAATGCTTTGACCCCCCTCCTCTGACAACAAATATTTATATCAGATAACTAAAAATGATTGAATGATGCCATCATCCTTTTTAAATTATATCCGAATCCTTCAGGTCCTTTATCACCGTACGAAAATTTGCGCAGGCTGAAAATGTTGGATGTTACCTCGTCGGCGCGTCATGTAATGCGAACTGCCAATATGAATATTCTAATGTTTCATATTGCTTATTATGTTTTATTATTTTTCCCATGTATTCTCTTGACCACATTAAAATATTTACTCCAGAACGACGCATTTCTCAAAGAGAATTCCGTTGATCTGTTTTAAGGCTACAAATGAGCGTCGAGCGTCAGCATGAAAAGGCACCTTAATAAGCTTCTCTGAACACAATTCCGACGGCTGAGGTCAGATGCCGGTACAGTCGCGAAGTTGCCGTCGCCGATATTACCGACCGAGCCGGGTCGGGCTCATTCGCCGCCTCGTGGTTAGTTGACATTAATCATCCGGTCGTGGTACTGCGTTTCGATTCCGAGGTACCGCTCGAGCTGAAAGAAGCGAAAAGACGAAGGAGATATGCGCTTCGTGAAATCTTAATATTGCGACGTACGTTCGGCGTAAAGAAGACGGAGAGAGAGAGAAAGACGGCTGCGCCTCTTTTAGCTGACAGTGAGTAACGCTATTTCGACAAATGTTTCTGCGATTTGCATCTCAGGTCCGTCTAAAAACCGGCTCCGGGTCGCCGCAGCTCCGAACCGCCCATGAACGATGTGTCTGTTGTAACGCTTGCGTATGTTGAATAATTAACGACCAAACTGACTGGCCGGAATCCTTCCGGGCGACCGGCCCGGTTCCTTCGAGCTCCCCGGTCGATTTTCCACCTGACTCGCTCGATCGTCGAGCAACCTGAAGCAACCTCGATAGCCGAATCAGGCGTGGAGAAGGTGCTCCGGGAGTGCGGACGCTTTAATGAAATATTTCGCACAAACGCATGGAGCGTCGACGTCCGAGCGAGTTATTAAAATCCTTGTTAAAATACAGCCGTTTCGACATTCGGAGCAGTTGGAGCGATATCGGGCCGGGTCGGGACTAATCGAATAACGCACGTAACAAGTAGCACGTTATATACGCGTGATCGCGCGTTATGCGTGAATTTGATGCGAGTGACATTTCGCCGCACTTGGCACGAGCGAGCCCTGCGCGCGCTATTTTAATCGCAGACCTGGCGACACAGCATCCGGCATTGTGTTCTCGCGTCTATGAACATGTTTCAAGGTGTTCCCGCTTGTATTTTGCAAGGTTTTTTCCTCGACGCGGCAGCCTCCAGCGGATACCGCCGCAGCGAGCTTCACCGATATATAATCCCTTTATTGTTGAATATTGTGAGATAAATTCACGCCCGTCGCACAGCGTCCGTCATGCAATATGCACTCCGATGTGAATCATAGGCTAACGGTGCTTTTTTATCAGCGTAAATTTTTTATCCGATACTAGGATTTGAAGATAGAAATCTGTGTGTGACGCCGGTGCGATGACCGACTGTCGGTACGCGTTTGCGTGACGCGTGTCGATTAAGGATGTATTGCGTATTGTAACTCGAAATAACGAGAAAATTCTAAATTGACCTGCGTTTAAGTAACACCAAAAGTTTGAATTCAGAGCCCGGATCGAAGGTTATCTCACTTTAAAGGAGGTTGCAAGGTAAAATGAATCTGAGGAGAATCCGATTAAGTTTGCACTTGTGTGTACATTGAAATGTTATCTAACTCATTGCTCGTGCGATCGGAAAAGATTGACCATTCGGGAACTGAGATATTTATAACTAAGGTTGGCACTTTTTATACATGTCCGTTGAGATTGACGTGCTATTCTTAATTTTTTTTTTATATTTTCTAAACTATATACTTCGTTAAACTAAACTTCATTAAAATAAGATTTTAATGAAAAACTATTATGATATTAAAGATCAATATATGCAGACATTACACAAATTTCAGAATTATTGACAATTTTGTTTTGGAAATACAACGGTATAAAGTTCATAACATTTAGTAATTCAAAATATATATACATATGCACATATTTAAACATTTATACATTTCTTTCTATTATTCCAGCAAGTACGATAATATATTAAGAACATCAAGTAACATATTAAAGAAGTGTTAATGACATCACAGACGTCATTATTGCGTCATTATTGCGTTATTATTGCGTCATCATGTTTGCTGGAGTTTATGTCTATTGTATCAAGAGATGTATAAATATAGCATTAAGAAGAAAAATAAAAAATATTTTTGATTTGTAATAATATATATATATATATATANTGTATATTTATGTATATATGAATATAATATCTATATATGACGCCTTATATATAATTATATCTAATTACATATAAAAAATTTCTTCCCGGGAATAAATCTATAGGAGCGTAATTTTGCTTGATAAATTTATGGATGGCCCCCTTGATGCGCCACTGAAAATACGGCACTAATGGACAATACAGCTTTAAACGACCGCGTTTATCACTCGCGTAGATGTAACGTCAAACGTCTTTTATGTAACTCCACGTGCTTCCACGGGTTCTTGTCAAGGGTATGTAACGGAGCAGCGGTGTAATAGTAGTGGTAGTAATAGTAATAGTAGTAGTGGTAGTAATAGTAGTAGTGATAATAAATATAAGCCTCAGGTTTTAGATCATGGACATTTTACGAGATAGAGAGACGATGTGCGATCTTTAAATTAGTTACAGGTCATGTATAATAAACGCGCGCGAATACACATCTTAGATCGGTGAACCGTACACCCGGATAGTACGTGAGCTGTCTCTTTTAAGTATTACACAGAAAGGCGAACGAACTATTTTTAATTAATTGATAAATTTGCTCATAATTAACGAACGGCTCGATGTCATTTTGAATATACGATATTCTCGATCTTTATCGAGTGTTATGTAGAAACAAAAGTTCTTTACACATGTATTACACATAATTTTTTCGGGAAAAAACTTTCTACATATATATAATTGAGTATAACTATATATAATTGGATATAATTATATATAAGTGCATACAATTATATGAAGTGATAGTTTTATATATGATAATCATATATAATTATATACTTTTATATATGAATATATTCTATATATATAATTAAATATAAGACATTTTTTCCCGGGTTATTATAATATAATTCAGACATATTTGTGTTTGCATACTTCAACACGTGCGCATAGTTGCAATAATTTATATACAGCTCGTTATATAATTTGGAAACAAGGTCTAGCCTAATATTATCTCTTAGAATTTATTATTTGAATATATTAAATCGATCTGTGAAGATTGTATATTTCCATATTAAATTGCATGGTTTGTCTTTATTTATTTCTCTCTCAGGACTTTCACACAGATATACAGTTACTTATTTTATATCTAGATTAGAATAAATATATATATTCGTATAATTATTACAGATTAGAATAAATATATATATTTATTACAGATTTTCTCGAGAAGATCGAGAAATTGCGTGACGGACGATGGCGTCGCTCAAATGGCTCGTAGCGGGAGCCAGTGCTGTGGGTGCCGGCACTCTTACTTCTTATTTTCTTCTGTCGGATTCCACGGTAAGCGTGCAACAGCAAATTCGAGACTTTCACAATCGGAGGCTACGATCAGAGATACCGAAATGCTTTGGGAACTACTTCAGCGTTCTCTTATTATTGCTCACGTTCATGTGATTACATAACGCGATACTTTGAATCATACTTGGCTATTTGACGCAACAGCTATAATCACATACACATATATTCGTCTATTTATCGTTGGGTCGCAGGTATACGCCGAAAAGATAAAACCAAGGCCACCTAGGAGGACCTTGCCGACGCGGGAGGATCAGTTGAAGACGCTAAAATCACAGGACTACGATGTTCTGATCGTCGGAGGTGGTGCAACGGGAGCGGGATGCGCTCTGGACGCTTGCACGCGAGGTACACCGCCGCACGATCGACTCAACACAGTGCTTGAGTGATTTAAAGCTCACCTTTTGTCTCTTTCTCCTGCGTAGGTTTGAAGACCGCACTGATCGAGGCCGACGATTTCGCCTCAGGCACCTCTTCGCGCAGCACAAAGTTGATTCATGGCGGCGTGCGGTATTTGCAGAAGGCGATTATGCAGTTGGACGTTGAACAGTACAGAATGGTGAAGGAAGCGCTTCATGAGCGTGCGTCGATGCTGCAAAGCGCGCCGCACCTGGCGCACCCATTGCCCATTATGCTGCCGGTTTATACGTACGTTTTTTTTTTCACGTTTACGTGCTTGACTCCTTTATTGTAAACTGTAGTACTTTTCAAGTGAATCCGTAACGTATTAACTTAATCTATTTTGTTTCTTTGGCCATATATAGGAACAGCAAATTTATCTATCTTCATATTTTTATCTACGGTAAAGGTGTTTTATCTACGGTAAAGGTAGATTCTGACCTGGATCTTGTTACTGAAATGTAGTTTGGATTCCTGCCTTTCAGAAAATAATTTCGCCTGGCCATCACTCATTACTCCCCCCGGCGATAGACGGGAGTTGGAAAATTCCGATTTTAGATTTTTTAAAATTCTTTAAGTCTCAATTACCCTAAAATGATACTTGGACTTCACGAATCTCAATAATTTTGCAGCTCGGCCCGAAATAAGTTAATCAAACTTAATTTAATTTGTACTAACAAACATTCTCTGTACTTTCTACCGCATTGAAACAAATAGTTATGAACTTTGCGCCAATCGTCTGAACTAATTCTCTCAATTTATCAGCTAATCGAGATTTGTATAGTTACAATATAACTACTTTGTATCTTTTCTTCAGTGCTCTTAGGCCGATATTTATAGTCAGATTTTATATTTAAAATTGTCTTAAGTTGATCTTCATGTGTTTGTAGCCAATGAAACGATTTATATAATATCTGAAGAGGAATTTGAGACGATCTTAAATATAAAATCTGACCAAGTACCGGTTTCAGAAGGTCCAGCTCTAGAGCGAAAATAAGCGCATATTTGTCTATCCTTTTGACATGCATCGATTAGTTTATTACATCTATTTTTAAGATTATTTTTACATTTCAGGTGGTGGCAGATTCCTTACTATTGGTTCGGTATTAAGATGTACGATCTAGTAGCGGGCAGTAAAACGGTGAAATCTTCGTATTATTTGAGTAAATCGAATGCTTTGGAACTCTTCCCGATGTTGAAAGGCGACAAGCTGACGGGGGCTATTGTTTATTACGATGGTATGTGCCGTGCTCCGCCGTGATATTCGTTACGATTCTTTCGCGCTAAGCTAGCGGAGTCGCGTTTAGCCGGCCGTATATCTGTCCGTAAATAAAACTGTTATTTGGCACAATGCAGGTCAACAAGACGACGCTAGGATGAACTTGGCAGTCGCCCTGACAGCCTCGAGACACGGTGCGACAGTCGTGAATCACGTTAAAGTGGTCAACCTGTTGAAAGGCCTTGACAAGGTACACATTGGTTGATTGCGGATCGGAATACATAATGAATGAAGTCTCCGTTTTACTTCGTAGGACGGCAAGCGAGTCCTTGTGGGGGCTCATCTGAAGGACGAGCTCACTGGAGAGGAATGGGACGTGAGGGCTAAGGCGATTATCAACGCGACTGGTCCCTTCACCGATCACATCAGAAAGATGGACGATCAGAACGTTCCTGAAATTTGCTCCCCGTCCTCGGGGGTTCATATAGTATTGCCGGGATATTACAGGTGTGCGGAGCTTAATATCCATTTGGAAAGTACTTTTTTTATATAAAACTCTACTTTTTTATATAAAAGTACACCGCACTCTTCGTGGTGAATTTGAACCAATCAATCGATTATGCTTGCTTGCAAATAATTTTAGTCGTATAGTCGATTTTCATTACATGTCACTGTCTTCATTTAAAATTACTATAATAAAATTTTTCAATTATTTTAAACGTTACTTTTATAATATACAGCGTAAGTTAATTTTTTTTAACTAAGTTAAGTTAAAAATTGTCCAGTTACAAATTATTAATTTTTTATATTTTAACTTAACTTTTAACTGAATTAGCAAGTTACTACCCAACCCTGATAATATATTTATGTATTTTTTTTCTTTTGAATGATACGTATAATTATATTTGACGACCAAAGGAATGATTTATCATAAATAGATAAATAAATATATAAAAGAGAAATAAACATATATAATAAATAAATATATAAAAGAGAAATAAACATATCGGCTCTATCTGTGTCTGTGCGATATGGCGCGCTCTATCTTTACGATAAACAATTCACCAGAATCCTTACAATGATTCAATGTTAATGTTACCGGTAATATTATTCGATTCGTTAATGATGGGATTGACACCGATATTTATGATTTTATTCACGACTTCTCGCAGCCCCGATCAAATGGGTCTACTCGATCCAGCGACGAGCGACGGCAGAGTGATCTTCTTTTTGCCATGGCAGAGGCAAACCATTGCAGGAACGACCGACTTGCCATGCGAGGTAACGCACAATCCACGACCTACGGAGGACGAGATCATGTTCATTCTGCAGGAGGTAAAGAACTATTTGAATCCGGACGTCGAGGTACGCCGCGGTGACGTTCTCTCGGCATGGAGCGGCATCAGGCCGCTCGTCTCCGACCCGAACAAACCGAACACGCAATCCCTCGCCAGGAATCACATCGTGCATGTCAGTCCCACAAATCTCGTCACGATAGCCGGTGGCAAATGGACGACTTACCGGGCGATGGCTCAAGAGACTATCGACGCGGCTATAAAAGGTACAAATTGTTTAAATATACACAGACAATGTGTATCTCCTCGAAATACTCACGGACATTTTGTTCATAGCTTGCGAGCTCGAGCCAGAAAGACCTTGTCAAACCGATGGCTTCCTTCTGGAGGGTGCCCAAGGCTGGAGCCCTACGATGTACATTAGATTGGTGCAAGACTTCGGTCTGGAATGCGAAGTCGCGCAACACTTGTCCAAGAGCTACGGGGATCGCGCGTTCGCTGTGGCGAAACTGGCTTCCCTCACGGGGAAGCGATGGCCGATCATCGGGAAGAAAATTCACCCCGAATTCCCGTACATCGATGCTGAGGTAAACAATTTCCTGCCGCGAGCTGTTCAGACTTTTGTTCGACGCGCGATCAGAGCTGCCAGGTCATGGGATCTGGTACGTGGTTTACGCGGCAGGGGGCTTATATAAAAAAGCTACATGAATATAAAATCTGCTGCACACGGTGCTTGTTTTTGTGCTTGTTTTCGTGCTAGATTACTTGCGTGTTAGCATCACTGTATTCTGATTGGTGCATCTTTAAAGGTCATGCGACTCATTATTCAGAAATCCCACGATCTGGCAGCTCAGCGCATTGAGATCCGACTGAGCCTGAGAGATTCACACGTGTGCGATTTTAGATACGTTACGGCGTGCGGGAGTACGCCAGGACCGCAATCGATATGATTGCGCGCCGGCTGAGACTCGCTTTCCTCAACGTTCAAGCGGCCCAAGAGGCATTACCGGCTATTATAGACATCATGGCCGAGGAATTGCACTGGTCGGCGGAGGAGAAGAAAAAGCAGCATCGCGAGGCCACGGAATTCCTCGCCAACGAGATGGGTCAAATGGTGAATCGTGCTTCCCGCGATAAAATCCCCATCAATCTCACGAAGGATGAGGTCCAGCTTTACATCAAACGCTTCGGAATCATAGATAAGGACAAAAAAGGATACGTCTCTATCAACGACATTAGGCGAGGCCTGAAGGTTCGGATTTCAACTTTGTTTATTATTCGTGTCGTTCTGTGAGACACATTCTATCACTCCTTCTCTCTCTCTCTCTCTCTCTCTTTCTCTCTTTTTCTCTTTTTTTTTAATTTGTTATCGACATCCCTTAATTGACGATGTGCAGGTATTAGATATAAAATTGAACCAGGACGAGATGCACAGCTTGTTGAGCGAAATCGATGTCTCATATAACGGCCAAATGGAATTGTCAGATTACCTGCAGGTAAACCGCAACATGTATATTTAACGTGTGCTTTCTTTTGCTCTTCGCAGTTGTTCGGAGACAAGGAAGTACCGGGCGAGGAACTTCACGAAATTCTACGCGAAATCGACACCAATATGAACGGTCAAGTCGAATTGGACGAATACCTTCAGGTCTGTTGCATCGCGCATGCACAGTCCGTCGAACGCTTGTGTTACGCATCTTTCTTTAACTTCTGTTTGCGTTGCGTGAGAAACTACCTTCCCAGTGAAGTTCCTGAGTGGTTTTACCTTTCATCTCTTAACACGATTTCAGGCGATATTAATTCTACCGAACTAAAACTCACTTTAAACTCACACGCTAAGAAGAAATTGGCAGTTTCGTTGTGTATATATTGTCGTATTTCTTTTTTATCTCCCTTACTCACGCCTTTTGCTTGTAGTTATCACAATATATTTTGCTAGTTAAATAATGTTATGTCGGGCTTCTTGAATGTCTCCTCGAGATATCTTTTTGCATAAACTATTTCTTCTTGTTATGTTAATGCATACATGCGTATACATGTATAATTTATATGTTTAGATGATGTCAGCTATAAAATCTGGTCACGTGGCATACTCACGTTTCGCGCGAATGGCCGAAATGGAAGAGGCACAGCACGAGAAGGAGAAGCTTAAAATACAGATAAGTGTCGAGAGATCGGGCGGCGGACTATAAAGACATATCGTACCCGTACAATACACCCGTGTATTGTAAAGTTTGAAAATATCTTAATGTTTTAATCTCATCGTTTTGATTTTACACATTTCATCGTCGCGACAGAACAATTTACTACAGAATTCCGAGATTTACATTCGATCAGGGTTACGCACATATATCGTCTCGAAACTCAGCATCTCTTTTTCTCTCGTAAAATTTTAAATTTCATCATATCTTGAAATAATTTTCATTGATCTGCAAATGTTTCGTGCCAAGTAATTCGCGACACTAAGAAAGTGAAATGTAATTATAAAATAATGATATATGCGTATTACTTGTATGTAATATTTGTGCATCGTGTACAAATGTTAAGACGCTCGTGTTGCTCCTACTTGTATATACACGATCCAATGCATTACATATATATAAGTCATCAAATTGTATCTCACTCGTGTACCAAGAGTATCATACAATACTAAATGATACAATGACATTTATAATATTATTAATTGTACACATTCTGTATTATTTAACTCGATAGAATAATTTGCTATCCTGTTGACATTTGCAGCTAATATACTTATGCGACAAAACGATTGAGAATCATGTATGTATAATATATGTATGTATAATATATACATATATATAATAAGTACAATTTCAAAGACCCAATAACAAAATTTACTCACATTATCAAACACATTTGTAACTTTTACAATTTTTTCTATCTATATATATAATTTATATATATAATCTATATAATATATATGTATACATATATATATATATATATAGATAGAAAAAATTGTAAAAGTTACAAATGTGTTTGATAATGTGAATAAATTTTGTTATTGGGTCTTTGAAATTGTACTTATTCATAAAAAGTTATGATTTACGTTTTGCTCTCTCTATATTTATTAATGCATAGTGAGGTACAATTATAAATATAGCTCAAGATTTTCTCTATACTGAATCAGCTCTGTTACACAATGTCAACACAATTTATCATGTAATTTATTCCATCATCATCGTCAATAAAGATAATGGTAGACAAGTAATTGGATGTTGCCTATTTTAAGTTGTACAAGCTGAATTCGAAAAATAAAGTGATCTGACTGATCTGCCGTTGATCGGCCTCAGCAAGCAACTATACGTATTCAGCGGTTTCACACGTATATTATGCGCGTTTTTTCTTAAATAAAAATAACCGGCAACACGTTAAAAAAAATGGCCGATAGGTTCGGGTTCGATCTCAAACTTGGACCAGAAATTTCGGATATTTAAAACTTTTCTCCGCGCCATATTACGGTTAATAAACAAGCGTAATGATATTGTGAATCGGTAGAAAAACACTAAACGTAAATTGATAAAATTACGTTTAATGTGTGCATTCGTTTAATATGCGATTGTACATTACAATTACAAGACATTTGATACGCACTTTGAATAAATATTACAGCAACCACGCAAGGGGCGATTACTTACATCGTAGTACTTTATTGTAAGATAATTGGTGTCTTAATGCATTTGTATACTAATGTAAACACTTTTAACTACAATTATTTTATTATAAAACATATATAATAATAGCCAATTATACATATATACAGACTTATCGAATACATAACTATATTGGAAACACGGAGGAACAATTATATGTTACTTTTAAGGGGAAGAAAAATAATTATTATTCGTAAAGATATGATATTTGATCATCTTATGAACTCAACATAATATAACATAATAGATAATAAATTATGAATCATAATATATCGCGATGTATGGCATTTTACTTATAATTAGCCATTCGAGTAGATTTTGTGACAAAACATTTTGACATATTGATAAGTTTCGCAGAAGTACGTTTAATACTTTTGCCGAACTTTTGCACGTCTTACGGTAGTGCTAGCATAGTCCGTCCGTCCATCACTACGTTTTACCGTTGAAAATCGTTCATGTTTACACCCTGTTTTTGTCCCACGTTATACAAAATACGTCTCTCCTTGTTTCATCGGCTCTGGTGTTTTATCTTATCTTATATTTTCTTTTCCGTCAATACGCATTTGTCCAATGAAAGGACGATATCACACGATACTCAATATTCAATATTTCATACATAGTGTGAATTAACTAGAAAAATTCTAAATCTTCGAGACTTGTTCGTCCATAGTGTTTATATTATGAACATTATGAACAAGCTTGTTTCATGCAAGCACTTGGATTAAATTTTTCTAGCATCTCGTCGGACCTCGCGTTGCTATGTACGTATGCCTTCAGCGATAAGTGGCAATCATATTCTTCACTATTTGATAACTATTGCAACCTCAATCCTGACATTTGCCCCTCCGAGTCATTATTTAGTTAAAAACATAAATTCTCTCTTTTATTGTTCTTTAATATGTGACGTTTCTAGTGCCATTTATTAAAGATTGTATCTGTTGGGCTGCTCCCTGAAAACCCAAATTAAAACATTAATAATACACACGAAATAAAGAATCCTTTAAGTATCTAGGAAAAAATTTGTATGTATGTATGTGTGTATGTATGTATGTATGTATGTATGTATGTATGTATGTATGTANCTTCTAAAATCCCTTGTGCTTTTTCGAAGAAAAATTAACCAACTATATATTTTATTTTCGTTTCCCTCTGCTATTTAGTTTATTAATTAATTAGAGAAAAGGAACAGTTGGAAGTTTTGGAAAGAAATGAGAAATTTACCGAAATTGCAGCGCCAAGGAATTGACCAAAGGCTCTAGTAGCAGTGGCAAATCCGCTGCCGGAATTACTTCCTTCCCCAGTCGAAAAGGAACCTCCGAATAGAGGCGGTGGATACGTCGAACTTGGACTCCATGTTGTGGTTTGTAGCAATGGTTTGGAGGTTGGTTTCTGTGTCGCAGGTTTCTTCGAAATCGTACTGACTATACGTGGAGTACTCGAGACAGGAGGCGATCTAGTAGTAGTCACCGTCGTTGGTCGAGTAGTCGTCGACTGCGTAGATGGATTTGATTGCGATTGGGTGGTCAGGCCGAGGCTCTTACGAGGGCATACCAAATTATTAACTTTTAATTCATTTTTGAAAAAAATTAGCTAAACATAACATTTCACGAATCAAGTTGTACGACAATCATGAGAGCTCATCCTATAGATCTCTTTCAAAATTTCCTATTGACAACCGGAAAAGATAGCAGAATGAATATTACTCACGGCTAATTGCAATTGTTCTCTAAGATTCGTCGCCGGCGTCGATGGTTCTATACCTTGCTGCTTTAAAAGTAATGCCAACAAAGCGGCAGGATTTATTTCGGTGGAAGACGGTGCGGCAGTCGTAGTAGTAACAACCTGATTACTTAAAATTGCCCTTAAGAAGGCTTCGTCGATCTCGGTTATCCCTTTTGATGTCGCAGTTGCATCTGTTTTCGAGTCTAATGTAAAAATTGATTAGTAGTTGTCATAAATCCCACATAGAGGAGAAGGTTTTTTTTTAGACTTAGGTATACGTGTTTGTTTGACTTGACTTTTTTCTTTGATATAAACAATTAATTTAAAACAAATAATATCAAATATCATTTTGTTTAAATGAAAAAGTTCCTTCACTATAGTAAACTATGTTGTTTAACAGGAAAAATAATATTATTCACAGGAAATAATGTTTGATTTTCAATAAAAAATTGTATAATCCCACAGGGTGGTTTATTTAAATCGAGCATCTTAAATATTTCACTTGTTTCTGATGATACGAGGAAATGTCTAAGGAAAAAGTTGTACCAATCGAGGAAGTAATTATGATGATAAAATGGTTCTTTCAAGATAATTTTTTCAAAGATTTGTAGGTCAAAATAATTTTGAAAAAATAGAATTATATGTTTTTGTTTATATGATTTTATAGCCCTCGAAAGGAGCATATCGAGAGGAGTTCAACGACTTACGATAACATGATCTTTAAATGATTTCGAGCACGGAAAATTACGTATGTTTGAAGAAAACAGAAAAATCAAACAATCAAGTTGATCAATCAATTTGATGATGATTCGATATTCATTTCTCGCCGAATTTGATCGCAAAGATATTTATTGCCTGAGAAACTAAACAACCCTGTTTGTTGATTCTACATACACATATACACATATACAAAGATCGATATAAAGAGGAAGAAAATGACGTCTGACTCAACACAGTGTGACAAAACTTTTGCGATATATTTTATAAGAAGAGATAAAGGAGGGGGAAAAAATATTTTCCACCTACCCGGTTGTAAGGCTCGCAGGAGCGCAACCAAGAATTTCGCGTCGTCCTCGGGCGAGTAAGTTGACGTAGAGGTGTCGTCTAATCTGGGATTCGGGTTATTTAACAGTGTCTGTTGCGTGCTTGAAATCAAGCTCGGCGTCGACATGGACGCGGAGTTAATGTTGTCTGAGACTAATGTGATTGGGGACACTTGGATGTCCGAGATATCCCGGGGCACGCTTCTTGCCGTGGTGGGCGATTTAATCGGGGATATGATGTGACTGATAGGCACAGATGCGAGCTGCATCGGTTTCTGAGCGGCTTCAGGCCTCCAAGTTACCGGCTTAGCCGTGGTGGACTTTTGCCTCCTGTTCTTCGCAGCTGCTGTACTCGTTTCGAACAAGTTACCGCCGCCGAACAACGCTCGCCACAAGCTCACGCCGAATCCGGGTGCTTGCGTAGTGGTTCTCGGTCTCGCTGTTGTTCTAGGCTTAGCAGTAATGATAACTGGTGGCTTGGTTACTGCAATCGGTATGGTGGGTCGTGGCGACGATGCAGTCGACGTGCTTGCATCCATGTATCTCTTCGTGGTTGACGCGACGTTATTGACTTTCAAATACGGTAACAAGTCGATTATTATAGGCTCCGATTTACTGGGTGACGGCCGGCTGCTCACGAAGTTGTCGTTTACATTACCAAAACCTTGAACCGCTTTCGGGGATCGCGTCGGTCCTGGTTTAGCCAGTGCGAGCGCTAAGATCTACACCAAGTGAAAACCCGGGGAAAGGAAAAAAATTTCATATATGAAATTTGCCCATGTATGCCCATGTATATATAATCATATATGTCCACGACGAAAAAATATGGTTGTTTATAAATTATATGCAAATACAATCGAAGTAAATGCTTCTGGCTACTTGTGACAACACATGATATCGATATTTAATTAAATGACATAACATCGTTTTCTTCGTACGAAGATATATGGTCATATATGTAACCACATGTATGAGCAAAATTCATATATGATTTTATATAATTGTATATAATCATATATAATCATTTTTTCCCAGGAATGTAACGACCTATATCTATCTGGGTTGTATTATAATTATTACACATTATAAAAATTGACGAAGTATTCATCTTACTCACCTTGTTTGCTAACATTTGCTCCACTTCACTCAGCGTTTTCGGGGTGGTGGGTTGTAAGTTGTTATTCTGTAACTATAAAAATTCTTCGTTATGTCCATCTATAATATCTACAATCGCGAAAGTCTCCTTGAAATTTCGAAAGTAAAGCGACATTGAAAAAACAGTCGATGCATAGTTCGCAGGTAAAGCAAGAATATTTACCAATGAATTTAAGAAAATCATATCTCCGAACGTCGTACCAAAGGCATTCTCCTTCCTGTTTACCTGCAATTCATTGAGTATGTTTGCCGTAGATTTTGTCGCTGGCGATGATCCGACTTGTGCAATTTTTGAGACGGCGGATGTAGTTGCAATGAGAGGAGCAGTGGGTGTAGCACTTGTAGTAGTTGCTTGGCTCGTCGTGGTCGTCGCAGGAGTTGTTGTTGAAGTAGTAGTAGTGGTTGTAGCAGAAGTAGTGGTGGTTGTAGCAGCGGTAGTAGTGGTTGTAGCAGCGGTAGTGGTGGTTGTAGCAGCGGTAGTGGTGGTTGTAGCAGCGGTAGTGGTGGTTGTAGCAGCGGTAGTAGTGGTTGTAGCAGCAGTAGTAGTCGTTGTAGGTGCTGGTGTAGTAGTAGTGGTAGTAGTAGTGGTGGTGGTGGTAGTAGTGGTTGGAGTAGTAGTTGCTGCAGTACTCGTCGTCGTTGCTGCAGTTGTAGGCATTGGCGTAATAGTAGTAGTAGTAGCGGCAGTTGATGAGGTGATGGGCGCTACCAGCCTGCCTTCAGGATTCGTCATGCTGCCTGCAGTTGGCGAGAATACTTCTACGAAGGGACTTACGGGACGCATGTTGTCCACTGACTCCTCCTATGAATGACAGCGTGAATTAATTAAAACTCCTGTTAGTCATGTTATTCTGACTAGTACGTACCAGTTGGTTCGACGCCACGGATGCTGTTTGTATAGGTGAATTGGTGGTAATACCGAATATCTGATCGAGAGGATCGCTCCAAGGGGAGCCGGGAGGTACTGTTATTCTACCGCCTGATTGTTGATTGTCCAATAAATTATTAAAGGACGGAATCGATGACAAGGTTGACGCAGTGCCTTCGCTCACAGAGGTCTAATGACAAATTTATTAACGTGACGTGAGCTTCAAAAGAGGAATGTCGCATTTCTTAGGGAAGGAAGCTCTTTTTTCAAATGAGATTTGAGATGTCGAGCTTCTCAAGATAACGTCGATTACACTTACAGCCACTGAATTTATCTTCACATCGACGACTTTCGGGTTGAAAACGGGCGCTCCATCGATCTGATAATTAATGAATTTATCCTGAAATATTGTAATTGCTCTAAAATTTGGTTTTCTTACGAAGAGAACGCTGTAACTTTTCTGTCGTTTTATTTACCTGTCCTATGTATACGGAGGAGCGCTGATTCGACGTTACTCTTGACCGAGACGCTTCATTCCTGTCGTAATCTTGAACAATAGAGCCAACTGGATCTTGCGTTTGAACGCTATTTGTGATTGGTATCTGCAGATTACCAATCGTCGACATTGCGTTCGGTAGTGTGCCCATTCGTGTGTTTAATAATATATCGCTCTGAAATATTTGTCATTCATTGAATAATTACGTCCGAAATTCAAGAAAACGCGATAGACAGCAATAATAAAATAAATCTGCGGTATTCTAAAAGATAGTGCAAAGAATATGAAATTGGTGCAATCCTGCCATTTCGCAGTATATTACCAAAGTAAAAATATTTACCCTTTTCTTTTTTAAGAACATTCAAAGAATATTTCATCTTTCATTTTTCTTTAATACCTTATTTTATACCCTGAATTTTCCAATTTTTTTAACATACAATTTTCATGTTTTTTTGGTACATTTATACACGTTGCGCAAAAAATATCTGTCATGAAAAATATTGGTAAAGTAATTTTGGTCGAGATAATTATTTAAATAATTGGGAATAATTTTTATCGGAGATAACTATTAAATATTTGCTATAAACAGAACTTATATATCAGATTTTGCACATACTACATCTAATAAGACACACAGTGCATAAGTACGTAAACCGAAAGTGCAAGTGAGCAGATAAAAGTGCTGATAATATGCCACGACTATTTACAAATTTACAGTGATACTTTATGTACAGTATAGCTGTTGTCGTATGTTTCGATACTTTAGACCTGGAAAAAAGAAATAGATCAATTGCACCAAAGATGTAAGCATACTGTATCATAAGAGAGAAATAAATTTGCTAAGAAAAGAAAGCTACGCGAAGACAAGTTATAAAATTATTTCAAGAAATTGCGTTGTTGAGCATTATGAAAATTTACCGATAAATATTCCATTAATTTTATTAATTTTATTAATTCTATTAATTCTTTTCAATAAGAGTAATGATCGCGACAATTATACATCTTTCCTCCGCTTTTATCTTCCTGAGCATAAAAGAATCTGTCAAATGCAACAAGCTCATTTAATGAAGAATAAATGAATTTTAATGCTTTCGAGTAAATTACTAACGTCTAACTTAGAATACGAATAGTAAAGTACACGTGTCTGAACATAAAAGAATAAAAATAAGCAATTGGCACAACAAAGGAACAAATATAAAAAATAAGACAATGGAGGAACAAATAGCTAATAATTTTGCGACAAACTGCAATCGTCTCCTGATCTTAACAACGCTCTTACTCAAATTGATCGTAGTTAGAAGCTTGCACCGACGTTACGTTACAAGATTTATAACAGGAAACTCCTCAAACGTTCGCTACTTTACTACCGAGTGGTTAAGATCTCATTGAGTAACAGATAACGAATAAAGAAAGACCATTCGTGAATCATGAATGACGATTCATTGGCGACCGATGAATGTACGTTGAATTTTCATTCGCGTGACAATTTACATGAAAGAATCATCCAAGTAATCTCGTCATAATCGTGAAGCTGAGAAGTAGTTCTCGTCATCTATTATTCATGTGATTAACGATAAATGACAGATCCTAGTAACGTAATTTATTGGCGATACATTGGTCCGATATTGATTATATTGGCATTCATTAAGAGTACATTGAGTGAATGATGTCCGATATAAAGTCAGCCAGACAACCAAGCCTGTAAAAGCAGATTTTAATCGTAATATCTGCTATAAATTCTTTTGACAACCCAGCAAACACAAAGTAACACAAAGTAACAGTTATATAAATGTTAGTTGTAATTTCCTACTCAACCACATAACTGTTGTATAACACACGCGTTAAATAAAAGTTATATTATTGAGTAGGAAATTACAACTAACATTTATATAACTGTCACTTTGTATTTGCTGGGAACTTGCTAGCAGAAATACAACAGGATTCGGTAACAGAGCTTTATTAGAATTTTATAACAGAGATTTGATAACGGATCAATTATCAGATCCTGCTGGCAAATCCTATTATATTTCTGCTACTAAGCTATCGACAGAATTTACAGCAGATACAAAATCTGCTTCTGCAAATTTGGCTGTCTGGCGTGGTCTTTATTTTGAGTAACGTTCATTCAATGTACCCTTGATAGATGCCAATATAACTGATATTTGAATCAATGCGTCGCCAATGAATTGTGCTATCAGGGGATAGACTCTACCGCAGTCGGAATAAGGTACGATTTGACGATGAAGATCAAATAGTGATACCATTTTATTTGTGCCCGGGATGCTAGCAGGGGTACCGAGTGGTCCCGTGAAATACGGCCCACCTCCGAGGGGTACGCCGATTGCGTTAGCAGTGAGTCCAATATCAACGGGGCCAGGGCTCTGGGTGTATCTCGTCAGCTCGTCCACGGGTCTACGACTATTATAGTACACCGGAGCTTGGTACTGGTTATTAGCCTGGTTATAATACGGCCTGGGTGCTGGTCGGTTAGTAGTAGTAGTAGTGCTAAGCGTGAACACAACCTCGACTGGATTCCTGGGCCTGTCCGGTATTATAGTCCCGTTCGGGAACTTCCGGACTAATCTGCCGTCCGGGTAGATGCCGAATATCACGTACGGGCTGTCGACGTTTCTCGGGTCGATCAGATTGTCCTCCGGCCGCTTGCGGACGATGGTCTTGTTCGGATAGATACCGTAAATCAAGTAGTCGCGTACCGGCGCTTTGCTAGAGGACGTCGAGGAGGGGAACGAGGGAGTATTGAACCTCGACGCTGTTGTTGCCGGACTTCCGCCGAAAGGTCGCAGGTAAGGAATCGTGTTGAAGGGGCCGAGAGGTGGGAACGTCGAGCCTGTTCGCATCACTGGACCATCTGGACCGAAGATCTGCGTTTTGGAGAACGTTGGTGCCGTAGTTGGCGTGCTCGTGGTGGTTGGTGGTGCAGCGCTCGTAGTCGTAGTCGTCGTGGGTATCGTAGACATAGGCGTCGTAGACATAGTTGTCGTAGACATAGGCGTCGTGGTCTCGGGCGTCGTAGACACGGTCGTCGTGGACATGGGCGTCGTGGACATGGGCGTTGTGGACATGGTCGTCGTCGACATGGACGTCGTCGAGGTTGTCGTCGTCGTCTGTTCGAGGTCGACGTCCGTATTTGGTATCATGTTCAAGTCGTCCGCCTCGGTAAGAGTGCCCGTTCTGTCCTGCATGGTCGACGACGCCTCGGTGGACACGAGGTTATCATTTTCGCTCGTACTGGCCGAAGTGGTCGTTTCGGACGTTGGCGCCGACGTCGTCCCGACCGTCGTTGTGCTCGTCGTCGCGCTCGTCGTCGTGGTCGTCGGTTGTTCTGTCGTCGTTGTGGCCGCTACCGTTGTGGTAGCGACGGTGGAGGATTCAGGGAGCATGGGGGGATCGGTTGGCATTGGTGCGCTTGAGGGTGTTGTGACAGTGGGAATGGTGGTTGCGGTCGTTTGCTCGGGTTGGATGATCCCTGAACCTGCCGTCCCTTGGGCGGTTGTTGCCGTCGTATCCTGGAAACGGGCAATCAGATTTGGACTCTCGCTTATGAGATCGGTTAGCGTGATTTGAATGGGAGCGTCTGTTGTTACGTCGCCGTCGGTTGGATTAGTGGTGGTGGTGTCGGTGGAGTTTATTAGATTACGAGCTGCTTCTGCGGAAGGCTCGGTACTAAATGCCTGAGTATCGCTTGTTGTCGTGTCGGTCGCGCTACCGGCGCGCACCGTGCTCGTGCTGGTGACCGATGTTACGGGGGGTTGGTCACTGGTGACCTGCAGGTCGGCCGCAGGCACCATCGTGGTGTCGAGTCCCGGGGTCTGGTTAGTGGTCTCTACTGCGTTCGCTTGCGTGACGCTTACTTCTGTAACGGCTACGTTAGTGGTTAATTCTGTTAGTCCCGGTGACCACGCACTCGGTGTCGTGGACTGCTCGTTCACGTAGTCGAGCGTACGTTCAGTGTTCGAGGTAACAGGGTCGTCGGCTATCGGGGGGTTGTTAGTGGTGGCTACATTCGACGAGTCGACGCTGCCGCTCGTCGTGGTAGTCGTGAGCTCATCCCGTTGCGCGGGACTGCCGGTAGTCGTAATGGTCTGCCGCTGATCGGTGTTGTCGGATGACTGAATCGGATTAGTAATTAATTGGGAACTCGCGTCAGCCGTGGCCGGCCGCGAGGGTGCTATCGTCAATGTGTCGTCCGAGGACACTGATCGATCCCTTTCGTTACTCTCCGCCGTGCCGTTCATTTGGATCGCCTCGGCGATCTGGCTCGGCCGCGTGTCGTTCATCGCCTCCGAGAAGAGGGTCTTCGCAATGGTCATTAGCTCGGCGAGCAAGGTATCGTTAGACGCCCGAGGCTCGCCCTCCGCGACGAAGTCTCGCGAGACCGACGTGACGACTTCCGTCGTGTCTCTCGGTCCTGGATTCTCCGGACCACGCGTGCCCTGCATCGTCGAATCGCTGCCCAAACCTACTGTGTCTTGGGTGGTCGTCTCCTGCGATGTTGGTCCGCTCGTTGTCGCCGGTTCCGACGTGGTCATCTCAACGATCGCTTCTCCCGATCGCGTGCTTCCCGGGCTGGGCGTCGTGCTGGTGAGCTCGACTTGCAAACGCGACAGGATGTCCTGCGCCAGGTCGATCAGTCGCGTCCGAAGCGTGGTTACGGCGACGGGTGCTGGTGTGGTCGGGCTTTCCAGCACGTCGTTCGAGATCTCCTCCGTGGTGGAATGCTCGGTGCTGGTACTTGTCGTTTCCGTCGCTTGGGACGTCGTCGCATCCGACTGCTGGATGGTGTTCGTTTCTATATCCTCGATCCCGGGCACGCTCGTGCTCGTCGTCTGTTCCGTTGACATTATAGCTTCAGATTGTTGTACAGTGCTCGTCGTCTGCTCCGTCGACATTATAGCTTCAGATTGTTGTACAGTGCTCGTCGTCTGTTCCGCCGATATTATAGCTTCAGATTGTCGTACAGTGCTTGTCTCTGGATTGCCGGTGACCGGGACATCCGTCGGTGGAGGCGTCGTCTCCTCGGACTGTCCTGTGGTATTCGTCTCGACGTTCTCCGTCACGTCGTTCAACGGAGTCGAGATGATCGTTTCCGGAGGTGCTTGCGTGGTCGTGACGCTTTCAGCGGTCGTGCTGGTCGGATCCGACGGTGCGCTCGACGTTTGCGGAGTCGTCGAAGTGACCATGGTCATCGGTGCGTCTGTACTCTCCGTCTGCGCGCTCTCGGCGGGGCTCGTGGTCTCCGGCTCGACCAGTCGAGCGTTGAGGGTGGGTTGTGTGGTAGTGGACGGTGTTTCCGTAGAGGTGGTGTCGACGCCGACGGTCGACGCTTCGGTGGTTCTGACCGACTCGGTGGTGGTGGTGGTGCTTTGCGGCGCTGGGGTGCTCATTATTGAGTTATCAGGGGCGGTAATTCCGGTCGGTTCCGAGGAGGTGGGGACCGCGGTGGTTTGCTCGGTGTTAACGTCCGGCGACGACGACGGGGTGGTCATCTCGCTCGCATCCGTATTCGCGGGGGTCGGGAGCGTCGTCGTCGTCGGGGCGGACTCTGGGGTATCGTCCGCGCTCAATCTCGCATTGAGCGAAACGTCTGCCGACTGGGTGGTGGTCATAGTGTCTACGGTAGATTCTGAGGGGGGTGTAGTTTCGATTGATGCGGTGGTGGTGGTGATCGTGGTGGTGGTGGTGGGGCTTGCGGTGTCATTGTTAGCAGTGTCATTACCGGCGGCGTTAAGTACAGTAGCGTTAGAGTCTACCTTCGTTAACCCGCCCATTAGTCTTTGCCGCTGAGAACCGTCGTCCGCGCCTAGATTCTCGTTTTTTACGCTAGCCGACTCTAATGCCTGATAAAAAGTGACGAATCTCGGCTCGCCGGGGTTGACGACGTAGACGGGCGACGCTGTACTGGAATTCTGCAATCAGAAATTCGGTGCGTGCGAGTGCTGTACACACTTTAGTGCAATTACGTGTGTCGGTCTATCAAACCGTTTCGGTTACCGAGCATCTTCTCTATGTATTGTGCAATGTCCGCTATAATACATTAGAGGGGAAAGTACGGACATCGACTATGTTACATTGCATTCGGCCACGTTAAGTGCGCTGGATGGATCTTCCCCGGTGATGAACTGGTGCTCAAGTGCAAAGAGTTCTACGTATTCATATATTGAGGAAGCTCGAGAGAAAGAAAGAGAGAGAGAGAGAGAGAGAAGCTTGCGAAGAAATTATAAGCATTAATACGAGCTTTTAAAAAGTTCTATTTATAGATGCATAGGCATGGTGCGTTCAGGTGAGTTTCGGCAGCAGCAGCAGCTAGTTGCGAGATACGGTGTCTTTTTTTTTTCTTTGCGATTAGCAGATTATTTGACGAATAATTAGAGGACGGTTGAACGATACGCGCACAAACGCCGCGTTTATGCAAGTGGACGCTATGAGCGTTATGAACATACACCATCTCTTGGTAAATATACGAACTAGTGCCGGAGGAAGTGAACCGAGAATTGTTTCTGCGTGTCAAGTTCCGATATAACAGCCTGGAACTCGTTCTTAAGGATAGAGATATATCGGGAGACGGCGGTACGACTAGTACTCGCTATTTTTTCGTCTTCTTCGAGATATCGCCGGCTTTTACCTCTCGCCTCTACAGGGGCGCCTCCATTGACGTACTTTCGCTATTACATTATTACGGAAGTGTCACATTAGCGTTTCTCGCACGGATTATCGCGACGGAGGAGCCCCGAAAACGAAAGATACGCGCGCGACACATGTCAACTGCAGAAGCTGTTCACGTTATACGAGATACGTACGATTTTGCCGTGTGAAAATGACTTCGTTCGCGCATAAAATCGACGCGAGTGAATTCTCCGGTACGGGAAATGCCGGTAAAGCCGATTCGTGAAAGCGAAGAAACGCGATATATTTGATCATGTAACGATGCGCGACCCGCTATATTTTTTCCTTCTTTATTCGAAATTCGAAACGAAGGCTTGCAAAATGTTTGCTATATGCATTTACCATGCGTAAACGCGCGTTTTTCACTTCTCCACTTGTAACAATATTTTCAACAGTGTTAGATTTAATGTAATTATTGCCAACGCAATTGTGACCAATGCTTATCGAAGATACAATGTTAAATGTACACGGTTACTTCCGAAGTGGATTTGAAGTTTTTAAAATCTGACACTCATAACCCGGGAAAAAATGTTTCACATATAATCGGATATAATTATATATAATTATATATGATCAAGTATAATCACATATATATAAAGCATCATATATAATTATATATAGAATGTCCCTATGTAAAAATATATAATTATACATAATCGTATATAATTATATATTTTTATATAGAAACACATTCTATATATAATTATACGTGAAAGATTTTCTCCCGGGAAGCTCGCAAATTCACAAATTATTACGGGCAAATCATGGTTCGAAATACGAACATTCGTTTTTTTTTTAACGCTAATGATAATGCGTTTACATATGTTTGCTCAAAACGTCAACACTTTTACCGATATTTCTCCGACATTCTGCTTTTTACGGTAGAAACTTATACGTTGCGTAACAATAATTTGCACACTTGCATATCACCTTTATTGTCACGTCTCGTATAGTAGATACAATAAACTTGGCTAAATAAGGGCAAACAATTGCTAATCGCATGCGATGCTAAAATCCAAATACATTTATTATATAAAAAACATAATATAACGTTGTATAATACAATATTTGCGTATATAGGTGTAAGATACGATATTGCATGCGTGCCGTGAGATGACGTGATCATGATCGATGATTGTGCACTAATCCTTCCTTTCCGAGCCAAGTTAACAAAAATTATCCCTCATTTCTGTATAACTTTTCGAGGCAGACTTTCCTTCCCCTGAGTGCGTGTGTTAGAACGCTCAGTGTTCGACGGCTCAAGTCGATCGTTATCCTGACGGGATCGTCTTAGATCGCCGATCGTGCGGTAATCACGCTCACTCGTGCCAACGTGTGCTTCCACAAAAATACGATAGTATGTGCAAAATGGTATTCACAGGCGAACACGCGCATCGAATGGAGAAATGTTGTTAATGTAATTTTGGAAAGAGAGAAAAAAGAAAAAAAAACGACCGTAACTCAGTCTCGTACGGCGGTCGCCGTTACGCCGCGGCTGTAACGGCTGTTTGCTAAAGTAGGAGAATGAGGAGAAAGCGCAATTATAAAATTTGAAACGGTCTCCCTATATCACGGAACGGATTAACGCAGACTGTTTACATCGATATGAATGAGAACGACATTGCTGGATGAGGTTGTGACGATAGAGTCGGCCCATGACGGTGGTGCAACTGCTTCGGAACCCTCTGGTACCTTCGTAGGGAACACCTTTTAAGCACAGAAAATTACCTCACGTAATATCTCCTGAAGGGAACCATCAACGCTCGGCTTGCGTATCCGCCTTACCTTGATCTTTCCATTGCGCGATACTTTTCTATTTCTTTGTTTTTTTCTTTTAAACTACGACTTATATCAAGAGACCTACCATTCATTGCCTTTTTTCTTTTTAGGCTACACGTACGCGTTCATATATGTACTTTACATAACGTAATAACGTAACGTAGTTATTATGCACATATACGCCTGTCGCACGGTCGCAAGTATGTATGAAACGCGAGCAGTCTACAAGCTAGCTTAAGTTGAACGCTAAATCTAATAATATAATATTTGGTCAATGATGTTATACAAAGAGTACGTGTCACTACAACTAGCCACGAAATTTTCTTTCTTTCCGTCGTAACGTCGTTTCTTGTCACCACTTCTCTAAGAATAGAAACTATTTCTATGAATGCACGTTACTATACGTGTAACGCGCGTGATAGATTACAAGAGGCTTATCGCAAAGTGACGAGATATACCACACCACATATGAAATGAAAGTATCGTGTGACGTAATCATTCGCCGCTGAGAGAGGCGCATGATTAGAGCCGGCAAAGTTTTCCGAACGATCGAGCTCTCTCTCTCCGCCACGATCGAGAGTACGCGAAATGTGTCATTAAAAGGTGGTTAAACGATGGTGCGTTAATACGAAAAGCTTGAAATTCTCCTCGACGAGGCATCCCCTCATAAGATTCTCTCCAAAATCCTCAAAAGTCTTACCTCTATTGGCGTCGAGGCCGTGGTCGATGACGTGGTGACCGATGGTACCACAGCTTGACCGATCGTTGGTTTTCTCACGAGCAACTCTGCTCCCTTGTATCTCGCGCTGAATCTCGGCGGGGCACCGTTCGGCGTTATCCTGGGTGCTGGATTCTGTTTTCACAAATATACACGTGCAAATGTATTCCAAGCGACCAACTGCGACACGCTTCACAGTGGTGCCAAGGCGGACAAAACCTTAATTTTTGGGAATATATCTAGAAAATATTTGACTTATATATTTATTTCATATGTATTTATACTTATATAAATATATTTGTGTAATATTAAAGAGTAATGAGAAATTGTAATACAAATATATGAAGCAGCAATATTTCACGGTTGAAAATGTTACCAAAGTCGACACTGATTTTCATATGAAAATGAGTTCTATATTCACTAACGATGTTCATAGTTTACAAAAGCATATTTTAGTGTTCTAGTGTATGAAATTATATTCACCGACGTTAAAAATAAAACACAATTGTGAAGATTGAAAAAGATTCCGAAATATTATTAAATTTCTGTAATTTTCGTAATCTTTAATTTGGTTACATCAATATATCAGAACTTTTTATCAATCTCGGACGAAACCATTCTCACACAGTTACAGTTATAACATTTTCAGCATTTCTGGCAGTTCTGCGTCCGTCTTAATTCATCTGCAATAGTCAATTCAGAAGTCAGAAATTCATTCTAATAAAATCAAAGAAAGGTAATTTTTTGCTTTTAAATTGCTTAATTTGAATAATTAAAAGAATTTAGTATAATATTAATATTCTTTTCTAATAGGAATACTACATCTTTTCTATAGGACCTACTATTTTAAATGGAACATTCTAATAATTTCAAAACTACGTGTTATCGAAAAAAATATTTTAGACAAAAGTTGTAAGATTTCGAGGGAAATATAAGAAGATATACGAGTACACAAATATGTAATTAAAAGATGGTTATAATGTGCGTTAACCCTTTAACGGCTGTTTTTGTAGTAGTTTCACAAATTAAATTCATAGTTGATCAAAATATGTGAAAAAAAAATGTTTCCAAAATTTTCTTACCACTAAAACTACCCCTACATGCAAAAGTTACTCTTCAGAGTTAATTTCAACCCTTATGGTTGTTAAAAGAAAGGTTATATTATGATTTAATAATTTTTACACATAGATTACTGATTATTCAATGTTATTCTACAAAAAATACGTTCACGAAACGCTGGTTCAAATTCATTTGGTATTTTGTTTTCATTTCCAAGGATGATTTTTGGCTTATTACCACTGTTAACGGTAGTTTTTGCAGGCTTTTTGGCATATAATTTTGAATTCGTTTTAAAACAATTACATGAACTGAAGTTAAACAAAAAATTCTACAAATTCGTGCTCTCCTCAAAATTGTGCTTATTTTTCTTTTTTACGTGATTTTGGCACTTTTTGAAAGGGTGTGCAGCCGAAGAAGCGCAATCCTCGGGTTCGTCAATTTTTTCGCGATTAGTTTTATTCTTCTTCTTTAAAGTGATACTTTAATAAAATATGATATGTCAATTTTGTAGACATTTATGAATTTTTAAAAATGCTGCTCTTAAAGAGTTAATCGACACAGAAAGCTTCAATTCTCCTCAACAAGACATCCCTGTAATATTATTGTGTCAGTAAAATATTTTTTCTACGATTCTCATTAAGTCACTGAAAATTTTCAAATATATAACGTTTACTTAAAATTCTACCAATGCAATTATATCAATATACACATCGATATTTGCAAGAGTAGGTAAAGTAATAGAAAATTTCTTCTTTGTTATTCGTAATAATAATTAATAATTTTTCGTAACCAAGTTTTGTTTCAATTCATTAATAATTAATAGTCATTTTTTTTTACCCCGGTTAGATTTTTTACTAATAGATATTTTCTCACTTTAATCTATTACGTTTCACTTATATTTTCATGTAATAAAGAAGTTATATACGAGGTTTTGTCCGCAAACATACGCTTAAGCACCACTGTGCGCCTGTTGTACGTCTTTACGGTGAATTCATCCATACGTCTCATTTCATTATCTCTACATGGAAAATCTGTACACGGGAAAAAGCAATTCCGTTGGTGTAATTGAATTTCCCGTTGCCTGAGGACCAAACGAAAACTCGGTTGCAGGAACAAAAAAATTCCCACGGAAGGTTTCTACTTGATCAATTGCTCTCAGTTGTCTCGACCGAGTTGCAATGCAACTGAATGTTCACACGAACGTTCTCAGTTGTGTTAACAGAGATGCCAGATATTTTAGGCTTCCTCGATGTGGATAAATACTTGAATTGTCTCCCGAGTTAGTGCTGCGTTTTTCATGGAACTTTTTCCGACGTTTCGTGAACATTCCATTTCACTTCTCTAGGAGCAACTTATAAACAGAAATTCTGCGCAAGAGTGACAGTTTCGACTTCATCCGGAAGAAGTGAACTGGAGGTTGTTCACGAAACGTAGGAGACGAATTCACAAAGGACGCGGAAGTCAATTCAAGTCAAACAGAGATATCATTTCCTGTCATCAAGTTTTCGCTTCTCTTCGCCGAGTTTTCATCTGGTTATTGTATCCACTTGCAGGAGTTTTTTGTTCCGTTTATCAACTTTACCTCGATAAGATGTGCTTTCAAGCGGATCGACTATTCGAGGTGCAAGGTGCTTTGGACGCCGGGTAAACCAGGTATTCGAGTAGCTGGCTTGAAACCTTGAGCGCACACACTCGCGAAATAACCCGGCAAACATGATGACATACGTAACTCTGATGTCATTAATAATCCATCGACACGCTACTCGACACGAATTTAACATGCCATTATCTACTATCATGAAATTTTCTGGAGGAGGTGTGCGCTCGGGAATCGGCATTTCTCATCTCCGTTCGATCTTTCGAACGTAATCGCGCGGTGGACGACCCGATCGAAGTCCATCCGACTCAGCCGCACTCACCCCGTTAGTCTCCACGTTGGAGTAAGCGCCGGAGAAGACAGGGGTCTTGTTGCCCAGGTTAGTCAGGAGCGGCGCCACGGTGCTTCGCAGCTGCTCCAGCAGCGTGGTCGTGTTCCCGGCGGCGAGGAACGAGCTCCGGGTAGGATTAAAGATGTTGGAGCCGCTGACGCCGTTGCTGCTATCGGTGATGCCGACCAGACGTGGTGCGCCGTCGCTGGACGTGTCGATCCTCACGTTGACGAGTGGATCGGTCGGCACCGAGCGAGCGGTCGGGGTGGACGACTTGACGTTGGCGTGAAACTTGGTTGGTTTCGGCGTGATGCTGACGCCGACGGACGGCTCTTCCATGGTCACCGGCGGCTGGACCAAGGAACTGGTCGGCATCTCCGAGTGCCGCCTGTACGTCGCCGTTCGCGGACGGAATTCGCGTCGCTTCGTCTGCGTAAGACTCGGCTCCGTGCTGACCGCCTTGGGTGCTGCGTTGAACGGCGTGAAGACGCCCGACTTCTTCCGGATGTATCTGCTGGTAGGTCCGACGGTCCTCGACGTCACCATCGAGACCGCCACCTTGTCCGGTACTGGCTTCGTGTAACGGGGCCGGAAAGTGTTCTTCGTCGTGTCGCTCGCGCCCTGCTCGACCTTCGAGCTTGGGATGTAGACGGGGTACAGCATCTTTGGTGACGACGTCGTCGTTGTGATCGCGGATGTCAGGTGCGAGTCGCTTGGCACGGTGATGGTCGGCGACAGGGTGACCTCTTGAGCGAATTCCGTGGTGGGGGATTCGGTGGACTCCGCGACCGAGTCCGTGATCGGTACTACGACGGTGGTTTCCTTCTGGGTGTCATAAGTGACAGGTTTCGTCGTGGTTTCCGGTGTCTTATCCAGCTTCATCGGTTCGACAGGCTCGGTCGTGACGATGATGTTCTCGTATATGATGTCCAGTATGTCCACGCTCGACGACTCCTCCCGCGGCACCGTCGTGCTCTGCGGCGCCGGGGATCGGATTTTGCTCATGTCGACCGTCGTGGCCGCCTCTTCGAAGGTGGTGCCACGATGCGTGATTTCGCGCGGTATAGCGTTCAGCTCGAGCAGGTTCTTCGCGGAAGTTCTCTCGGCGAGGGAAGACGCGACCGTCCCTTTGGCGAACTCCGCTCTATTCTTTTTGGCCGCAGGAGAGCCCGGCGAAACGTCGGGATTCGCGTTCTTCGGGGATTTTCTCGGGGTACCCGCGATCTTCCACCTGCCTCTCGGCTTTTCCTTCCGCGCGTCCTCGCCTATCGGGCTCCCGATGCGCGAGCCGCTGACTTTGGTCGCTCTCGTCGTTTTCTCTGTATTCCTGCTCTCGCCGATCGCCGAGGGTTCTTTCACTTTTGATTTGCCGGAATAAGGGGTCGTCGTCACGTCGAAGTCGTTCTCGTCAACGTTCAATTCGGGTTTAATTAATCTCCTAGCTAAATCCAGCTTCATCTTAGACCTTTCGGAGAACAGAGCTGAGTTTGGTTTCATGGCCTGAAAAGGTCGTTCAAAGGGCTCCGTTTTATAAACAACGCGTGGAAATTCACCAAGCGCAATTCGCAAGCGACCTGCTGAAAGCCCGGGCGTAGGCTCGGTTAGTACGGCGCGACGAGGCGACCTCGACAAGGCGTTTTCGTCTTCCTCGACTCGAAGCGACGGTTCTCAAGACGGTTCATGCAAGTTAATCGTAGAAACGTGAATTGTCTCTCTCTCACTCACTCTCTCTCTCTCTCTCCCTCTCTCTTTCTGTCTTTTTATAATGATAGGAAAGCTAATATATATATCGATCGTCTAAGAGCGCTGCACCCACTCTGCTTTTTAAGGGAAGAATAGAAGCCAGATGAACCGAAGAAAGAAGACGATCCATGCGGTTAGATGACTAACGACATTCCCGAACCCTGATTTCATTGGCGTGGGTAACGACTGAAAGAGTTTAATTGTTCTCGTCAGACACCACGTTCCAAGTGAGAATATTTTTCCACGCCCATCCGGCGAGGGATAAAGAATGGAAGAAGCGAATCGAAAAGGTAAGCAATTACATATGAATTATATGATGTCAGATATATGGGGTGGATATACGTCGAGTGTATGAAATTTAGCGAATGTGTGTCGATGTTGCCAATTACACAGGCCGACCAAAAAACATTTTTGTCAAGTAACTCTAATCAGAATAGATAATTTTTAGAGATTTTCGGCCACAGGAAAACAATGTCGCTGACCAAATTGCTCAATCACGTCAGATTTTAGAGTTATTTTGAATCTTAAGATGAGGAATTCATAGGAAAAAGTGTATAATAAATCACTGTCAATAAAGTAATACAAATAGGTGAATGTTTGATTTACACATTTATTTCTTATCAGCAAAGGATAAAAAATCGCCTCACAAATAGCAAAAATGTTTGTTCGTTAAGGATACGGTGTGTAGGAAAACAAATATTTTTTCTCATGTTTGGTCAGATTAATGAGAACGAATAGTCGGATTTCAATGCTATAAGCTCCGCTCTTTTCGTAACGAAATCTCCCTAAAAAATTTTATTAAAAATACATGAAAAAATTTTAAGAAGATTGATTCAAATATTGACATTTTAATAGCAAGAATGTATGCAGCCGATGAATAGCCGATAAAATAGCTGGCTTCTCATCTTAATATTCAAAATAACTTTAAAACCTGACATGATGAAGCAATTTGGCCAACGACAGCTTTTGTGACCGAAAATTTATAAGACACACCTCCTCTAATTAGAATCACTTGACAAACATTTTGTTGTCGGCCTGTGTTATCGATTCTCTATCCTTGAAGCATACATTTGCGCAATCTAATTACAATTCGGTGGAACAAAATGTTTAGTTCGATTGTTCTACATCATATTTTTTTAGATCCACTTTATGTGCATTTATACATATGTATTATCTACAAGCGAATATATTTATATTAGATATAAATGTGTCGTAATCCAAAGAAAATTTATTTTCGCTCACCTAAAACGTTAAACATCTTGTAGCTCGGAGTATTACTTTTGTGTGAGAGTAAGCGATTGTGTTCTTTCACTTCTTATTTATTTTCTAATCGAATTGATATTTCTAATAAGCAGTCGTACGGTGCAATTATATACTGTACTTTGTACCCGTGCTTCAAACAAGTATAATAAATGCCGTCTGTGCGACGCAATAATATCGAATTCCCTTTCCCTTTCCTTTTTTTTCCTACCGTGTCACTCTCTTTCACTTTTTTTCGTTGCGCAGCAAAGCAAAGTGGTGAGTAATGTGAGTGTGTATATATGTGTTGTCTGGTCTTCTTATAAATCTTATATAAGATTGGAAACCATAATACATATTTGAAATGTTGCTCAGAGAAATGCCACTCGACACATTGTTTCAAAACATACGTTTTTTCTTTCAAGCACAAAGGATAAAATTGTGCAGTTATAAAAAAAAGTTTCATTTTCTACTCGTATCTACCAAATTTGTTGCACATTCCTCGAGTAAAATAATAATATACTTCCGCAGCACAAACCGTGAAACACGTAAGATCGAATTCAATTATCCGTTCAAGTAACAACGTGGTTATACTTGACTCGCTTCAATGACCTACCTTCGAGTATACTTTCTCTCTCGAATTAACCGGCAACGTAAGAACAAAGAGAAAAGTCGACCGTATCGTAGCTGGCTTGTAAAATTCCCGATCTCATTAATTTATCGCATGCCATCGACAGTCTCATCTATTCGCTTTTCGTTCTGTCGTCGAAAGCGGCCTGGACGTGAACTGAAATTACAATTGCGATGCAAAAACTTGATCAATAGGAAATTTCCATAAAGAATCACGCTATCTCTCTCTCGCGACCTTTTGCAATCGGCATATTAAATAGCATCTTGAGAAAACTTCTCGTCGAGGACTCGCCACCTTCTTGCATCATGATAATCGTTTGATCCAGTCTCGTTTGGATGTTCACTGCGTCGCCCATGTCCTAAAGCTTCTGTAAACGAAAGCTTTCCGATGCGAAAGCCTCGGAGAAGAACACATCTTTCGAAACATAATTATATTTCGATTGTGCTCTACCACCACCAACCACCGATTAAGTCTCTTTGGCAGTTCAGAACAGATGTTAATAAAGGCATCATTGTCCAGTTTCAATTGGTTCTCCATGATGCATCCGTGTAAAATTACAACCCGCTTACAATCAACGATACACCAGTTTTTTTTATTTCACATCTTGTCGATTTTGTTGCCCGATCGTAATCTCGAGAAGCAATCGCATTCCGGCGATTATTCATTAGATCAATTATCCGTCTCCACGATGGAGAGTGGAAGTTGAAGGATATCCCCTGACGAGAATGGGGAGTCAAAGTTAATTTTCCTCCGTGACGATCTTTTCGTCCGAAACTGCTAAAGGTGGGCGCAATAATGCAGAGGGAATATGCGTATACCAAAAATGATATTTCTCGTGCAAACGGGGAGCCGTTCGACAAGTCCAGGGAAGAAAATAACAGACAAAGCGATTATTCGATTAGTGCGTGAAAATCTCAATCTACTGTTAAGAACCCGACGCAACTTTCCGTTATATATTCTTACGTGTCGCGTGTGTGGGTCGGATATCGAAGTTAAGGGATTCGTAGCAACTGCGTCTAAGAATACACCGGACGTGTTTCCCACAGTTTCGATTTTTTCAGATACATGCGGTTTCGTGCTGGACCGTATATGCCGACGGGACGTATCCCTCGGATGTTCCTACGTGGGACATTTCAAGCTTTATACATATGTATAAGATGTATAATATACGCGTACATGTCGAAACAAATCTCCACCGTATTGATTACTTTTTGCGTTCACCGGATTATTCCCATATATTTATGCAGGGTCGGCGAAAACTAACGCGAACCAACTACTACTTTACATGCTAAATATTTTGATATTCTTAATATCTACAGATTCAAATGCCTACAAATGGTTCCGATCGAAAGAGGTGGGATACATAACGAATGTTAAGAATCGTTAATATGTTAAACGAACATATTAGTTATATAAGTTTAATGAATAAAGGTAAAAACCCAAGTTATTTATTGCTCCTTACCTGGGAACTGGTTCTGGTTATGCCTTTCGCCACGGTGGGTTTCGAGTTAGAATTTTTCTGGAAATATATTTCAGTGCCTCTTTTTATTCTCGACTTCACTTTTGGCGCAACGACGTTACTAACAGCAACTTTTGCTAGTCTACGTTGAAAATACTTAAATCCATTAAGAAGAGTGCGGAATGCTTGCAAAGTAGTGCAAAGAAAAATTTTCAAGTTAGTGTAATATTTTATCGTGCTAACGATTTTACGACAAACCGTTTGTTTCCAATAATCACTGAGAAGCTGCGGTCTCGGAGTCTCGTGTGTTATTCTCTTAAGCTGAATCAGTGAAAATATCACTAATTGAATCAGTAAAACATTCTACCGATAATCAGTGAGTATTCACTAATTTTTAGTGGAAACTCTTCCACTCAATTCTTTCGTCTGATACTTCATTGATTTTGGCCGGTGAAAGTTTCACTGCAAATCGTTGTTACGCGTCCCATAGCAGAAACGCAACGTATATGCATTCAATCATATGTCGTATTTGGTGTAATTTGTACGATAGCAGTTTCAAGAGCTAATGATTTCGAGTTCGAGCCCAATCAGGATAAGCGTGTTTATCCAAATGCGATTTAAATTAAATCAATTAAACGTAATTAAAAATTCTCAGATAAAATCATTGACAATACCTTAAGAGTGAGACTAAGACAATAAAAGAGAAGAGATAAATAGTATCTTTTTTTCACTATTTCTGCAGTTAAATTTCTCCGATGGGAACAGTTGTTGCTATCGACAGACCTTTGCAGCGAAATTTTACTGACTTACAATGCTATATTTACTATAACTACGATCATCAGTGATTATTGACTGCTTCTCAGCTGATTGCACTTTAGAGAGTAGCGTGTTATAGAAAGAAAAGTAATAAAAAGAAGAAATAACGATAAAGTTCCTATTTTTCTAATATAAAATGAAGTCGTAAGTGCTCTTTCAAACGCAAGCAAATCTGAAAACTCACCAGCTGAGACAGCCTCGCCCGAAATGCCGGAGGATAATTGTCGCTCTCCTCCTCTACTTTTTTGGGTAAGTCGAGGCTCTTCGTTTTGTCAAACGTTTTGCTACCCCTAGTCGTGCTCTTTGCCGTGACGCCCGACACGGTGTTACTCTCGTCTTTCGCTTTCGGTCTCTTAGTGCCTCTTCTGCCGGCTTTCGCATTGCTCAACAGCGTTTCTGGTGTGCTCCTAAGTGAATCATTGGACGAAATGACTTCATTCGCCTGATCCCGATTAATGGGTATGGAAGTAGTCGACGAGGCATCGTGATTGACGTGACCAGGTCGCCGTCTGAGAGTCCATCCGGGATTGCCGGATCGTAATTGCGTCTCGCTTTTCGGCGTAGTGGTTTTCAAATCGACAGCACTCGAGGTGGTCCCATCGGTCGAGCTCTTTCGACCGCGAAAGCCTAGGCCGTGATTAAAGAAATCCTCTTTCGGAGGTTTCTTCGACCGGGTACTTTCTCCCCTGTCCCTTCCTTTGCTGCGAGAGCTCCGATCGGTCGTGGATGTTCGAGCAGCCGCCGGCGTTCTGGTCACCGGAGACACGGAACTGGATGTCGTAACTTCTGCGCCCGCAGAAGAGACGGTCGTAGACTCGGCGATGGTCAACTTCGGAATGTATGCGGTGGTAACGTCTGGGAACAACGCGCGATTGTGTGGTGAAACTTTCGATCAGATATCAGATCAGAGGTTTCTTTTTTTTCTTTTTTAGGGATGACTATTCTTGAGCAAGATTCGCGAGCGACTCTATGTGTGCCTCGAGTTTATTATTAACATGTTCGCTATCATGTATGCGTCATGCATGTATGTGACGCACCGATTCTCACGAGAAACTGACTTCATGTCTTTGTTACAAACAATAACCTTTCATGTACAGACCAACACCCTACAGTTATACATTCATTTTTATTAATATCCTTTAATTGCTTGCACTCATATATCACCACTCACTTAAAACATAATGAAGTGCAGCAATTATAAAGACTGTCACTGACTGTCGCTGACTTGCTAATTCGAATTCCTCCGACATGACGGCATAACTTAGGCATAACTCAAGGGACTTATCCAGGTCGGTGACAACAGATAATAGATACTATAAGTTAGTATTTTTCAAAGTAGTTTATCGTCCGTCACCACCATCACCACGAGGATGTGCTTTGGACGCCGAGAAATCGAATACAAAAATGTCATTTGATACATTTCTCCGGTGTTTTAAAAAGTATATCTCTGAACGGCGTCGACTTAGAGAATTGTGTCTACGGAACATTTGGATTCCCTAACGATAATCTTTCACTTTAACTAAGTTCTGTCACTAGACACAAGGGGTCCAGGCATAACCCATATAAAAATTCCCATATAGAAATTCCCCAAATATTTCCAAGTATAACGTAACGTTGGACAAAGAAAATGGAATCTGTCTGGGTTTATCACATAGAATTGCAATTTTGAAACATTACACCTCTAATCCGGATCTTCATAGATTCTTTCACAATCAGAATCCGTTATTTTTTTGGAAAATCGTAATAGATTCCAATCGGGTCACCTATTATGGAATTGCTCGGCATTGATTCCGATCGGAATCTTTTAATTTAATTAAATTAGTTCTCTTATATTTTACAAGGAATTATTGAGCGATTCCGAGCGGAATCAATTCTGGACGAGTCCGTAATGCGTGATCCCAGATCCCAGAAAATGTTCTACGTGGGTTGTTGCGCGTAATTTGTTCGGCGGACACAATATTTATTTACAAATGAGAGACCGCTGATTTTGTCGATCCAACCGTTTGTTTTCCTCAGTATGAGAGCGAACATGTCGAGCACTGACGCTGAACATTCCGAGATCGGGAAGCTAAACTTACCTTGGCTGCTGGTGACGCGCGACCGAGCCCTGGATTGCGCCCGAACGTCTTGCTCCTCCGTTGTCCTCGTGTCCACGAATTTCGTCGTCCTGCTGTCGCCGGATCTACGCTTCGCCTCGGGTCCGCGTCTATCGTTATTAGACGAGCTACGTCTCGTCTCCGTGTGCACGTTCGCGCTCGTCCCGAGATCGACGTCCAAATATCTGCTTCTGCTCCTCGCTTCCGACGCGGTATCCCTGGATTTTTGGGAGGAACGGCTTCTGGACTGGACGTTCTTCGCGTTAGGTCTCCCTCTAGTATTGGAATTGCCTCGTGCGTTCGTCTCCGCGAACGCCGCGGCGCCGCCGAGCGCGGACGAGCCTCGTTTACGGGAAGCGTTAGTGGAACTTGTCGCCTCGCCGTCGCGATTTTTCGCGGATTTGGATCTGCCGCGAGACTTTGATCGATCGGACTGCCTGTTGCTCTTCTTCGAGCTCGATCTCGCGATATCGTTGCCATCTGAAGCCTTTTCCTTCGGTGATCTCGCGACTTGCCTCGGGAACACGCTGGCGGACGCTGAAGGATTAGAAGCGTCAACTCGCACCTCCGTCAGCGGGATGTCCACTCTGACGCTCTCGGAGCCCGACAGTGGTAGATCTCGTTCCTTAATTTTCTCATTATTATTATTATTATTATTATCGGTGGAATTATTATTATTATTATTTGCAAGCGTCGTGTCCGTCCTCGAAGACGACGAATAGACATTCGCTCGTGGAAGGATGTTCTCCGCGGTGTCGGCAAACTTTTTCAAATATTCCGTGTGCAATTTCGCTTCTTTCCTCTCCGGTCGACTATCCGAACTCTCGACGTCCTTAACAACGGGAAGTTTCCTGGGTCGCGCCGCTTGGCTATTCAGTTCCTTCTCGTTGAAATTTGGGTAAATCTTCCGTCCCGTTCGCGACCTCGAGCGACTGGGTGATTTGGTGAACACCTCGAGATCCAGTTTTCCGCTGTTCTGCAAGACAGAAAGAGGTGCCTCCAAAGACACTCTCCGCGGCGCTGCCTGCGTCCGCCTCGGCGTTTGCAATTCAAATACGTTCCCTTCGTTGCTGTCCCGTCTAGCTTTTGCTACTTCTGCCTTGGGAAACTGCGAATTCGCACGATTTCGTGGATTACCGACATCGGAATGTCTTGCATTCGCCTGTGACGTAGCGTCACCAAGGCCACCTGTCGTTTTTGACAGGTTCGGCTTCGATCGCGACCCGGCCGAACTTTCTCTCGCGACATGCGACTCGTGTCTCTTTAATTCGGAGGTCGATTCTGAACGGGTGCTTTTATCTCGAGATGGCCTCGACGCTTCGGTCGCCGATGCGGGGAAGTTGTCCAATTCTGTCGTCGATTGTGAGTAAAATCGCGTGCTACCGCGACCCTGCACTTTCTGCTCGTCCGTCTGAAATCATATCGCGGCTCAATCAAATACCGTGTATTTTTTAGTGATTTATTGCAGCGAGGTGAGGCGAGCCACGCCCCTATCTATTCATAGAGGACCTTTAACCACGTGTATTCGAGCAACAGCCGATAAATGCATAGGCGTTAAAAGACGTACGAATTTTTAGAATGCGCCCTAATAATGTCAGAGAGTGTACACTAGGGTTTCATAAAAAATATCGATGGATAAAATGTCGATACATCGATATTTCTGTATCGATACCATGTCTTATGATGCATCAATATTTTATCGATGTTCTTCTTTTTCTATATTATCACTAATCTCAAGGCGATGACAAGTCATCTGAATTATCTTCATATTTAAATATGTCACCATATTTTGTTGTTGGTTATTCAGGCAACAAGCCATTAATATGACAGAACTTATTTTTACAAAATATTTACTGTGAACAGAAAAATCGAAGTTTAAAACCACTAGATTTTTTCGATGAAAAGGAAGTGTTATATAATTGTAATAAATGCCTTCTTAAATTTATTAATACTATTTTACACTTATATTCAGTAATTCATTTACAAATTAAAATATTACTGCGTTCAAGTAAGTATTTATTATAAGCTATCAAAATATATTTAAATTGATAAGAAATATTATCTGATTTAAAAGGCTGAAGAACAAATAATCACGTTTACTTGATTCCAACACTTTTTCTTCTGTATATAAGTGATCGCCATTCGCGAAACAGTTTAATTAGAAATTTCATCTACAATGAGCAATGAGCAATGGCTGGATCCAGCAATCGCCGGACAACGATAATTACTCCATTATCATCTATCCAGGAAGTTGTAATCTGCGATCCTCGATACAGGAGATACGAAAAACCACGCGCGCCCGTGGTTCTCGCGGGGGCCCAGCAAAAAAGACACCGTGGCGATACGCGGCGACGTCGATTGCGAAGATGCCATACCTTACGAAATCGCGGAAAGACGGCAATTACGCGATTAAGAGAATCCTCTTCGAAATCGCGATTAACGCAAGTGGTAATCACCGGTAATCTCGTCCGGCTCGTTGAACCGACCGGCCGTTTCGATCGATCGATCGATCAGTTATCGTTGATAATAACGCCCGGCGTTTCCTATTAATCGCGCGGCTCCAGTTGTTACGGCAGAATAAGCCATACTTGTCGCGGATTATACCTTCACCGTCAGCGTTAACGAGCTGCATTAAAACATTCGTGACTGCATTGACCCGCCGACGCTCCGTAGAAAATGACTCGAACGTGCGCACACTCTCGGCGTTTGATATTTTTGCCCGTGCTCTCTTCGTGGCTCGCGATCCCGTCCGATCGGCGTCCGAACCCGGTGGAACGTGGGCGTTAGCGTCGCGATATCGTCGATATCGCATGTAAAACATCGTCTAATTAAATTCCACGTATACGTGTGTATATCCTGCTCGCGTGAATTGAATCTCGATGGTACGTATCCTAGGTGGAGGCTCGCTTGCGGCTTTGCTCGTGGTGCGCGTGAGCACGCGTTCCAGTTTCATTTACGATCTGTCCGAACCGCGTTTAGTCGTCGTACAATCGATATTGAAAGTAAAAGTCGACGTATAACGTCACGACACGCTTGCTTCCTAAGGCATGTCGCTAACAGCGAGAACGCTGCGAACCTGCCCAGTCTGATCAGAGTCCGTTCGCGTAACCGAGACCTGGGAAATTTGAGAATTACTCGTTCTCGGTGAAAAAGAACGCGCGATAATTACGCGATTCCGGTGGCGCACGAGTAAAAAAAGAAGTAGTTGCCAGTAGGTGAAAAAATTAATTCCCACACAGATGAGAATTAGCTATCCATATGATAAAACTGAAATTTAGTTAATTCTTTTTGTCCCTGTACCTTGTTTTTAATATCCACTGTTAAGAATTGGTAACTAAATTTCAATTGTATTATGGGCAGCATTGATTCCTTTTTTCCGCGCATGGAGAGGTAAAAGCATCGAAGCGTTCGTTTGTTCGTTCGCTCGAACGACTCGAGGAACAAAGATCCGCTAGAAACGCTAAAACGGGGAAACGAAATGCAAAGCAGGATCGAAGTACATAACGAAATGAGCAAGAACGAGTAAGAACGGATAGCGCACGTGCAACGAATGACGCGGTGAAGAAACAGATTTCATTGAAACAAGAAGCTGAAAGGAGTGAAATTATATTGGAATAAAATCCGACTTCGCTGTGTGTGTGTGTGTGTGTGTGTGTGTGTATGTGTGAAACTGTATTTGGCTGATGCCCGAAACCTCCGCAATCGATCGTCACCGCGCGCGCTCTCGGCGTTGCCGCGTTTTATTGAAATATACAGATGCGTAGAACGCCGTGCAAATTATTGGAAAAGTACGTCGGACAGGTGAGAGGCTCGCTCCGCTCTCCCCGAAGGTGGACTGCTTCTGCACCGTTGAACCGAGAGAGTCTACCGTCTGACGTCCGGGCGCATTGTCCTTGCACCGAAGCTCGATGGAATTCACATCGCCGATATTATTACGTTTAATTTCTCGTTTGCATTATTACGCCAGTTCGTAAAGTGGCCTTCTTCGCTCACTTCCGCAGGCAATAAAAGCGGTGTTATTACTACAAAGAGCCTCGTGCCACTAATGTACCAGTAAAAGTGTGAAAACACGCTTTCCTGTTCGAAAGAAACCGCTCTGACGATGCACGGGGAAAAATAATTTTACTGTTGTAGCAACGAGAGCAACGTGCTCGCATATTCTTTGCGACAGCAATGAAATTTAATTGACATAACCGAATTATTCGTAATTGGAGCAGAAACAGTTCTGTTGCTAGAATAGAAAATATTCCGCTGAATGAATTTGTCCTTATAATATGAAAAAAAAAAAAGATTAGTTGCAGTAGCTAAATTAGTTAAAATTTTAGCAGCAAGTAAATTTAATTGCTGCGGTAGCAAACTTCTTGCTACAGCAATAAACGTACTATCGTAAATGTCATTTAGACTTTTATGTTACTCATGATAATACGTTTGCTGTAGCGGTAAAGGAGTTTGCTACTGCAGCAATTAAAATTGCTTACGCTGCTAAGTTTTAGGTGTCCATACTTTACTAATATAACTAATTCAGTTACTGAAGCTAATCTTTTTTTTTTCGTGCAGGACACGTTAGTTTCTTTTGCTATTTGAACGAAATCGTATTTACTAATTTGTTCTTACAAGATAATTTGCAGATTCAGTAAAATAATCTAGTGAATGGCAAATTAGTATTCTTAATAATTCGTTTTGCTGTCCACATAATAACTAACAACTGTTGCGACAGCATAAATTTTGCTGTCTCAACAAATTATTTTTCCCGTTTCTCCCGTTCTTGTGCAAAACTAACCGAAAAGAATACGAAAAAGGATACGAAAAAGAATATGCGAATAATTTTGAATAATTTCTTCACTCGCTGTATAAATAAACTTGGCGAAACATTATTTGGGACAGCAAAAAGATTTATTGGGACGGCGAAAAGATTTGTTAAGAGCATTAATATGTTATGCCGGATATGTGAACAGCAAAATAATTTGGTTATGCAAACTAAACTTCTTGCTACATCAGTAGAGTTATTTTGTCCGTGTAACAAATCCTTTCGCTGATGTCCGTGTGATAATCTTTCCGCATAGTAACTGAGAAATTCGCTATGCAAAATATTCTTTCCCGTGTTCTTTGTTTGCACATACGGATATTGTACAACGCACGTATAAGCGCGACCTCAAAAGAACTGGTTCGAATGGGCCAGGTTTTGGCGGGTGTGGCCGTCGCGAAATTAAAGTGGTTTATGAAGCTAGCGATTACTTAAGAACCATCACTTTCACTCATACTTTCGCGCTCTTTTTGTGTATCACGCACGGCAATAATGGGTATGCAATTGTGCGTCCAATACATCACTGAGCTGTGAGAGAGTTGATGTTAAATTAATATTGATGTAAACGTTAGACATAAGTGTTTGTGTCAGTGATACTCTCGGAAGAGCTTCTTGCACCTGGCGAATGAATAAATGCGAATACAGCAACTGAGTGTTTGCTTTTTGTGCGATTAAAAGTTCAAATAGCACGGTATAAGTTAACATCTTGCGCCCGGTCCCGGCTGAGATCGAAAGATGACCGAAGAACACTCGTGCATATGCAAGTATTACAAGTGGTTACATACACGAATACCGCATTAAGCGAATTTCGCTTTTGACTTCTGGCCTTTCGCGCCGAGTTCATTATCATACACTGAATTCATGCGAATAAGATTAATGTATTCATATCAATCCTCAGCACGCCCGAAATCTCGGGTTTATGCATTTTAGAAATTGACTTGTGAAATGCGGAAACAACCATCGTCGTAAAGGTCACAAAAGAGAAAGCTCATCTTTTATCATCATCGTTTACAACATCCTAGAAAAATGTGTCGATATCTGAATATTTCGTCAAGTGTTTGCGAAACCTGCCGGTTATTTAATTCGGAGAATTTATACTTATGTGTTGTTCACCTACGTTCGATTAATCCCGTCGACGCATCCCACGCCAATAGGTAATTCTGCGTTTAAGGCTAATACAATTGACACAAAGGATGACATGAAATTATAAAATTGTATTCGTAAAATAACGTGAAAACCGATTAATTATACCTCAGCGAGTTAAGATCTTTTTTCCCTCGAATTGTTTCCCAATACAGATTCCCAAAATAGATTCAACTGAAGAACAATAAAGCCCCGTTCCCACCATTAATGAGGAGTATTGAACTCACATATCGCCTTTTAATGTTACAGATACAGAAGTTGAGAAAACCTTTGTTTACATTATTGTAATTACCGTGTGTTGCAATCGAGAGACCTTAGATTTCCATAGATACTTTAAATAAGTGAGTCATAACTAACAATTAATTTAGAATATGTAAGTTATATTAGGTACAATTACGACATCGTTGCATTAATAAGAAAATATTCAGAAAAGTGCAAACGTCTTCGAAAATGGTACACAGGAAAAAAGTAGTCTTAAATCAATGATAGATATTTTCATATATAAACAAGAACGTTATAATATTCTTAGAAGACTTTTTAGAAGTCTCGAATTGAGTGCAAATAATACTTGCAATAATACAAATGCAATGAAAGGCTAAGAATTTTCTAAAAAGATTATAATATTCTTGCTTATATACATGAGAATATTTTTTTTCTCTATGTAGATAGTACCGGATATATTATATAATAATCGTGTGTTGTTCGCGGACGACATGATATATCATTGAGTGTCATCAAGTTTATTCTTAATCAATTTTCGAGAAGATTATTATTCACGTTCCGTTTTACATTAAAATTTTGATTAATATACAGAGGAAAAAATTTTTTAAATTTAGTATATGGATTTGTTTAATATGAACAACATTTAATATCAAATATCATTTTGTTTGAATGAAAATATAATTGTTTCCTAGAATAAACCATATTATCTGATAGAAAACACAGTCTTATTAAAAGAAAATATAATATTTTGTTATCAATAGAAATAATTTATTTTATTATATATTAAATATTGTTCCACTGAAACAAAGAAGTTGTTTAATATTTTTCTGCCATAGTATCACTACTTTCAAATAATTTATTGCTTATCGATCGTTATAATATTTGGATGAAAATATAAAAGAACATGTTATTTGACGTAAAAAAATACTTATTGTTCAAGAAACCAAACAATCTTGTTTGTTGGATGAAACATCGGCTTATTTGCTTCGTTTCAAGAGACAAACTTGCTCGGATTGAAAAAATTTGACCCGAAGAAATCTTCTCTCGCGTACGTACAACGATATCGCGCCGACTGTAAATTCATTATGTAATTGCCGGTATTATTAAGGCCCCGGTAAAGTACTTTCGAGAGGAGCTCCCTGAAGAGATCGTCTTGACGAGCATCAATAAAATAATTAATGGAACGTCCACAGAGAGGACAGAGAAGATGTAACGAATTTCAGGAAGTCCGCTGAAGCGAACGACGATGCAGAAGAGGCGCTTTCTCCGATGGAAAACCTGATTTAGATCGCACTTGCACGCGCTTGTGCAATGCGCGCTACATCCGTCTGCGACTTGCACATCTATCAGTGCGCGTGTACGGACATACAGACACAAGAAACATCATTAGATCGCGATATCGTGCGTTTTAGCGGGCTACGCAATTCATGTTGGTCACATACGTCACGTCGTTAGTACGTCGCGCGAACCTGCCGAGATATGTAGATTAATCGAGGACAGCGACGGACGTAGATTGCAACTTATGAGGCGTTACTTCGGTCCGCGCAAGAAATCGACGCAGGATTGAGGCAACGAAGTGGAGTTTCGCGCATGACCCGCGTGTACCCTCGATAAATATCTCTTTGCCCACACGCACATAAATAACGTAAATCATAATTTCTATCGCGTTCAGCATTCGAGAGATCAGAGTATGGAGGAGCTCGGCTGCGAACGAATGGAAAATTACGTCTGGATTATATATGCGTCGCTCGTGAATACGTGATTGAGATCGACTTTCTTGCGCGCGATGGTCTCTTTTTTCTTCTTTATCTATTAAATTATAACTCTTTGTGAGTTAACACGAAGCCGAGGATATTGCACATCACACGGTAAGAGGCGTCCGCCTTGAACCATGCACCGATTTCCGTTGGGATGATTTACAAATCATCCGGAGATCGATCTTCATACCACCACCGTTACAAATCGTTCGCGATTATGACGAAATGAGAGACACCGCGGCGAGAACGCCGCGACGGCCTCTTTTTAAACGGCCGTTCGTTTATACAGCAATAGAAAAAAATTGTCTTGGAATGAGAGATAGTACTTTTGTCCTTACGTAACGCGTCGATTAAATCGATAAGAAAATCATCTCGCTGTTGCTTTCCATTAAGTCCACCGATCGTCGGTGCGCAGATCGTGGAATGATTGTGAACCTCGCGTTTTACGTTCACCGTAAGCGGGAGTGAGCGCGTTGCGCGCTTCGCTCGCGGGCGCGAGCGCGAGAACGATATTATCCGATTCAGGTGCACACTCGGGGAAAAATATATGCAATGAAAGAATGCAGAGAAAAATACATACACTGAAAAAAAGATTTTTCTTGGGCTCGATAAAATTCCTTTTCTGACTGAAACAAATTTGTTTCTTGGAATAGAGCAAACAAGCGGATATTTGATTTAACAAACAGGTTTGTTTGATTTCTCCAAACAATAAATACCTCTCTTTACATTAGATAACATATTTCTTTTATGTTTTTATCCAAACATTACAATGGTTGTCACAAGTAATAAATTATTTGAAAGAAGTAATACCATGTTAAAAAAAACGTTAAAGAATTTTTTTGTTTCAACGAAACAATATTTAAATATAGCATTAATTCTATATACGAAATTCGTATAGAATTGTCTTATGTTATTATATTTCTCGAAGAGTATTGACCGTCAGACTCGAGCATTATTAGAAAAACGTTTAATTCGTTCGTTATATCTCGATCCAAATTTTATTCGTCGTTGCACCTTCCTATTCCCGTTATTCAATTTTTCTTTGTCAGCTTTGATTGCTTCGGCCGAGTTCGATGTAGCTTAGTTCATTACGATTACCGCGAGAGAAACAATATATGATATATTTAATCGATTATATAGTGTGTGTGTGTGTGTGTGTGTGTGTGTGTGTGTGGAAATACGGAGTAATTACGGGGTGATTATTTTCGATCACGCGGTATATGTCATTCGTTAAAAGCGAACGCTGCAGTACTAGGCGTGGTCCATGCAAACTTGCGATCTGTTTTTTTTACTTCCTACCCTCTCACTCCATTTATATATGCGTTCTATGCTGTATATATTCTACGTTATATCGCATAACATCTGGGACGGTGCGAAGTGTTTACTACATATGATTAGATAAATATAACAATTGCAGTCGATCGCTCTGATGGTTTCATCTCGAGAAACGTTCGACTGGATTTTAGTCGAGAGGAATGTCATCGAAATAAAGTCCGGAACAGACCATTCTGAGCCTGTGAAATCGAGACAATGAAATGACTCGGCAGCCACTCGGTCAGACCAGTAACGAGAGTCAGTCTAACGAAATATAAAAGAACCAAGTATCGTCAACTGTCGTGAAGTATACGGCACACGAAGTTTTTCCTTTCCGACCTTATGCGAGTAATCGTCGTGAAGAAGCGCTTCCTTTCTCGGCCTCTAATTATCGCGTGCAGCGCGTGCAACTTCACTTGTGCGATTTAGTCGAATAATACGAATCGACTCGTTCCGCTGGGTCGATGGCCTTCGTGCAAAAAAGGGTATAGAGAGAGAAAGAGAGAAAAAAAAAGAGAGGGAGAGAGAGAGAGAGGAAAAAAATAGAAGGAAAGAAAATCAGCGCGTTGCAATGTCGTAAACGCTAACTAACATTAAGTACGCATCCTTGACACAGAACGCGTGTAAAACGGATCTCGCCTGTCTTCGAGTGTGTCTTGTACGTTATTTCACAAATAACCGCACGATAACTTTATAGAAAGCTGTCGTTGATACATTTTTAAGTCTGCACGCTGTAGAACGCGTTCCACGCGATGCACAGGAGAAGGAGCTCAGCAAGCTTGTGCACGTCCTTCGATAAAGTATACAAAATGATTCATGTATGCGTGATTAATTGCTTCCCTTTTGCATTTCCTGCTTTGCATTTCACGTTTATTATTTCTCAATCTTCTTGCAGATTTCTTTCGCATCGGTAACAACACAAAGAAAATTCCTTTTATACTATAATGATAACGTACCGTTATGCTGGATGAAAAATTATATAATTGTTTTCGGTGCCAAATATATTTTACAGTAGCAGAACATATATACTGAGTTACTATCACTATCACTGACACTGTAATATTTACTAGAAAAATTCTTCTGACTATTTCTGCGATTAAACAATACCCACACGGCGAAATATATTGCAGAGATACCTGGAAAATATCTGAATGTCTAAATATCTGATCGTCAAGATATCACGGAGATATCTGAAAGATATCTGTAAGATTTCAATACCGGCTGTAGTCGTGTGCAAATGTTGCAAATATCTTAAAAAAAAAAAAAATGTGATATCGAGTAATGATGTCCTGCTGATATCCTCTGAATATCTGAAAATATCTGAATCTAAGATATCTCAGATACAACTTACAAATTGCAGGCATAAAGATATCTGATTATATTCATTAGATATATTTCACCGTGTGGGTGTATTTGGCGCCGAAATGAACTATAATTTTCAACCAGTGTATATACGACTTCGGTATCGTTTTATCTGTTCGTGAGAGGAAATTGAAAGGATAATTAGATAAACTCTAATACGTCCTCGATATCAACTTATATACATATTTCAGTAACTATTACCTGATTAGTCCGTCCACGAGAAGCATCGGTAATAGCGAGTACCAGCAGCAACGCCACTACCAGGCCCAACGAAAACGTCCGTGTCATTCTGAAAAGAAGACACACACATCAGATACCGAGCCTTCCTGAGCGTGATGGCGCGGAAAACGTCGATTCTTCAATACGTAAATAAAAGTTTCACAGTTTAACGCGCGTAACTACGCGCTTTCCGCCGCGTACACCGAGTATACTCGGGTCAGTTGATGTATGCGCAGGTAGACCAAACGCACAGGCATCGCCTGTGCTGCTCAAATTTACTTTTACTCTTGCCGGTTGTTAGTCGCTATCGGTTGCGCTGTTCATTCTCGGAGGGCGGCGCACCGCGAACATTCTGGCTCGCCTAGTTTCAACGTGAAAAACCCGCGCGCGAGCTCGCGCGCGGCGAAATCAAGAAAATCCGTTACGTCTGATCCGTTGCGTCACGAGAAAAAGCATATTCTCGTCACAAAGCATCCCGATGTAATCGAGCCCCTGCAAATTGCGGCAACGTGAGAGAAGTATATATTTCGACACACGCTCGATTTGAATTAAGATACGCGCGCAGTGACGATCGCGATGCGACGTTGGAGCGTTACGCCGTGACCGCGCGGATGAATGGAAATATCGTGGCTAGCGGAAGATCGATATCGAGAAACGAGGATCAACGATCTCGCCGATACTCCGAATCGTGACGTTTTACCGATTCATTCGCGATCCATTCAGCTCACCTCGGCGATGCATAGCGAATTACCGCAGCGCATTGCGAGCGGATTTGCATCTCTCGTCGGCCGATCCGCCCGAGATTATATTTCATACGAGAAGTCGAAGTAAAACGAGTCATACGCGGATCCGCCGCGAATGTATGCGTGGAAAAAGGAAATGCCGCTGAAATCGATCGGAAATTCACCGACTGCGACGGTAATTGGACGGTAAATCTTCTCGATGATAGCGAATCTCGTTAAAACTACTACTGTTGTGTATCGTTTCGTTAATTAATGTATCAGTTTCAGCGATATCGCTGTTGAATCGGGGAGATTTATTCCAATTACGCGTGCTAATTCGAAATTCTATTGATTCGACATAACATTGTTTGAAAGTCTCACAGCGCGACCAAATGCTTGCGGACAATAAAATCGTTGGGAAGAAAGAAAATCGAGAGAAAAACGAGAAGAAGCGGCTACTTTAGGCACGCAAAATAGAGTCACGTGTCATTGGCCGCAAGTACGTTTCGTAACAGCGACACATCGGCTCGCAATTTTCGCAGCATCCACTCGTACTTGCAGTTACGAAGTTATGCAGTTAATAGAAAGTAAATTCTTCCCGTGCAATCGACGGTGGTGTACTAAGTTATCCCGGGAACGTCACTCTGCGATGTATGAAATCTATCGAGAATGCGGCTGGCTCAATTGTTTATAAATAAAAATTATTCGTAAAAAAATTCATATGAAAAATCGTTTGTATATAAAAGAGAACAATATGAAGAAGTCCTTCCCCCGTTTTGCAATACAAAGAAGTGTGTGCAACGGGTGTTTCCACCGAAACACGGCATTATTTTGCATGGATTAATTAGAGAATCGCAGGAAGAATTAATCACGTTGAAAGAAACTACCGTAAACGAAGGCGGTCCGCGCGACAGAAGGTCGACGGAGGTGGACGGAAGTGAGAAATTGTCGACGTTCGGAGGCGACCACCGTTCGATTACGATTACACGGGTGCCCGAGTTTTACGTAAGAAACGGAGATCGTGTATTTCTGGCGGCTCGCGCACGTGAAAGTGGTCTGCCGAGTTGTGTCGAGGAGGAATGGTCAGTTAATTCCCAAGCCTGGTCGCCTTAATGTTACGCTTCTGGGACGCCACGGCATCAGGATAAACATTGTGCATAAGCAAAAATCAACTCGCAATTATGATTACGATTAAAAATTCCAAGATATACGTGAATCGTTCAATTTGCCATCTTATTCTCGTACAAATCCCGTAGAATTTCACATAATCTCTAAACAATGCTGATAACGATCGCGATTAAATCGTTTTCCCGAATGCAGCGCCGACGCGAGGACACGATCGCCGCCGATAATCAAAAATCAGATGGGAAATTTGAGAAATTTCGGCAACGCTCACCTTGCTACTAGTCGCGTCTAATCCTATGTCTCATCTCAAGTCACCACAGGCACAATTTGTCCCACGGCAATCCGTAATACTTTCTCCGATAACGGATTAAGCGGAGAAACTTTAGCCGGGCCGGTGCAACGGACGTTTCACGGTGTTCCGGAGCGTGCTGCTCGGACTGCACGGAAAACACTGTTTCCTTTTTTTCCTCCGTTCGGCCGGGATTTCGTTCTCGCGGATTCGCGCCGACAGACTGAAGGTGGACTTTCGAGCGAAAGTCTGGTTCTGGTGAGTTCAGGCTTCACTCTGGTCGGCGAATATCGATAATATCACAGGGATGCGCGCGGATGTTCGGACGGACGTACGGGAAACGACGACAGATGGAGATTCAGGTACGACGATCAGACACGTGGACGCATCTTCGGACGCGCCGATTTTTCGCGCGTGCGTTCGCAGCACAACGGCGTTCGGTAGAACAACGATCGGTCGAATGCTCCGAGACCAAGTGCAAGTCGCGTTCGAATGCTCGGCTCCGTGTCAAAAATCCCAGTCGCCAACAGGGGAGAAAAAAGGAGCCATTCGACCGACCACATTTTCCCTTTCGCCCGAATGTAGGACCACCACCACGATCGCAACCGCCACCACCACCACCGTCGCCGCCGTCTACCACCATCGTCGTCGTCGTCGTCGTCGGCCACCGCCACCGCTGTCACCGCCTATCGTCATTGCCATCACTATCGCCACTACCGTCGTCGCTACCGTTACCTGTTGCAAATGTAAAAATATTAAATAACCAGAACGATGGACGATTATAACGCTATTCTACTATATCAAGCCCCGACAGCCTTTGGAAGCCTTCACAGGATGTGTCTCGAGCTTGTTATAAATTGTTTATATCCGTCCACTGAGATAACGGATGTACACTGAGAAAAAGATTTCTCAGAGAAGAAGTCAATATTTTGATAAAAATTATGCCGTAATAAGAGAATATTTCTTAAAACAATTTTAAACGTGTGCTGTTGCAACAGCATCATCACAAAGCATATATTAAATGCTTACATACTATATTCAGCATTTCTGTCTATCTGGGTATGCTCAAAGAGGAATATATATATAAATTCCCAGATTTTTCCACAAGAATGTTTGGTTTTTGGCAATATTTTAATCAAATCAAAACTTACATTATATATTAGAGGTAATTAAAAAGATGTAATTCGCAATGCAATTCACAGTTACTGCATAAATACGTAACAAAAGATTTGATGTTAAATTTAATGCACTTCACATGTTTCAAACAGCCCACACAAATTGTGTTGTGTTGTCTTGTGTTAATTTAACACAAAATGAATATATTGAAAAGTAACACAGATATTATGTCAAAAATTAATTACGTCATAAAATTAATACATTAACCGACACTGAAGTATAAAATGTGTTATTATAACACTTACAAGTGTTATTTTGATATTTACATATGTTGAATATCGATTCAATATACAATATTGAGATAACATAAACACGATATATTAAATTAACACACGCATATGTTACAGATTTAACACTACAACTTTAACAAGAATAGGTTTTAACACACAAATACAAAATGAATTTTACTCTGTAGAAATAATGCTGTATCATTAATAATTCATGAATCAGATTCTTCAGTCAACAGTTCGTTGACGGATCAAAATTCTCTCTCTATAGAATGCTTGTATGGAAACAGCCTCAAGCTATTTCTTACGAAATACATATGTCAGACTTTTTATCTATTCTGGGTAACATTTTAGTTCAAAATATATGGATTTATACGTGGAGCGATGCGAAATCAGATTTAGAGGCAGGAAAATGAAAAGGAGGTCTGCAATCGCAAATTAAAGAGAAAGGAACCGAGTTACGAAATAAAATCGGATTATACGCAGGAAGGTCGAAAAGTAAACTCCCTTGAAGTAAGATTTTTTTTTAAGCGTTCGCCTAATTTATGCAGATATTGTACCGGTTTTCTAGGTATTATTATCTGAACTCGTCATACGTAGCCGTCGGGCGATATCCGTTTTTAATTCCTATTCGCAATACACAAAACATATGTAAATTTGCAATTATAAGTAACGTATCAGTTATAAGTCACATACCAGTTTTGAACATGATAATCCTGCCTCACATGGTATTATCGGTCCATCATTGGTCCTTGATCCAATCCATCTACATAAATAAGAGAATATACATTCGTATATAAACGAAATTTTACCAATGATTTTAATGCCTGAAAGGCAAGTACTATCTACGACATTAATCTTTAATTAAGAGACTTAAAAGACTACTCATGGCATGTTCTGTAATTTCGTAATGTTTGAAACAAAGCCATGAAGATCAAACCAAAGAGCACGTATGTGCATCCACAGATCTAATGGCGTAACAATGGAGTCTTTAAGGCTATTCGAAATACTTTCTTAAGCCCGATTCCACCGTCATGGTTAAAATTTAATCAACGATTAACTCAATGGAATAAACTAATCGCATCAATCAATTCAGCTAATTGGCCAATGCGATTGGTCAATTTTTTTGAGTTAACAATAACACATTAACGTAATGTTTTCAAATATATAGTTCTTAATGTTGCATACAACATCAACAATATTTAACTCAAACATTGAAAATAATATTTCTACATTATGATTATAATATTTAAGAATATTATATTATCAAATAACAGTTTAAAAACATTTATAAAATATTATGTAAAAATGTTTATGAAATACACATAAAATCGATGTTCCAAAAGATTGATTTAGTATTTTGCTTACTGTGAAGAGAGATCAACCGTCGAGAGTGCACTCACGGAAGATGCAGTTAATGATCTAACCTATTTACTGATCATATATGGACGGTACTGTATTACCGTTGCTATACGAAATAAATAAGCGTAATTGACTTGTAAACAATTGCATACCGATACAGAATGATACGAAGAATGAAGGCTTATCGATGGCTCGATAAGAAATCGTGTACATCACGGCATATCGCTTTCTCCTTGACATCTATCTCCATAAGACAAATCGCTATGGGCTGCCTGATAACACGTGATCGGTTTTACTGAAAGTCGTTTAAAACGCGGACAAAAAGACGCGTGATCCAATTACTTTCGCGATGTATCCGTTCGCGCTAATACTGGATATTTGCGCGACGAAGTGAAGTACGTGCTCCACTTCTGTTCGAAAATGTAACGTCGCAAAGGAACGGGAAAGTCGAACGATTTCTCAATACTCCCATTTGATGGAGCTGGTGTCACGCCATAAACGTAAGCGCTAAAAGCTAAGCATTAAGCAAATCGACTGATCGCGGTCGGAGATTATCGAAAATACATAAGGCTGTCATATCGAGATCCACCACTGTGATTGGTCGGTCCGGTCACCATTCGAATTTTGCAATTTATATCTTTGCAATTTACATCTTGCAATGTGCAATTGGCCCGTTTCCGCGGGATCGAGAAATACAAGATAACGATAAAAAATTGGAAAATTCGTTGAATCTGCAACTGACACCACAATTCCTCGTAGTTTTCGTTTGTTTACATTTTTCCTACGATCTTCTTGTTCCTTCTATCGAGGCTCGCACCTGTTTCGTTTTAAATACGCAAAGTGTACGAAAGTGCAACTGTGCGTGAAAAGAATAAATCAATCGATGGTGAATAATATCGCACATTAGTACATTTGGCGCTCATGACTGACTTCACGTTCGAACTATCGCTGTGACTAGCGCAATTATCGTGACTCAGAACTATATTGTCACGTGTTATTGATAATTTAGTAATTAAGTTAATCTCACAAATAAAAAGGTTAAGAAATAAGAGTCTAAGAATCAATCACTCATCACACACACACGCACATAATTAACGCGATTATTTAAATATAATATTCCAACTCGACAGACAAATTTCAAAGGCAAGACGTGTATTTGGCGTCGAGTGTACTAAGGAGTTATCGTGTAGTCATCGCGATGAATAAACGTTCACCATGACAGATCGCCGCGTTGCGTCGTGTAACGGTCAGTAGTAATTGTGACAAGTGTCGTTTGAATCGCGTGTCCTCACAAGACGGCGACAGTTCTTTATCATTATAATGATGTTGTATCGTGTATTTACAGAGGCAAGTGCATCTTCGATATTATATATGGTGATTTATGAATGGAGTGCGGAAAACTTTTTGTTAGGCTAGAATCATGCGCAAAACACTCGACATGGATTACTTTTTATCTTGACAACAAGATAAATATTATGTGCTACGCTGTTTCCTCGCGCAATTAGTATGACAATATTAATAATAATGTTAAAAAAAATGTTTCTCAAATAAGAATTTGTGATTTTTATAAGAGTAGCTTCTGTGGAATTCTAATTTTTTGGTGTTATTGAGGATTATTGAGTTGTAGAGATAATGTGACCTTGATAATTAATGTTCTTTTATGTGTCAGATATTTTGAGAAAATTAAATGAAATTATTTTTCTATCTGAAACTTCATGCGGATTCTTATAACTTCATATTTAACTTAACTTCATATCTAAAACGTGCATTGACTTTGAAGCAAAACTTTGTGTTCTTATAGAGAAAGTGTGTTTGTATATTGCTTAAATGTATCATGAAAATAAAAATAACTTTTCAGAAGATTCATTGAGATGTCTATCGAATTGGTTGATGCTCCATCCAGCACAGCTAAAGTATTACGTATGACCTCACAAGAATCAGAATTTGATGATGCTTTGGGAGTACCTGATTCATTAGAAATAACAATCAATGAAAATGGAGAGACAATACAAGTTTGTGAGGAAGAAATAGAACATGTAGATAATAGAGGTATAAATCTTATTTGTACTCTATTATAATCTACTTCATCTAACATGATGTATTCATTTTCATGATGGTTTTTTATTTATTTAAACTTCACACTAGTCAGTTTGTTCTCCATTTGTTCTACATACTAAGAAGCTTATATATATTTATTTATCACTATCTTTATTCATATATATATCCTTGATAAATTTAAGTCATATTCTTCCATCATTTTTATATAAGTTTGATTTATTTACAACTTTTGATTTTGTTCTTTTTTTCAGTACATTATTAGAAACTCTTGGTGTAATACCATTTACTGTTATACACAACCCACCAAAAAAATCTAAGTATCAAAACCATAACGTGTTCATCCCTGGTGAAGAAATACATGTGAGAATCATAGATAATGAACATAGTGTGACCACACATCCAGTGAGCCCCAATTTATACACGATAGAATTTAGACATGGACCTTTTGTCTGGACTATTAGAAAGCGATACAAACATATTCAGTATTTACATAATCAATTGAAAATATATTGTGCTAGTTTGAATATACCATTCCCTACAAAGAGCCACAAAGAAAGGAGGAGGAGCAGTTTAAAAAATCTTGGAACCTCTGGTAAGAGAAAGAGTAGACGAAATGCTTTGCCAAGGTATGAAAATTTCAACTTGATATAATTGATATGCGTAAGGAAGAAAAGGGGGAAGAGATTAAATATGAGATATAATCAAATCATCATTTCAGATTTCCAAATAAACCTGACATTCTAGTGCCTTATGAACGGTTAAATTGCAGAAGAAAAGAACTGAAGGATTATTTGAGTAATTTACTTAATATAGAAATCTATAGATGTCATCCTGAAACAGTAGGTATACCTTTACTGGAGACAATCAATCAGTCTGAGGAAATTTATCATTGTTGCTTGTTTACAGATTGAGTTTTTGGATATTTCTTACTTATATTTTGTGGCTGACTTAGGAATGAGAAGAAAAGAGGGTACAATTTTAAAGCGCACTGGTTCAGCTGCTAAAACAAGATGCAGTTTCTGTGGCTTGTTTGAGTGTGGATTTTGCATCAAGTGTAATTACGTCTGTAATTCTCTGTGTGGCAAATGGCATGCTCGGCATCTTATCGTTAAAGATACTTTTGTTGCTTATCTCACTCCAAAAGATAGCAGAATAAAGTGCGTTATCTTAATGGATAATGGCTTTGGGATTAGCTTGGGATGTATACTACAGGCTCGCGAAACGGCATACAGATTGCAAATTTGAGTAGGCACATAGTCATCAAGTGTTGGACAAGACGAAAAGCTAAAGAATGGATAGAATATATACAGGAAGTCAGTAACAAAGAAGGTAAGATTTCAGAAAAATCACGAATAGCTCACCATCTTGTGTCTAATTAGTTTGATCGATACAGGTAAGGATTTTACGCAAACAAATCCGCACAATTCATTTGCTCCGTATCGTTCACCGATACTGGGAAGTTGGTTCGTCGACGGGGCGGATTACATGTCCGCTTTCATCATGGTTCAGCTGCCGTATGACTGCATCATTGGAAGTTCAATCTGGAGATAACATGACCTATGAACAAGGGAATGTTGATGATTTAAAACGCACAACGAAACTATGGCTTGGCAAAGATTATACAAATTTTATCGTTAAGGACTTTATCGATCTTGAGAAGCCGTATCAAGATCTTGTAGATCGAACTACCACTCCTAGGATGTCATGGCACGATATAGGCATTTTGGTGCAAAATGCTGCCGCTATAGACGTGGCCAGGCACTTTATACAACGTTGGAACGCTGTCAAGGTACGCATAATTGTACTTGTAGATGCAGAAGTATTAACGAAACAACATATATATATATATATATATATATATACATACATACATACATATAACTGACATACATATATATTGACAAAATATACCTGTATAGTTGGAAAAGGCGAATTTAAATAAGTGTTATCCATATTGCCAAAATCGTACAAGGACTGTAAAAGCTATGCTCCATTCATCAAAGAAGCAAACCAGCATAACGTCAAGTGTCAGGTGCTGCGATCGGTGAGTTCTTGGTCGGCTGGTTTTCTTGATCTGGAAACCGTGGAGCGAAGTATACAGGAAGCCTATATCGAAGCCATCAGTAAAGCAGAGCGGTGAATCTTATATATCTCATACTTATTTCTTTTTCTCACACGACACGATATTTTATTAGTCAAATTCTTTCGCAGATATATATACATAGAGAATCAGCTTTACATAACGCTCGCTTCTATGGAGAAAAGCGGCGTGAAAAATCGAATCGGTGAAACGTTGTTGAAGAGAATTTTGCGAGCGCACAGGGAAGGCGCGGTGTTTCGGGTGTTTGTCGTGATGCCTTTACTACCAGGTTTCGAAGGCGAGGTCGGAGGGCCGACTGGTACTGCGTTAAGAGCGATAACGCATTGGAATTACGCTTCTATATCGAGGTATATCCATAAATATATATGTAAGTGAAGAACAGTGCATACAAAAAATTTTGTTTAATTTTTACATCAGGGGGAAGGATTCTATCCTGAATCAATTAATAGAAGCCGGTATAGAGGATTCTAGCGAATATAATGTGCCCATAATTATGAAAGTGGTCTAAGTCAAAATTAAAAAAAAATGAGTTTATCACTTATTTCACACCCACATTATTTTAAACTAAATTTATTTAATGTAATTTTTACGATATCGTAAAAAATGAACCTTTAGATAGTGGTTGTAATTTCAACGTTATACGGAATTCATTTAGTGTTAATTATGAAAGTGGCTAAGTCAAAAATTTAAAGAAATTATATAAACATAACTTGAAAATGGCGTGTGGCCCTCTTCGACGCGTTTCTGAACTACATAGTAAGCCGATAAAATAAATGATAACAAAAACGCCAATTCATTCCGGTTTATGTCACAATATAATTCAGTTGGGCTCTTCGGAACTAATTATTGGTGGCAAATAATTTATATATTTTACCATTATGTCAACAGATAGCGGTTTAGGTAAGTTAATGACAACGTACTTATTACGTGAATATATTAATTATTATTCGGATAATATTATTATGATGTGATCTGCAGATATTATACGACCACGTAATACTTCCAAGAAATGGAAAAGAATAAGACAATTATCATCTTCAGATGAATCATACCAAGATTTAACTGTAAATTTAGAAACCCCAGAAATGGTGTAGATAGAAAAAGATAAGAAAAGAAAATGGGCAAGAAATGAAGATAGTTACGCACAAAATATCAGAAAAATTAAGAGAAATCATGGCGAAGAATACACAACAAAAAAATCAAAATTTGTGAGTGCCAAAATTTTTGAAAATAAGGATGCCTTTTGCTCAAAAAAATGTTTAGATCGCGTAGAATATAATGAAAGAAAATCTAATTTTGATAATTTCTGGAAACTAAAAGACTTTGAAACCCAGAATCTATATCTGTGTACTACAGTTCATCAACAATTAATAAAACAAAGGCGGCCCAGAACTTTTGAAAGACCTATGAGAAAATGCAGCTACAAGTATTTTCTGTCAAAAAATAATAAGTCAGAAGTAATGTCGGTTTGCAGGAACTTTTTTTTAGACACCTATAAAATTTCTGTAGGGTGGTTAACTCGTGCTCTGAATGCTGAAATACCTGGAACTGATCGTCGTGGAAAGATGCCTGGATCTTCACGAAAAACAGATGAAATTAAGATAAAAGCTGTACGAGAACATATTTTAAGTTTCCCAGCATATGAGAGCCACTACACCAGAGCTCGTCACTCCTGGTCGAAAATATTTGAGTCTTGATTTAGATATTCGTAAAATGTATAGCCTATATGTAGAGAAATGTGAGGAAAATAACCAATCCTTTGTTAAGGAATGGATCTACAGGAAAATATTTAATACTGAATTTAACTTAAATTTCCATGCTCCTCGAAAAGACACATGCCAAAAATGCGATTTACTGAGTGGAAAAATCGAAGCATGCAATAATGAGGAAGAGAAATTACATCTTAGAGAAAGTCATAATGTACATTTACAAAATGCTGAACGAGCTAGGAACTGTCTTGCAGAGGACCAGAAAAAAGCAAAAGAAAATTCCTGGGAATATTATGGATTCTCATTTGATTTGCAAAAAGCACTTCCGTACCCTAAACTATTTCGTTAGCCTATTATAAGCGAAATATGTACGTATACAACTTGGGTTTCCATAATTTCCATAATGATAATGTCAAGATGTATGTATGGGATGAAACTACAGCTTTAAGAAGTGCACAGGAAGCATCATGCATTTTAGCGCATATGGAGGATATTATAACTACTCAAAAACACGTAATAGCTTACAATGATGCTTGTTCAGGCCAAAATCGTAACATTAAAGTAGCATTGACATGGATAAAAATTGCTCAGTCAAATAATAATATTGAAACGGTAGACCACAAATTTTTGGTATCAGGTCATTCATTTCTACCGAATGACCGTGATTTTGGTTTGATAGAAATGAAAATAAAAAAAGCAAATTACTTATATAACCCTGAGCATTATTATGAATTGATAGAAAAGTGTAGAAGAAGAAAGCCATTTTCGATAAAACGAATGTTGCAGCCGGATTTTATTTCAACGAAATCACTAGAAGAATCAATAACAAGAAGAGTAAAAAATACCGCGGGCGAATCTGTCTCTTGGCTGCAAATTCAATGGATGAGATTCTTGAAAAATGAACCTTATAAAATGTTCTATAAAACTTCTTTAGATGATTCTAAATTCCACGTTTTGGATCTTTCACCAAAAAGAGGAAGACCAAAAATATATGGAAATATTAAGTTACTTCCATTATACACCACTCCTAGACCAGTAACGGAAGAAAAACATAAAGATATTATGTGTTTACTACCATACATCCCTCCAGTTTTTCAGGAACATTTTAAGAATCTTAAAAACTAGAAATGATAAAAATGGATTACTTTTTAAAAATAATTAATAAATGTTCATGAATTATTTCATTAAAGTTATTGTTTCAAATAAAACTCATAGTTCTTTATTGCTTTAAGTCATTTATAGGACATTCAATTAATTTTGAAAATGGTCTAAGTCAATTCAAGTTTTAAAAACAACATTTTCGTATAAAATTCATACAAAATTTCATATTCATAATAAATTTCCATTAATCAAGACTAAGAAAATTATAAATTAAAATGTCGCATAATATAAAAATATTTTTTAATTCGTTCAAACGCAATTCATTAAATATCTCGAAACAAGAAATATATGACTTAGGAAAATCAGACATTTGTTGTATTTTTCAATGTAAATATATAAATAGTTTTCTTTGGATATTGTTACCTCGGTTGTACGAGCGTGTCTTCTATGCGAACATTCATATAATTTACATACAAACGCAAATAGAATCCACTTAACACAGTAACCATGACATTAATACAGATTTTTAGTACAGTATATATATGCATCAGAACTATGGCTATGAATCGGCTATCTAATTTACAATTTAAGGTCTGGGTTGTTTTGTATTTTTAAACCTGTATGTTTCTTTCCTATTGCAAGATTAATTTTACGTTGAATAACTTCGCATATAGTCGCCTACCTAAATGTAGAGCTGCTATAACTTTATCAGATTTGATGTACTTTGACATGCTGTACTTCTTCACAGTAACTTTGGTACGCAACATTGCATCAATTGTGTAACAATTAAGCCGCAACTTGCATAGAAATGGTTCCTATCATTCGCTCTCTTCGCGAATATTTCTTGGAATTGTACACATATTATAGCAATATATAGCAAAATGTCCTCTTATGCGAATTCACCATAGTTTCTCAGTGTCAGCGTTAACTTATAAAGTACAATAAAAACGCACAATATTGCGCTGCATGCGCTGATATTGCATTCAACAATATACAAAGTCATTTCAATCAAATACTGCACAGAAGAGTTTTTACGTGCGACGTAACGTCAAAACAATTATTTTATATTATAAAAGTTACAAGACAGACTTACAGACGTTGACGTGTTACGAATAAAGAGATGCTCTTCTAAATTATTACAGAACAAAATGGCAGTAACCTATGGCAAGTCTGTTGGTCATATGTTCTGGCTATATCAACATCGACAAGGGCTAACCGTGATCTCTTTCGTTCAACGGAGATGTAAAATCGCATCTATATCGGGGACAAAAAAATTATTTCTATATTTTCTAGGAACAAAAGAAATTATTTCAGTTTCTGTTGGAAGAAACTAATCGTCGATCTTTTAGCAAAATGCCAAATATCGCTAAAATGACGATTTATTATATTATCTGCTATTGGTCGTAACGGCACTGTTATACGCAAGTTATATAAAATAACATATGGTAGCCGTTTACTCACGTTGTAAAGACACGATTCAGTCTCTTCTGTTACACCTGATCTCAGGGTAAAAAGAGACTTGTTAACCGTTCTAGACCAATAATGTTGACACAATCGAGCCATTATCGTATTGAGTATCTGTAGTCGCGCCGTAAGACTTCCAAGTGGTCTCGATTAACGCACTACACGCAGATCGCTCCTTCAGAGACTTGCTCGCACTTGGTCGAACAATCTGCTGTGGAGGATTCCGAGAAAGATTCGTAAAAGGGCCTTTTCCGACAACAACAGAGCCGATCGAGCAGGTCCGTCGTCAGGCTGCTCTTCTCGGGGTCGTCCATGAAGAGACCGCTCGATGCCTCGTCCGTGCACGGTGCTATGAACGTCTGCAGGTCGTTCTTCGGGAAACCGTCGCGATAATAGACCTTGATGGTGTCGTAGGCGTCCATTATCACAGAAATGAATAAACTTAATACGACGTAGATGTAAAGAGAGATGAACGTGTATAAATAGATCCTAGAGTACCACCACAGCACCGGTGATTTGGAAGACGTGATGGAGAACGTGGCGAACATGTCGTCACCGTTGATCAACGCGAACAGGCATTCGGACGTGGTGGCGAGGGAGCGAAACTTCATATTGTACGGTCCGAGCACCAGCCAGCCGCAGAAGGTGAAGCCGGCGTAGATGAGAATCGCGCATATCAGAAACCTCGCTACTTTCGGCGCCGCTTTCTTTAGAGTAAGAATAACGACGTTGTAAGTCTTGAAGAAACCGAGGTAACGCAACACGCCGAACCACATCAGCAGGTTGCCGGTACCAAGAAATATGCTGCATACGCTCCAATGGTCGCTGCTGGAATGTTGGCGCTCGATTCGTTCCTTTATGATGGAACCGATGATAATCAGCAGATCGTTGACGATGATCATGATGTACCAACAGTTCAGGAACTCCAGCCGGCCCTCGAGACTCAACATTTTCCCGTAGGTGTTCTTGAAAAAGTTTATCGTGTCGAATTTCAACAACTGCGCCCTGTAAATCGCTCGCGAGCACAGGAGGAAGGAGATCGAGCAGATCAGTATGACGAGCAGATTCAGCAGAGTCCTGAGCGCTGACTCAATGCGATTGTCCGTGATGTAACGGGTGTCACCTTTGCATTGCAACTTCCTCGGCTCGGCGTCCAAGGAGAGTAACATTTGTCCGTCGAAGTCGCGATTATCGAAATCAATGTGGACATTGAAACGGTAACAATCGGGCGGCGTCATCGGCCCCGCTGCTTTCAAGTTCACCGTCTTAAGGCTGAACTTGAGCTGAGCGCGTACCAGCGCGGAAAAATTGACGTTGATGTTTTTGTCCTGCAGCAGAGTGTGCGATGAATTAAATGTGTCGAAAGTTTCCAGAGTGATGTTCACGCACGTTTCCACGATTTCGTTGTCGAACACGTAGCTCTCGTTAAAGCCGAATATGATGCCTTCTTTGTATTGATAGAGGCACAGAGTCAAGGGTCCAACCGAGTTATTCTCGGCGATGTATGAGTATGAGCCGATGGCGTCGCCGATATTGTAGTAACCGCGCAGAGTGTAATCGATGGCGTCGTAGAAATCGCTGCGTTTGTAAACGGCCAGTGGTCCTGTCGCGGGTGGATACGCGGGCACCTGTGAAACGTGTATTATAAATCTTTGTAAACGCATTCATCTGCTTAGCTCTCGAAAACTAATAATCGAAAAAGAAAATACTGTTCCGACTTACGTTATAATTTAAGAAAAAAGACCTACTTTCGAGACATTCCATTTTAATGAGACGGAAGTCTTAGACAACTCTCCGTAACTTTGTATATGCACAATTTTCTTTTATTTCTTTAGTATATATTTAAGGTGACTCAGCGAAGGAAGCCGTTCAATTAGCTCCGTTAAACATCGATATACAGATCAAAATGCAAAGTGGTAGGAATGCTCGACAATCACTTATCAGTTTACACTGAGCTATCTGATAAATAATGTTGTACAATCAAAGTACAAACTTTCAAATGTTATCATCTTCAGCACGATATTATTGAGAATGAAATTATCATATTTGAATTCACGAGTATACGAGCAAAATGCAATTAAGGCGCATACCTCTTGAGCAGAGTCCCATCCCATCAAAAACAGATGAGAGAACGTGATTCGGTTGTCCCACGTATAGTTAACATGCATGTAATTATTGTGCGCGAACAAACAGAGCTGCATGGTCACAAGGATGATCTTGACAAGCTGGATAATGAATTTGTAGGGGAAACGTCGCTTCGCCTGCCACTTCTCGATCGGATTCATGAAAAAGAATCGCAGCTTGCGACGCATCTTCTCCTCAGCGAACGTCACGATCGGGCAAGAGTTGCATTCCGTCGAAACGGAACGATTTTGCCTGCAAACACGTGCAAACGCACACTATTTATAACGCTTCATATTGTTTTCAGGGAAATTCTTACAATAGAAAATTATGTTTCTATTTGGTGATATTTTATACGATAATTATTTAGTCCTCTGAATATAGTTACTTTTTGGTATGCGTAATTATAGTGCTGTGCAATTTTACTTAAAAATCTCGATACTACATTGAGAGAAAATTATAGTCGTGCCAACAATACCTTTTTCTTATTTTAACCGCAAAAATAGTCAAGAGAACTATTTTTCTAGTAAGTGTTACTATAGCGTCAATAATAATAACCCTCCTGTCCACAATCTTGCTTTAAGACGTAAACAATAAGTAAATTGACCAATTATTCTTCTAATAAATGACCGTGGTTGGTCAACTTGAATATGCATGTTGCTACTACTATTATTATGGTTAAAATAACAAAAAGATTATTGGCATTGAAAACAACTATAATTTCTCGGACATTTTTACTTAAATATGACGATAACAGAAATATATTTCCCGTTCATGCGGGAGGAAAGTCGATCACTCGTGTATGTAAAATCGTGCGTGTTTCTCACGAATATTTGAAGTAATGATGACACCGAAAAAGATAGTGCACACAAGAACCAAGAAGTGTGACAAGATGTGTAAGATTTTAAGTAATTTGAAAAACATATAAAGCCATAAATGTCCACGTAGGTGAAAATTATAGATCATACATGTTACGAAATTGATAATGGCTTTGCGTGAACGTTAATTAATGATCACCTAAGAGTTGGTAAGAGAAAGACATTACATATACGTATTGTATATCTTATCTGAACATCTGTATATCTTATCTGAACATGAGTCAACTAATGAATAGATAACATGTATATAGTAAAAGAATAGGTGACGATATTCGGTAATTTTTATCAAATGTTTATACATACTAGCGTATATGTTTACTATCACAAATCGATTACCAGCAACAATAACGTACTACTTAGGATCAAAGTTGTACAACCGTTGTTATTTTCTGCGTGCAACCGTTAAAACGATACGAATTCAACGAATGATATATAACATGGTTAACGAAATTTGCCAGATAAAGACTATCGATCAAAGAACTTGAATGGTGATAATAACGTAAGCGAATTTTGCAATTACATTATTTCAATAGCATATAAGAATGCTCGGTGCAATTATGAGTATTTATCACAGACAAAGCACAAAGCACAGCAAAATTGGACGTTAACCAAAAATTACTTTAACGCCAGACACGATTTCACTCGTTTAACGAGATTGCGTTACGGGGACACAATGGAAAGGAGTTTAACCGTGTTAGCACTGTGTGATTCGCACGAGAAACTAATATCGGGCTAGAAGTTTCTATTTTCGCCGACAATTGTACGCGAGGAGGCAATGATCGATTTTTTTTCACCGCCATGATGTGTTTTTTTCGAACGTATATGACACAGATAGACCGCAGTCGTTTCAATAGTATGCAGTCTTATCAAACGATACTACTACTACATACGGGTTATCACAAGCCACATGGTTGGAATGCATCATACAAAACGCTGATGATAGCCGAACGATGCAAAAGTTGCATCGACTAAACGCGTGACATCGAGACGCACTGTCACATGGAGAGAGAGAGACATATACTAATAATTAATAATTATCCCGATATACACGTGACTCAATAGTGCTCGCGATAATCGAGCAGTGCGCAATCTCTGCGATCTGTGAATAATTTTGATAAGGCCGCTAGCTCATCCACCGTTTGTTTGAACCTTGGCTCGTTGGCTTCGTTCAGCAATGCGTTCTCACTAGTGACCATGTCCTCGTCATCGAGGCCGTGGCTCCAAGAACGGTTACGGAGGATGTTCCCCGTCGAGGAGTCCATGCGCTGCATCCTCTTGTGAGCCTGCATTCTTCTATCAAATCCCGATGTATCCGTCAGAAAATCAAGAACGGCGAGCGTGCGACGAGCGTCGTCAAGAGCTGAGTCTTCCTATCCTGCGGAGTCGTCGTCTCGCCCTTCGATCGGCGATGATTCAACAGTCAATTGCTCACATGCGTGGACCTGCGTGACAATAGCGTCAAGTATGGTGTCAAGACAACTTGCCACGCTTTCTCATCGTCGATTATAATCGGGGATTAGGTTAGGGCTGAACGTACCTGAACGCGATGCGTAATTAACAATGGATACGACGATCCTGGCCGACCGACTTCGTCCATTGCACACCCGACTCGATGTAACGACCGAGCGCGACTGAACAATGCTTGTACAGCGCACCACTTTGCATTCGTTGCTTCGTATCAGTGATTGACTGCGAACGGCGAAGGGGAGAGCGCTGAGCGTTGCCAAGGTCTGCGACTTGCGTGGAAAATGAAGTAGGCCTCGTCTGCCTGCGTGCTACTGCGCAAGCGTAAGTACACGCCATTTAAAAAGGTCTGTGTTCTCTCCATCCGATTCTCAGCATTTTCTATACATTTCCGTGGTTTTCTCTCTCTCTCTTTCTCTCTCTCTCTCTCTTATGTCAAGTGCAAAATACTTTTTTATGTATATTTTTATGTACTTACTTTTTTTCTCCCGTTTTAGGTGAAGAAAGCGTGACTTTAAAAGAAAGAAAGGTCGATGGTTCCTTATAACGCAGATCGGCTGCGCCATTTTGATTCGAGATATCGAACGAAGCGTTGTATAGTTCAAAGTAACGCACAGCCACGCGAGTCTTGTATAGATTTGTAATGTTTTTACATAAATTGAAGTTTGCCGTAAGGCCGCGTGTGTATTTTTATGTCGTCGATTTCGGATATAGCAGACTTCCAACGGTCGCATTTATCGAGTTGGTGAGTGTAAGCTTGCTTTTAGTCTGCTTCAATTTTATCCAGTTTTTCTTTCAACGCTTTATACAACCTTAATTGGATGAATCTCTTTCGCAATGAATAAGACGATTGCGTTGATTAGATTGAATAATATCACTTCTCGGTAATTGATTTCATTTTACGGCTTCAAGTAGATTCAAAAGAAAGCCAAGCTACGATGGGTATTATATCATCAATTTCGACCATAGATTTTAAGGTTTCTAAGGATTCGATGATGAGTTTTATTATTTTCTCATCGGAGCTCTATCCTGTGACGAAAAAAAGTCACGTTATAGGTGCTTCAAACGTGGCATGTAATGCGCTTCCTTCGTGAATTTACAATATCTCGTAACGTACGCTGATGTGCTTTTGGAGAAAATGCACTTTGTAAAGAAAATACTTTAGGATATTACGCGCAAAAGTAAGATTAGCGTAATAAAAATATCCGTGCTTTATATCAGGGCTCCTTATCCCTGTGCTTTTGATCCTATTTAAAATACATTTCCAACAAGAAGGAAACTTCATAGTAATGAGAAGATTGCAGTTCACTGAGAGACAAATCTAATTTCTTAACGTTCGGGCGTTTGGAATCATAATGGGATAAAATTTATGAAAAGGAGCTTTTTATAAATTTGTAGTTTATAAATAGTTAGATCTACTTTGGTGCGTGTTACCTCTCAGAATATATCTTTCTTTCATACTGTATACGAGGTCTCTCGTAAAAATAACGAACATAATTTTTAAAACGATCGATCTGGAGATTCTCCAATCTGGAGAAATAGAAATGTACTACTAGTTTTCAAAAAGAAACTGTCAACCTATTTCAATTTGTCCATTGTGACAGTTGGCAAAAAAAGGCAGAGAAATACTATATTGTTTTGATAAAAAATAAATTCCATTTCTCTCTTTCGTGGAAAACGTTTTCAAAATACTGACATTGATTGACACTGAAATACGAATATACTTTGATCAAAATACGTCAAACGTCTGTTACCAAGCTGTTAATTGTTCCGAAAACGTCACTGATGGTTTTTTTCAATTCCAAAGTTAATATCCACACATGATGCGTTTAATTGATAAAATCCTAGGAAAGACGTAGGCTTTCGTAATGCGAAAAATATGCATTCTGATCGGCAAGATTCAATAAAAATACCACGCGACAAAACGATGACATCAGATTTACGTCGCTGCTCGATCAGCGACGATTTTTCAAAGACAACGCTTTTCTGCGATAAAATCTTTGTCATGCAAAATGCATCGCATCTATTACCTGTATTCAATAAGTGAGAGGTGGAAATCGGAATGAAACGAACGTGAAAATACACCGATAATGTGTACACAGAACATCTGTCTACATGGGAACGTTAATCTCGCGATGCATATTGACGTTGTTACGCGTTCAATGTTTGCAGATGAACACAGATATATCGAACGATGAATACAATGCAATACACATGCGATGCAGCCAGAGAGAGAGAGAGAGAGGCCCTCTGTCGTAACGAAGCATCGATCCGTCGGACGGAATATATCCCAGTTCTCGCGAGGAAACGCGCACCGTCGAACTTTCCATTATCGTTCCTCGCTCTTCTCCGGTGCCTGTACTCAGAATCACGAATCGAGGTTTCGCGTCGTGACTGAAATCTCTCGCCGGGAAGTTGCAATTCGACGAGGGGGAAACATGTCGAGCGCTTCGGGTAGAGGACGCGTCGAGGTAGATCAGGGTTCGCCAACGCTGGAGATAGGCGCACTCTGGAGCAAGCGACAGCCTCCTCCGAGGATGAGAATCGAATGGCGCTGATTCCACGGGGGTTGCGCGCGCGTTGTCGCGATATCGGCGGTGGCTGCGCGTTGACACGGCGCGCGTTCTCTCTGCGTCGGCGGCGCATATTACCGTACTCTCGCGATACGGAAGAGAGAACGAGCGAAGAGTATGCGTCCTGCCGCGCGCGCCAACCGTCTATAGGGCGAGAAAGCGCGCAGCCGAGAGAACCGCGCGAGCTCGGTCTTCGTGGCCGCGACATAGGCGCAGTCAGTCTCCCCTCGCCGTTCCGACTGCCTTCACGACGATTTGTGCGCGAATATCGAACGGCGTCCACGTTCAGCGTGCTCGAGCGAAAACAAGCTCGGTTGGCTCTCTCTCGGAGGTACATCTCCGTTCTCACGTGCGACTAACCAGTGACTTCGGTTCGTTCGGAACCTCGCATCTCGCGGACAATCTTTCTTCATTAGTGATCGGCGAGCCGTATCAGTAGAGGGATCGACTTTGGGATCAGCTGGGTCGTCGACCCGTGATCCTCTTTCTCTCTCTCTCTCTCTCAGTGTCGTCGCGTCGAGAGCGTTCCGCCGTGCACACTCTCCTATTGTGATCTCTTCTCGATCATCCGCGAGTGCCGCAGCGTAGTCCTACGATCTCCACCCGTCGGTGAATCGAGCACCCACCAGCATGGTGGACCAAGAGCAACAGGACACAGTGCCGAGCGTGGTGGAGCTGAACGTGGGCGGCGTCTTCTACACGACCGCCTTGACGACGCTGACTCGTGAGAGCGACTCGCACCTGGCGGCACTCTTCACCGGCAAGTCCAACGTCGAGAAGGACGCCAAGGGCAAGTACTTTCTGGACCGCGACGGCGTGCTGTTCCGCTACGTGCTGGACTTCCTGCGTAACCAGGCGCTGGTATTGCCCGAGGGCTTTCGCGAGCGCGAGAGGCTCAAACAGGAGGCCAACTTCTACGGCTTACCCGGCCTGGAGCGGGCTATTCTGGAGAACTCCGAGGCCGGGCAAACTGGCGGCGCGACCGGCAAACGCACGCCTGGTTACATCACCATCGGCTATCGGGGTAGCTTCGCCTTCGGTCGCGAGGGTCTGGCCGACGTCAAGTTCCGGAAGCTCTCGAGGATCCTCGTGTGCGGCCGCGTGGCGCTCTGCCGGGACGTCTTCGGCGAGACGCTGAACGAGAGCCGCGATCCCGACCACGGCATGTCCGACCGCTACACGTCGCGCTTCTTCCTCAAGCACAGCGTCATCGAGCAGGCCTTCGATATGCTGCAGGAGCAGGGCTTCAGGCTGGCGGGTAGCTGCGGCTCCGGCACTGCCGGCGGCAACTCCGAACAGCTGAAACCCGGCGTGGACTCCGAGGAGAACCGTTGGAACCACTACAACGAGTTTGTCTTCGTGCGCGACTAAGCCTACGCAGATCCTTTTCACCGCGCATTCCGTTCATCAATCGCGAGCGTCGTCGACGGCCCGCGTATTGTAAACGTGCGGAACGACACGAGCGCGGAAGGAAGACTTCTTTGGGTACACTCGGCGGAAACGGAAACGTTCACGGGGACACGCGTGTCTAACACGTGGGCCCGTAACGTGCGATAAACGCGAGACTCTCTCGTTGATATAGCGTACGCCGGATACATAATAAGGTCGAGAGAAGGAAAGAGAGAGAGAGAGAGAGAAATGAGGAGTCCAAGTTTAACGGAGATTAACGCGCGAATGAAAGCGTCGGACAGGGTAGTTTCTAGCGAAGTTCCTAGTTCATTTCTTCTCGCGAGAAAAATTCTTCCCGCAGGGCTATCAGTGTCATCACGCCGATTTCCGAAACACCTCGTCCGATAATAACGAGCAACAGCCGTCGGTCTTCTGAAACATTGAATTCCCGAGATACCTTGACCTTCATCGATTCTTACGTCGGAATAAAGAGGGGGAAGAAAGACAGAATCAGGTGGAAGATACGACTGATTTTCTTGGATCATCGTCTTTTCGATGAGACGCTTACCCGAAACATTAACTACGTTCACGTAACCGAGGAATTGAGGCTTCACATTCAACGCAACCTCGTCTAATTTGCTACACGACTACACCGGGGACTTTTGAATGTCGCTCGCTGATGCCATGGAACAAGGTGCAGCGTGGAAGATTACGGACAACGAGTCGACATCGGAGCGTAACAGTCCGAGGGTGTTTGTTCTAAAGCAGAGACAACTCGTAATTGTACATCCTTCACGTGTAACTGGATGTTCAGATGTATATGAGCTTGATTCGCGGCAATAGAGTCCAAAGTTCCTTCGAATATTATTGTTACCTCGCGCGGCGGGAACGCGCCGGATTGAGACTCTCATTTTTATCCCAAGTCTGTAACTCGTTCCGTTGCGCTGCCGTGAGGGAAGGTCGTTTTATTAAAAAGCAGTCTCGCGTAAATCCAGCTGACGAAAGGTGCTAATGTCGGGCGGTATATCATCGGTATAACGTGGGAAGGACGCGGGGGGAAGAGAGAAAAGCGGATCGGGGGAACGAAGCTGACTTGATGTTGAAATATCCGTGGACGGACGCGACTTGGTCACTTAAAAAGGAAGACAGTGTCAGAGACGCGCCGGTGATAAACGCCGCCGAGAGCGACGGGCGAGAAAATATAAGGAAGTTGCTCGAACGCAAGACGTGGTTGAGAGTATCGGGGCCGACGCTATTTTTCACTAACGTCGGGAGGAAATTGAAAAAAAAAGGCAATGGAAAAATTCAACGATCGATGAAGAGTAACGAAATCGTCGCTTAAAAGAAGTTCGCAGCGCTACTTTGCCGAGTAGTTAATGTCGATAAATAGCCGGTCCGAGAAATCACGGTTGCTAGTCGGGTTAGTAGTTAACGGTATGCTACTATCGAACGATTCCTTTAAACAGGCTTACCCGAAGAAGCAACTGCGAGGATTGGGAGAAAAGAAAACGATAGATCTTAGCTTCTAGCAAAATGTTGTTTCCGGATAAACTCAGCTTAAACAGGGCGACTAGCTTCGTTCCCGACGGGGAGAGACGCTTGTAGAATGCGTGTGCTTACAAGCCGACACGATGTTAAGCACGCTATTCAAACGATGGAACGCCAGACACGTCTCCCTTCCTCTCTCTCTCTCTCTCTCTCTCTCTCTCTCCTTTCGTTCGAAATTCTCTTTTTTCTGTAAAGTGGAACAAACATAAATGTGACAGGCAATTTGTAGTTTTCGATCTGTTGGAGTCGCGGGGACATCGAAAAGCTACGAAAGCGAAATGTCGCCGGGAATTTACAATAAATTCCACGTTGTAAGATGCGAAAAAAGTCGGAAACAAAAGCAAGATTCGAGTATTTCCCCTTCTCGAGTGTCTCCGAATCTCGAATGCGATTTCTCTCGAAATGTGTTTTTTGTAAATAACGATACAAAAAGTTGGAGGAGAGGATTCGCGCGAGTGAGAGAATTACAAGCTGCGAAAGAAGCGAGCGTTTTTATCAGTCGCAGCAATTTTTCAGCTCTCAGACGTACTTGAATCGCAAAACGAATATATCGATTCCCTTCACCGTCTTCGTGGCTCTTCCGTAGAATTATCCGAAGATAACACGTTTTCATTATGCAGACTAGCTCTAATTGTTGTGAGCTGCGAGGCACGCGACGTATCGTTCGCTCGTGCATTTTAATTTACGGCTAATTATTTGCGTGCCCAGCGCGACGAAAGAATTCATCGCGATGATAATCTCGTTGCAACAGGTTATCGTGTAACGGACTGTGTTCAGCGATCGTTCGAGAGAACGCCGACGGCGCTGAACGGCGAGGCAGATATCGGGTATCATGCTGGTTTCTTCTTATCGCGGAGGTGTACAATGTCGCAGATTTTCTTAGGTTCCGACCGACGCGCGATAAATCTTGTAACAATGGTTCTTACATCGTAACGATTTTTATTATCAATAATCGATGGATGCATGACGCCGCGCACTCAGAGAAAGAATTAGTCGTCGGAACTAAAAAAATATAGTAGCTGTGTCTTTGAAATAAGGACAGCTAATGTCGTTGTTACCGCGATTGAATTTATTAGCTGTTTGAATTGAGATGCTATAGCGAAAAATATTAGTTAAATCGTATTAAAATCATATTCACATTCTCCACTAGTTTTTTTTTTTTTCTTTTTTAACAGAAACTGTCTTCAACTCGTACATGGGCGCGTGACTTTTTTGAGAAATAAAACAACTGCTGTTTACGGCTGAGATTCTCAAGTATTATTGACACTAAAATCAAGAATAAGAGGAATAAGTTATCGAAAACGCCAATGTCGCAGATAAAAACGAAACGGAGAAATACTTCGTTTATTCATGAATCAGTTTGATCTCCACGCATCCACTTACGAGTTAGTGTATGCTGATTTTATCTGAAATTTAGCCATTGATTTGGAAGCCTACTTGATTTATCGCTATATCATACTTGAGATAGCGAACACGGCTGGAATACGGCTGAACGTCATGCGTTCCATCCTTGCTATATCGTATTTGAAAAGCACGGTTAAGCACTGATGAACTCTAGTTATTCTGTCGCAATCACCTTAGGTGTTACTTAAGTACCGCTTCGTCGATTGATATAAATGCCTTTCGTATTGCCCGTACATGATATAATCAGCATAGCTGAGCAGTCTTAGTTTATTCGTGCTAATAATTCCCGCTAAAATAAAGTTACATTTGGCAGCCAACTTTTAGCAATGACGGCAAAGTTCGAACCAATAGTAGCTGCCGTTACTAAGCCATTTCTCTGAGTGCGATATAAAACCCGTCTGAAATTCTATCGTATTTAATTCCTCCCTCGAGTTTCAATCGTGTCAGAAATGCGAAAGACTCATCGGGGCGACCGTACTCTTGCTCTTTATAATTGTGACACGATCGGAAACGATTCCCCTGCGATAATGCGTATCATTGCCGTTTATTGTTAGTACGTGGCTCGTCGAACGACGCATCTGCGTCCCCGTGGTAGATTGATTTATAATGACGTTACGTCCGGGTTGTCGTGCGAGTTATGCGTGTCAGCGCGAGGAGTTATACCTAATCGGATGGCCCGACACGCTCAATTTCAGAAAATTTAATTCATCCATATCGCGCTTTCTGTTCGCCGAGATGAAACGGATAATTCTTCGCGATTAAGATATTTTGCGGGCGGCGCTGCTTGTCACGTGAAGGCGGAGAGGCCATGCTTGTCGCGTGTTAGGCGAAAAGAAAGACATATTATTTTGCGCGCGACAAAGCGTGGGGAGCGAACGACGATTTCTTCTTTTTCTGTCGAATTTTCTGGCGAAACGCGTGAGATCAGTTTTCAGACGATTGATCACGATTAAGACGAGATCGCGCCGTTAGATCCGGAAGATTCTCTGTCGATTATAATATCGGGGTGATGATCGTTATTACTCCATTAGTAAGTCGCGCGCGCGACGCCTACTTCCATTTAATCTGTACAAATAAAGACATTCAGGTAAATCAAACTTGTAAGATAGTAGACGGACATTGCAGGATTAATGTAAGAAAATCTCACACGTAGCGACTATAAAATACGATTTACTTTTACTACCGCACGAGTTTTAGTCCTCTTTCCAACGGCACATATCATCCGGAAATTCGTTTCTTACGTATCGTCTTACGTATTATTTAACACACACTCAATGTGCGCGGAGTTTTACCGAATTTCACGTGGGAATTATAATTTGATCCGTGGACACGACCGTGACACAGTGACATGTAAAAATTGGGCCCAAAGCAAGTATTCATTGCGACGCGCAGAGCGCGCCAGTTAGTTACCCATTATTGACGGTTCATTTCGAAAATTAGTCTTCGTTGTCGCGTTAGAATCAACGATCGACTTCAGATATATTATATTGTCAAATAGAACTATAAACTGTATTTTCTGATATTGATTTCTAAGATACTGCGAGCGATTTTCAAATGCAGCGCATGGACATGTGAACGCGTGGGTATTAAATCCTAAAAGTATCTAACGCGTGGTACTAAAATCCTAAAAGTATCGTAATGCGTTCGTTCAATTATATTCGTAGAACCATCTTAGCTGAAGTCCTCCTTTCAAACGAACGTCACATGCTCTTGCGCAGGAGTCGCATAAAAGATAGTATACATTTTCGTCAAGAACCTTAGAAGATAAGTTGTCTTCCTATATCCGCGTAAGAACGTTTATTTACTCGCATCGAAATGTTTTCCCGGCGTAATTACGCGTACGTGGAAAACTATGCCGATTAGAATCCGTGATATAGAGGCTCTATTTCGTAGATTAGAAGCAGTATTATACAACTCGCCGCGAGGGTGGGCGAGTCTCGAGCGTGCGAATTTGGCAGAACTCGAAAGTCCTTCCGAGTCCCGTCAGATTTCGTCCACGTTCGAATTTCCTCAAAAACGATCGAGGCCATTCAAAGTCTTAGCATTATAAAGTTCGGTAATTGGATGAAATACTCCACCGAGTATTACTCGATACACCTTAGCACCTCAGTTTAGCTCTTTAACGCCTGGTGTCTGATGGAATTCGAATTTCTCGAAGCCGGATTTTGGTGTTAATTTTTAATCGATTATTTACCTTGTCGCGTAAGCTCCGCGAAATTCTTTTCTTCGAAACGAGGCTTCCGTGAATTCCACCAAAGATCTTGAGATTCCAAGTTTTTATTTATAAGATATAATAAGGAATATATAGACAGCAGGGAGAAAAATAGTTGACCACGATCGGATCATTTTTCAAACTATATCCACACTGGAAGACATCTTTGTGCAATCCGCCTATCCGCGATGACGGAATAATTTGTCCGTTTCTTTTCGTCCACAATTAGGAGAGAGGTACTAATTTAAAAAATATTACGTGCGCGTTCTCTAATAATTAACGTTTGGTTGACGAGAGGAATTCTTTGCACGATGGTTTCGACGTTCTTGGAGAAATGGTCCGAGCGAAAAATCGCGCGAATCGTGAAAGAAGCATTCGATTCCCTTGTTCGAGACTCGTAACCCACTTATTGAGGAGAAATTCAACGAGTAGAATCAGAACGGTAGCGTGTAAGACTGTGGCGATATGGAATTATTGTACATATATATACGTACACCTAAGTGAAGAGAAATAAAAGAACGAGACGAAACAAGATGAGCTTACTTATGACGATCCTTGACCCGTGTGATTTTCGGTGAATTCCCCGAGATTCTTGTGCTGTTAGGTCCTCCTTTTTCCCCTTTGGGCTTTGGCCGGTCGTGCTGCGGTAAAATTACGCGCGATATACGAATTGTAAATGTCACGAGGGGTAAATCACGGCTGAATTTATGTAACTCGGCCAGCAGAATCTATTTTCGCAGAGTAAACATCCTCACGCGGCGAACACACGCTCGTGCTTTCAAGTTATTTCTTTAATGGAGTCGCGGACGTTACATTCGCGGGACCTAATTAAAAAAAAAAAAAAGGGAGGAAGAAGATTTACTCTCTGCTTTAAGGTACACTTGAGGCTTATCAAAATCCGGCAGGGAACCGTAGGGAAAGTTTCCCTTTAAGACTTCTATTACGAAGTGAGGTAACGACGTTATGCTGCAGAGTGACTTTCGCACCATATTTTAATCTTTAGTAAATAATTTTCGCCGTGTCGCTATGCTTATGTATCGAGTCGTACGCGTGAAGGTAATCCACGGGAGGACGGTGAAAATTTGTTACTTGAGATTAAAACCTTGGGCGGAAAAACTGAGGTAGAATAGAATTACCTCCTGGTAGTTAAAAGGATTAAGCGACGATAACGCTACGCGACCTATATATTATTCTGAAGTAGCAGAAACTGTCGAGTTGTAATCAAGCTTTACAAAATTAATTCTGAGTCCTGACGATGCGGATTAGCATTCAAAGTACAGCCGTTTCTCTCTCAAACTCCGTGTCATCGAGACGTGAACAACTTCCGTGAACGCTCGGGGTGGTGCTCGTTGAAAAATTTCCGTTAGTTTCCGTCGGAAGATGATCACGGCCAACGTGACGGTGTAACATACGTATCGTCGAATTAATCGCGACAAGGCGGGGCCGTTTCAAACGAGGGAAGGAAGAAACGATTCTCCTTGTACGATAGTTTCTCCGTGGAGGAGGAGATTGCGCGTTAATGAACGGCGCCGGAAAGTGGTGGATGCAAACTCGATTGCCTGTTTGAATGAACTGTCGCACGGGCGCAGGGACGTCAGTTCGTTGCATGTAGCGGAACAGCACAGGGGAGCAATCTGTTGCTGAGTTTTCATCCGTCAACGAGAAAAACAGAGGGAGGAGATGAGGGGGTGGAAAAGAAAAAAGAAAGAGTGAGCATCATCAACGAAACGTAAATAAAATCGATGTCGAGTTTCTTTCCAACTCCATCGTCGTGCCGTTGAAAACGCGAATAACGTGGCGTTGTTTATCTTTGTTCTTGTCATTCTCTTTGAAGTCTCCGATGGAAATGTAATATGTAACATCCTAGGAACGAAATTATTTTTCTTGTTGGAAACGACATCGTTCGTACGAACAAGGAGGGTTTTACGACGTATATACGTGCTGTCTTTATACGTATACCCTCTAAAGATCTCTATGGGAATAAGAGAGGCCCTGTACGCTTTTCTCGTAGCATGGTTCATGAAATATTTCACAGAAACTGACGGCTTCTAAGACTGTCATGAAACGACAAAGAATTCGGGTGAATAACAGAAAAGGTATTTAGAAAACAGGGCGTACATTTTCGATTTTGAATCGAACTCTATTCGACAACTGGATCAGATTAATTAAATTTTCGAGCATACTATCTATGTAATAAAATCTGTACTATCTATAGTGAATATTAATTGACACTAGAATATATTAAGAAAGAATTTTATATTAAAAAAAAATATGTGAAAAAAAATTCCTTAATTTTAGTTTAATTTTAATTTGGCGAAAGATCTCTTTCTTTAAACAAAATATCCACGGCAGGACATGGCTGTCGAAAAAGATCAAGGGATGCCTTCGATTAGAAAATTTCGTTGAGAGCGTATCTCTTTTAGTGCGAGATTTCAGCCATAGCGCCAAGCAGCAGGAAATATCGATTATTGGCCAGGCATTTCCCTTTTTCGCGTATAATCTATAAATATTGTATAGGTTCTAAAAGTGTCGGTTCATTCTCGCGAAAATATGTGTCGGAGCAACCCGATGCATTGCGATGCCGGTGGAGCTAGCTTTACGATTAATATATTTTCGACTAAAAAAAACAAAAAGGAACAAAAATGTCGTACATACAAAACCAAAGTACAAGAATTATTTTGTTCGTGCAAAAACTAATTCAACACTCTAATTCAAGTAAAAGTTCATGCGCAATGGAAATAATAATTCTTAAAGAAATACAATTTCTCTTATTATCTGAAGAAATTAGTATTTGCATATTTAACAAAGAACAATATTATGAGCGCAATTTAGCGAAATATTATATTTACAATATGGAATATTATATACGTTTGAATTTATGTGTAATATTTGATCTTAATTATAAATTTACGAAATTCATTTCAGTTTGAAAATTAATGTTGTAGTTTTAGCGAGGTTACAGAAGCACCGATTAAATAACGTTTAATGGCTTGCGTTTTCGTCATTTCCCGCAATTTCCAGTGTACGCCTCCTATGCAGACTCGCTCATTTATGAAAATCTGAACTAGGGGTGCTAGTCATGCGCTAATCTGACTTGAGTGAAGTTTGACGCTTGTACAACCAGTTTTAAGGAGCTGCCCGACACTGCAGTAATGGCTTACGAGCACGTTCAGCAATACGTCCTCTCCTCTACGCACAGGACAATAAATAAGAAATTATTCGTTAAATTTTTCCGTCACTGTTGTTCCATTACAAAATTCCTGCTTAAACTTCGACCATTTTGTCAAATATTCACAATGAGAGGATAATTTCTCAGCGTTTCTTATATGATTTTTAAGCGCCGAGTTGGGAGGACGATTCTAATACTGTCGATTAATGATGTTATCAGATTATTATATGTGACATCATGTTTTGTCACATCGCATCATCGAATGTATCGTACATGCAAAACCAAAGAATTATTTTTTCGTACAAAAACTAATTCAACACTCTAATTCATATAAAAGTACATGCGCAATGGCAATTCTTATGGAAATATAATTTCACTTATTATCTGAAGAAATTGGTATTATCATATAATGTGCTTGATTTATCTAATTAATCATAAAAAAGCAGATAATATCAAACGAACGATGTGCAGTAACAATCTGTATTTAATATTGTAGTTTTAATAGGATTGCAGAGAATGCTACCTATCAAGTAATATTCGATTATAATGTGTTTTCATTGCTTTCCGCGATTTCTGATGTACATATACGCGCAAATTCGTTCATTTATGAGAATTCAAATTATGAGCGCTGATCAAGCGTTAATTCGATGCGAGTGAAGTTTATCGTTTGTCGACCGGTGTGAAGAGAGCAGCGCGTCCTACGTAAGCGTCATGGCGTATGATGCTCGAGCAGGTTTCGCGGCAAGTTCTACGTAGCGGAAAAGGTAAGGAATTATTCGTTTAACTTACGCGTTACCATTAACTGCGAAACTTCGACGTAAATCCCCGCCCATCCGTCTTATCAAACTTTCACAATAACAAGACGATTCTGCAGCGTCTCATGCATTTTCAAGCGTCAAGTTGAAGACATCTGAAGATAGAGGAACGTTCTTATCGGCATCCAGCGGTAGCAGCCCTCTATCATCAGTGGATTTACGTTCCGTCATGCCGTATTACGTCGGCAAATGTATTTATGTGGTATAACAATCATGTTGGAATCGTTCGATTAGCAGAGAAAGAAGTAAGAGACATTCATCGGGCAATTCACATTCATGACCTAAAATTATTTAGCGAATAAAATGAAATAATACATCTTACTAAAAGGCACAGTATTGTTTACATGAGCAATGTTACACGATATCACATTTCTCTCCGGTAATTCACGAATTTTGGAGATTTCCTGTCATTCTGTGCACGTCGTTAAAGTGATAGGTTATGTTCACGTATCGCGTTATGCGACGGGTTATGCAGATGTCCGGTGTGTGAGTATGTGACGTGATAACAGCGATGTTCCTCGCTTACCAATCAACCGATCTTCTTCTTTCTCTGTGAATTATATGAATTACTGATTTTAGTACAACGATAGGTAATTTAGTGAATTATGTGATTAGCATTAGCCGGCGTTGGTGGAATCAGGCTGTAGGGAAGCTGTACAGGAGACAGATGTCTGCCTTGTCACTTTAAAGCGGATATACTGTAGGAACCACTAATCTAGGATTAGTTAACCCTAAACAAGATACACCATTCACAGAAATAGGGATCATGAGAATGGTACGTTATAACATTTATTATTCGACATTGATTTTACATACCTTAGTCGCAATAACTGCTAACACAAAAAATTGTAATATGAAATACAATATATAATTATTTAGATGAAGCGTATGAGAATTTGCTAAAAAATAAGAAAAAAAAATAGACACATCTACTTAGGAAAGAATCCAAGTAAGCAAGAAACATTAAATCAAACTTTATAACATTGATTTTATGTAGATTTTGTAAATATTTTGACATATTTTATTTTATATTTTGTTTTAACTGTTACTTGATAATATTTCGAAATGTTAAAATCATAATGTAGATAATATTATTTTTAATGTCTAGGTCAAGTATCATTAACAATGACATTGCATGTAACATTAAGACCTATGTATTTAAGAATGTTATAAAATATCGTTGTGTCAATGATTTCTTGCTTAGAAATATGATTTATTAATTGTTATTATTGACCCTTATTTAACATTATAAAAATATTATTACATTATTGTATAAAGAAGTAGCTGTTGAACCGTTATTATAACATTGTTGGGTAACGTGTTATATTACATTTTGCACCACTAATACCAGGTTTACATCTGACATTTATTGCGCTTGACAGCAGTATTGATGCAGTGTAAATGCGAACAGAAAAATTTTTGTCGGACATTATATTACAATGAGAGAACGCTAATGAGAAATGTCATGCGATAAATGTCAGGTCTAAAATTAGCCTAAGACTGAAGAGAATTCTTTTAAAAGTAAAAGGCGGGCGATTTGCGTGA